TTTCTATTATTTGTGTTGTCGCGCCTGAACCACCGATTCTTCATCTGAAAAGACTCGTGTCAACGAAAGTTTCTACTTTTGACAACATGAGTGCCCAAAATGCACAATCCCAAGATTGCCTTTCCCACCAGAGAAAAAACAAAACACTTGTAGCTGGATTTGGTTGGGTTATGTACAGCCGCATGTCAAGTGCAGCCCCTGGTCTCGTCTGGCCTCGTCTGGTCTGTTAGAATTGGGCATTATTTCCTCTCTTAGAAAACTGGAAATTGGATTCATTACTTGTGGCCCAATGCAAGATTGTTTCGTCAAGCCCAACATGCTGCTCAGCTGAGCAGCAAGTTATTTTTTGACCTGTTATCTCATCTCATATTCAAACTTCATCATAAGAGGCTATTCTCTGAGAACGAAAAAAGAAAACTAGGCTATTCTCAAACATACATGTTTGAGGTGACAATTTGTTATATTCTGCAATCTCATCGACCATTTACATGTCACTTAACAGAGTCTTCTCCGTGCAGAAGCCAGCACAATTTGACTTTTGAGGCAAGTTCTCGTTTCAGTGCTGCGGCATTTGCATTTCAGTATCCGTCTCAACTTTCGCTGTGAACTTAATCAAACAGTGGACTAGAATCAGGCCCAAAGTGCCAAAGCTGACACTCGATTCTAGTAAGTAGTAACAGTTTCCACTTATTGACATGGGTCCATGGGCACTAATTTTAGCAGGGCCCATGGATCATTGTTTGCGGGCTCATCTCATTTTATGTTTAAAATGCTGAATCAGATTGAGATACCCAAAGGCAAACCGGCAACCACCCCATTCCCAACCAAAAAAACAAAAACCAAGGCGTCAAGGTCCAACATTGGCCGAAAGGGTTCAATATTGCAATATGATTAAAAACTTTGCTCATTATGCTCCATGATCACCAGTAACAATCAGAATTTTGGAATCACAGAGTTTTCCCTATTCACTGTGCACTATCATATGCATATAAGTGGACCAAGGATTGCTCATATTTATAGTAGTGCAGTTTCATTTATCAAATTCCATCCGAAATAGTATAAAGCCCCATCCCAACGAATGATTGCCCTTCATTTTCTGCATGCCACAAAAGCCCCAGTGGCATTAAGCAATATCCACACCAATAAAATTTGAGTTTTCTTGATCAGAACCACTCCGCCAATAAGGCTTTGTTCGAATCTAATCTATTTTTCGGACGATTTTATGAAAACTCATTGGATTTACCGTTGTGTGAAGACACCAACCCTTCTTTGCTCTCCATCTCTTTCGGAGATAACACCAATTTAACTTGTCAACATCAATGCTGGTGGTTAAATATATATTTTTTACTTTAAGTTTTTGTCTTACTACCCACTGGTTTGATGGCAAAGCCATTGAATTCAAATTAACCTAACCTCTGAAATTCCACCCTTCAATAAAAATAGAAAAAGAAGAAAGAGATGAACATAATAATAAATCGAGTAGGGTCAAGCTGAAAGCCATCCAACAACTATGGACACAGTTAAGAGAGAGTGTTTGCGTGGCCCATGTTTTGTCATCCCCACTTGCCTAAAATAAACAATAGAAAAAACCCTAAACGGCTTTCCCAAGCCCACAGTTCTTAACCCTAAGCTAACCATTTGCTCAGTTTTCCTTTCAGGCAGCCACTCTTTTTAATAGGGAAATCAAAAGGAAAGCAACTCGTTTTCAATTTTAATATTGTCATTTTTTGTTTGTTTAATGTTGCAGTTGGGGGGTCAAGTGCGGGACAGAATTGCAGAAAACACGGTCCGAGGAGAGTTTTTTTCAATGGAACAACTCCATGTATTCACAATAATCTAAAATTAGTACATCGCTAACTATAGTTTTAGGCAATTGTCTGTGACAGGGACAACCTAACCCCTTGACTTTTAATGAAATGACTATCTACTCAAAAGCCAGATTTGGAATTAACTAATGCAACACACAAAAAAAAAAAGTTTGAATAAACCAAGTGGGTATTAAATAAATATATCTATTTTTCCAAATTCTCTTCAAAAATATCCTTTTTTAAGATTCAAGCAAGTTGAATTTGATTTCATCCTAATCCTTTTTTTTTTTTGTCAAAAGTTTTCATCCTAATCCAAAATCAATCATAAGTCAAGTAAGATGCTTGTCCAAGAAAAAAAGTTCCTCCCTCTTGCTTTTGTAAAGCAAGGGGTTCCCGTGAAATGCAACTTGCATGCTACAAAAAAAAAAAAATACAAGTTGGATGTATAATTAATTTGAATAATAATTAATGTTTTTATCTTTGATAATTTCAATTATTAAAATAAAAAATATAAATATAAATTGCATGACTCAAAATTGAAAGTAGATTACAACAACATGAATAGAGAAATTTTGAAGAAATAAAAAATACAATAGAGACATTAACTTGGGTTTCTTTTTGGTTTGTCCGATTCAAACTACCTAAAATAAAAGAGGTTCCACTCTCCTATTTTATAAAACAATATAACCTACAATAGTGGCTTTAAGAAATATTAAAAGAGAAATTGCTTTTAAAATAAAAACTTTTTATGAAAATAATTACGAGAATACTATAGAATGTTGACTTTCTATTTATGATTAATTATATAAATTATTTAATGTATTAATATAGTTGAAATATTTTATATTTACAAATACTCTACATACATAAAAAATAACACAGCGATATATAACAATAAAATTTTATAAAAATATTTTAAAAATGTTTTTAAGCTTAATTAATGTAATTTTATATTAAAATTTGGTTCATCATTTTCAACAATAAATAAAAATATTAATCAAAGAAATGGAACGAAATCCAATTTAATTTGAATTATTATCATACATATTTATTACATGTGATATTTATGTTATTACATTTGTATTGATTTGTGCAAATTCGTACACAAATGCGTGAATTATAAATTTTCATTTCGGAAAGGATGGATGATCAACTCTGCAATTATGGATCACCCCACATATCGATAAAAGCTTACAACTTATGCAATTTAAAAAGCCACAACAAATGAAATTTTTTTGTTTAGTTGTAAAAAAAATTAATGCTCTTATAAAAAAGATAAAAAATATTAAAATCGAACATACGTTTACATAATTTTCAATCAATTTTTTAATCATTAAGCTAAAAAAAAAGTCACAGCAAATGAAATTGGTAGCTTATACCGGTATCAGATCAATTCACATGTTATGATCTTTTTATTTTTGTGAAAAAGTTTTCCAACTATACTTGAAAATTAATTAATTATCTATAAAAGATTTTTTTTTTTTTGTAATTACGCTTCTTGTTAAAACATACTACCAGTAATCAGACCACCATCGGAAAAGTATCCTAAATTGGAAAGCATGCATTGCACAGCAATTTGCATTCCATTTCCGTGTCAACATAACGACAAAGATGTAAAAAGCAACGGAGATACCCGTCCGAGCATCACATGCAAGAAAAGTCCTTGCGGATAATCTTGAAGCATATAACCAAAAAAAAAAAAAAAGCGCAGTCAAGATCATGGACATCTCGAGAGATAAAAAGCAGAGGCAATAATCCATATCGGATGCCACGCGTACGCATCTCGTCGATTGGGTGTCAGTCGCAGGACTAAGCTTATCACCTCCACCTCACTGTGCCACCAACCACGTGTAAATATACCTTTGACCATGGATGGTTCATGTCACGTGATCATTCTACGTGTCATCGTACGGAGACATATAGTAGGATTTTATTCGTACGGACCATGTGCTCAGTCTTTTGTCCGTTTGCGGGTGAGACCATTGGGGATTCCGACGTGGAGCCATCACAGCCGTTTATTTCCATAGATAGAGGAGATTTCGATTCTAGTGCCACCTATTCTTCGATATCAGTCGTAAATTATTTTCAACAAAATGTGTTGGGAATTATACTAAATTCTCTCCGAAATCAATCCAAAGGATTTATATTGCTATTTTTGTATTTACATTATTCATTCAATAGTCAACCAACTTTTTCTATTGAATTGAATTTTAAAATTATATATTTTCTTTGATATCATTGTATTTATTTTTTATTTAGAATAAATTTTTAGATTTTGTATGGATCAAATTGATTTATTTAAATGGTAAAAATGGTAAATAACAGCACAAGCTAGCCGCCGCTTGTTGCTCGTGAATAAGTTGGAGCCAACCCAAACAAAAGCACTTAATCGTTGATTTTAAAACAGGTCAACTAAATTTGCTTGCTAGGCAGACGGAAGTTCCGCCATGGAAATATCCACCAAAAATGAGTAGATTAGAGAAATGGGATTTGTATATGCTAAACTGTGCAGGGGGCTATCCGCGACCCCGCCGCTAAGCTTGGCGGGTTCTGAACTGCCGAGTAGTTCTACGCTTCTCGGAGAGTTAATGGCACGTGGCTGCAAGCACGAACTCGAATCATCAGCACATCGGCGCATGGCTGCCACTCTCTGCATTCTGTCCACGTGTCAAGAAATTTCTCGACCACAAGGCCGTATATATCTCAGGATTTCTCGCTAAAATATCGTATTAATATCTTCGAAACCTCGAGACTGACCTTAGAAGTTACTAGTAATATCATTTAGAACAACTTTGAAGTTTCCTTGGACAACGGTTAAGGATCACCCAAACTCACGATATTTTATACCGTTTATTCCGCGATAAGCGACAACTTCCTTTAAAAATATCCCCAAAGGACCCCAAGGCGCCAGCAATTAGTTTTCAATTCACTATAGGACAAACGATAGAATCACCCGACGGTGATGCATTTTACCCTTACCAATCACAGAGAGATAAGCAAAGATCTCTAATTTCTCCGGGTCCCACTGACGCCAACAGTAAAGACTAAAACCTAATAACTTAAAATCAACGGCCACGATAAGCCCGTGACACACCGTCACTTCTACCGTCCCTTTTAACCGTATAAGTGGGGAAGTGGAGGCGGTAGATTTTTTAACTCAACCATGGTTAACTCGTAACAACGACCAGTTAGAAAAGCAGTTTATAAGGAAGAGAACCGCTTCTCCATTTAGAGTCAGAGAACAATGTCCAAAAATGATGATCGGAGAATCAACGCGACCAAATCCTACCGTCAAAATTCCCGTGTGGGACCTATTCAACGATCAGACGGCTAACTTTTCCTCAGTTAACTATAACTGCAATAATGCGCCCAACAGTCCTTGTCCCGTCGATTACCTCGCGTCTCTCCACCGTTACCTTCCGTCAAATGACTTCGAATCTGACTCGCTAAGTGAGGATTCCGACTTACCTGTCGATGCATTCTCATGCGATCATTTCCGGATGTACGAGTTCAAAGTGAGGAGGTGCGCTCGGGGCAGGTCACATGACTGGACAGAGTGTCCGTACGCTCACCCGGGAGAGAAGGCCCGAAGAAGGGACCCGAGAAAGTTCCATTACTCTGGAACTGCGTGTCCTGATTTTCGCAAGGGAAACTGTAAAAAAGGCGATTCCTGTGAGTTTGCTCACGGCGTTTTTGAGTGTTGGCTGCACCCTGCTCGTTACCGTACCCAGCCATGCAAAGACGGTACAAGTTGTAGAAGAAGGGTTTGTTTTTTTGCTCACACGCCAGAGCAGCTTCGGGTCTTACCCCAGCAGAGTCCGAGAGGAAATGGATCCGGTTCAGGTGATTTGGATTATACAGGCTCGGCGATGCGCCACCGTCTAGACTTTGTTTCTTCACCAACTTCCATTCTGGCATCCCCTTCAATATCCCCACCTTCTGAGTCACCACCTATGTCGCCGGTTGGGACATTTAACTCGGTAAGTGAACTTGCTGCCTCTATGCGTAATCTGCAGCTTAGTAAGGCTAAAATGAGCGGTTGTTCTTGGGGCCTGCAAATGGGATCAGGTTTTGGTTCTCCTCGGGGCTCCGCCCTCCGACCCAGCTTTTGCAGCTCTCCTTCAACTCCAACTCGCACACCAACTCGTTCTAGCGTGGGTCAGTCTGACCTCTGGGAATGTAACGCTTTTGAGGAGGAACCTGCAATGGAGAGAGTGGAGTCTGGGAGAGACTTAAGGGCAAGGATGTATGCAAAGCTGAGTAAAGAAAATTCTGTTGACGGACTTGATCCAACTGGGTCGGGTCCTGATGTTGGGTGGGTAGCTGAGTTGGTGAAGTGAAGCTGATCCTCTGGCATGGATTGGGGGCTCAGCTTTTTCTGTTTTGATTTATTTTGGGAAATTTATAAAAAGGAAATCGGTGGCCTTTGATTCTTCTGTGTGAATATTGATGACGCTTCTCATTTTGGTGATTTGCACTGTAAATAGACGACTTGGGAAAGAGAGATCGGAGAAGTCTCTATTTTGTGGTGCTACTGCTTTTCTTTGATTTTGTTTATGGAAAAAAAAAAAAAGATTGCTACTCGTGTATAGACAAGAAGGATTTATTAGGGCTGCCGAAGGATGGGTAGCGGCTTGTATCTCATTTTGTTTATTATGAATCGTAATTTCCTTCTCAATTTCCTCAATTGTCTTTGTAATTTCTTTTATAATGGCTAATTAATGTAATATATTTCTTCACCGTCTTCATTTGTTTTATTTAGCTTCATAGGATAATATTAGTGTCAGTAGATCAGAGATGAAGTTTTCTTTCCCAAAATAGAAACAATTTGGTATTCAACTTTCCTATTTTCTGATAGATGGTTTTTTCCTTTTTTGGTTCTCTTACATGCGAAAGCATAGCCGATTTCTGGTTCCTTTGGGGAGCTAAAGTTCTGGTGGACGGAGATGAGACCAAAAATCAGCAGTTTTTGGCCAGAATCAAAGTGGGAATTTTGTCTTCCAATCATTCTGATCCAAAGGCCCTGGAACTGGAATTGAAATAGGTAAAGGTCGAATTTTAACAAATTTCCCTTGTTTGATTGGTTTGAGCCTTGGACTCACGAACTCTTGATGTTATAGCATCAAAGAATTAGTCTGTTTAAATTTTATGTTAAAAAAAAAAAAAAACACATTTAGTCATTTCATTTTCATTTCAAAGTGGACCTGGGGAAAACTTATCTTTAGGTTGTTGGATTCTGAAGATCTACAGTGCAAGTTTTATCACGTCTTTCCGAGTAACAAAACAATCAATAACAACAAGAAGTCGAAAACATTGATTTGATCGGCCACCCTATCTATAAAGAATTTTTTTATCAGGTATTTTATCTTGTGATTAGATTTGTGACTTAGACCCTTTTGAACGGATAAAACCGGTCCTTATCTGCCTCATAATCTTTTAGTTTATCTCTTCATGAGCCACTTGTATTTGTGATTAATTAAATTAATTGATTCTAACAAAACTTGATGTGAAAGTGTTATTGAAAAGACAGGGTATGGTCAAGAAGAAGCACTATCTGTTTGGGGGAGGGGTCCCACTAAATAAACCCAGGGAACTGTCCGGTTTCTTCGTAGTGACTAGACGCAGTGAAGGTGGATTAGATTACAGGGAATAACACGGTTATATATATATTTTATTTAAGAGGCCGACAAAGTGGACGATAGTTCCAAGATTTGGTTCGTTTTTTGGGGTCTGGAAACGAGGATTAAAAAGTTACTGGTGCATGTGTGTGGGTGCGGGTAGATTCTGTGCTGCCCTGCACTACAAAACTATTGTGTTGCTGTTGTTTTTTACCGCAGATAATCATAATCATCAGGTTCATAGCCGGAGAAGTCTTCGAAGAGTGACTAAAATTGACAAAAATAAGATTACAATCTGAAAATTTTGTACAATTTTTAATTTTCAATTTGATTTAATTAAAATTTTAATAATTTGAATTTGAATATGTAATTATATGAAATAATTTAAATTTTAATTAGTGAAAAAATAATTCATATCGAAAATAACACAACTTACTTTCTTTCATCTCAAAGTGATATTTAAGTCAAATCCGATCGGTCCTGTTGCCACTCCAAATGCGAGGAAAAAAGTTCCTAAAATCATACTATATCTTGGTCCCCGTTTGCATTTGTTTACACACTAATTCACTCGTTATTTTGTTTTTTTGTCGAACCATACATTTCAATAAATAAATAAATAAATAATCATGTCTTGATTAGAAATGACACAAAGAAAGTGGTTTTATGCCTAACAATTTGTACCTAATATTGATGGAGTACTATGAAATATAAAATTCAATGTATGCATCTTGCATAAGTTGAAAGGAATAATACAAACGATATTATGAAATACTAGGATTTTTTATATGTGTATTTGACATTTACCCGTTTTACTGAGGACAACGATTCTAAATAAGACAAAATGATAGAAAATGATATGTAATATAAACCCTCATATATAATTAAAAAAAAAAAAAAAACTCATTTAACTTGCAAGTGTTATTGTTGATGTAATTGTGGACGGTGCAAGAAATGAATGTTATAATTAGAAATTGTCAACTGCCATTTGTAATGTTAACATTATTGGTGTAGATGTGTAATAATGTAACATGTTACCTGTTAAAAATATTAAATTTGACAAATTCATATCCAACTTTTTTTTTTAAATGTCATATTCAACTATTGTTAAATAACTAGTTTTCAAAAAAAAAAAAATGTTAAATATCTATCATTTGTAACATATTAATTAATGTAATTACTCTTAAAAAATGATATTTAGTAATCTAAAATTTAAATTTTAACATTTATAATTATACAATTAATCAATCACAACATAAAAAAATTATATAAGGTTTTAAAGTATAAATTTTACATAATTTTTTTAATGAACCATGTATAATACTAAAATATAATTAATTAATTAAATTATAATAATTGTAAGTAGTAGACTTCCTAAAATACTCATCGTTGAGTCATGTAACACGTGTCATGTTCAAAAATCAAACTCATTTAATTTATATTAAATTTTATTTTTTTTAATGTCAATCAGCAATCGACTTTTGAGCAATTTTAATCACTCTTTAAAATGTGTGCTATTATTGTTAATGAAAATTGAATTTTTATCTCGTTTAGTATTGCGTTTAGGCTTATAAGACGTAACTTTTGAATGAAAAATAATATTAAACACATTATAATTTGTGTTAAAAATATTTTTTGATCGCTAAAAATGAGTTGACCAAAAAAATTAATTAAGAAGTGTAATTATAGTTTAAATTTTATAAATTAGAGACAAAATGATTAAATATTTATTAAATTTTTTTATTTTAAATAAAAATAACATATTTTTTCCTTGTAACATTAATTTTTTAAAAATATTTAAAATTTTCACAAAAATTGTTAACAACAATATTAAATATTTAAAATTTTTAAATCATAATTTTTTCACAATAAAATTTTATAATTTTTACTAGTTGTTCCCCCAACGCCCCATAACTTTAAGCTTTCCCTTATCCAAAACACAAGCCCCTCGTGTTTGAAATTGGGTTACCTCAATAAGGGGACATTGAACCTAGTGGCTGTAGGGACGTCTGGTCCTTTTCAAGGGACTAAACTTTTTTGTTATTGCTTACAGATGTTAATCATACCAATCTTTGGCTCCACTCAATCTAATATTATCAATTTCAGATCTTCACATTCCATATGCGACGACATCGGAATTGTGTTTGGATAAAATTGCTGGTATTTGCACTGTTGACATCGACAGCTTTGGTTTCTCTTTATTTGTTTTTTATAATATAATTTTAAATATTCATAATTTTTTTTATTCTTAAATTACAATATTCATACAAAAAAATCTCCCAAAATAATCTTAAGGACGAACTCCTTTACATTTACATGAATTATTCAACATTTTATTTTCTACATTTACAACAAATATTTTTCCTTCAAAATATTTAACTTCAGTTCTTAAAAGAAAAAAAATATTAAAAAACATACTTTTTCAACAAACTTAAATAAAAAAGTTTTTTAATATAATAAAATGTTTAAGATATCAATAATAAAGTTAACAAAATTGATTATAAAAAAATAATCTAAACATTATTTATGCGGTGGCAGTAAGTTTTTTCTTTTTTTCTTTTAAGTGGAATGAAATTGAGATTGGATTATGTATTTGACAATTGAGGTTGGTGATGTTGTTGTCTGGACTAATAGGAGACCCTCGAAGGTTTAGAACCTTATCTGAAAAGGCCCACATTCTTCTCTTCACCGTGTGCTGGAGAGGTGGTATGGCAAAATCAAAGTTACCATCAAAGGGACAAGCAGCCGTCATAGGGGACCGAAGTCTTGTTTTTTCGTGGACCAGAAACATTGCCCCTTGACATGGTCTCAGGCCATGGTTCTGCGTTCTCGCCTCCTGGCCTCAGTCACGTCGTAAATTATCTGTTCAACGGTCTATTTTATTTATTTTTTAAATGTAGTACTTCTATAATAAATATTTCATTTACTTTTATTTATTTTGAACCTAATTGAAACACGAAATTCTTAATATGAACTATGAGCTTCCCTTGCCAATTGAAATTGCATAAAAATTACCTCAAAATAGAGTTTTTTTTAAAGAAAATTACTTTTCTTAAAAAGTTAATACGATCTGAACTTAAGATTAAAAAGTATAAATTTTAATTATTAATTTTATATTAAATAAAATTTAAATTAAAAATTAAAATTATCTGAATTCTAATATACCCTACACCTCTAATAATTTATTATCGTGCCATTGCAGAAAATTTCAAAAATTTATTTAAACCCGTATTTTGGGAAGCTATATTTTCGGCTTATAAACTAGTAAAGCTACTTTTAAAAATGGGACCTAAGAAAGAAATTATATGAAAAATGGTCCACCAACATGCATCATCCATGTTCCTTCTATAATTTCTATTTATTGAAAAGATGATTTTTTTTTCAATATTGGTTCTTTAATTTTGACAAAATGGGATTTCCCTTAGATTTAAAGGCATTGATCCATCTAACTTTTCCAAGGGCAAAATTGGCCCATTGGGCCCATGGTTGGATTTGTCTTGTTACCAGAAGGAAGGTACAAAAAAAAAGTTAATGACCTCCACTTGGTTTGATGATTTCATATTTAACTAGATTCAACAAAAATTTTTCCCAACTTTTCTGATTTCTTGGCTTTAATTTCTTGAAAATTTACATCTCTCCATTGAAGGATCCACCAAGACGGCTTTAAATATGATAACTAATTCAAATAAATCTAACTTTAGAGTGAGTAAATCCATGAAATAAATTCGATTTCAAGGATTTAAAAACCATAAGGATTTCCTTAACCCACCTCTCTTGAAAAAAGGTCAAAGAAAAGGAGCGCAATTGGTGGGGAAAGATTTACAAGCAGTGCTGCATCTGCTGTGGCCTTTATTTTTGTACTGCAACTAACTTTGAGATTTATTGATGTATCGTTGATTTTAAGATGCCGATTTGTTCGCCCAAAACTGGAAAGAAACAAGGCGTTTGTGGATGCTATATTGGGCCAACAAATCAAATCCAGGAATGAAGGGAGTATCTCTTGGGCTCTTTTCTTTTTACCCCATTCACCAGACCAGGCAAATGGAAATGGGTATCTTTGGGTTGGGTTAATTTTGCATTGGTGATTTTTTATCACCTCAAATTCTGAATTCTTCAGCCATGGTTTTATGTGAAATTTTGCTCTAAACATAGTCAAGTTGAAGTTTTCTTCTTTTTTTTTTTCTTTGGAATCGGCCAGTTTGTCAATTGGTCAATCCAGTTAGTTTCTGGTTTTTCCATACATGTTTGCAGTAGTGCTCAACATGTGGTCTTTCGTACAAATTGGCATGCAAAATATTTGTGTGGCTTTTCTGCATGCACTTGATGAAATGTTGAATAAAGATTGTGGGCGTACGTAATTCTAGCATTTTGATTTTTGAGAGAGAAGGTCGAGTCAAAAGTTATTATTAATTCATAATTCAAACTTATTTTTTTATGGACAAGAGAGGGTTGAAAGATCAAAGTTGAATTTTCTTCAAATCCTGGGATAAAATTCCACCATTTAAATCAATATACCATATAATAATCCATATAATTGACCAGAAGTTTGATTTTGTAATGTATAAGAAATAATGCATCATTAATGAGCTGTTAACTGGAATATTAACCAAGAGAGTAAAATCAAAGAATCAAATACTCCAGTCCTTGGAGAGATAGAATTAATCACTATGGAGTAATTGTAAATCTGGTATAGTCTTTCGGCTTTTAGGACTCAGGTGTCTACTTCAGTCTCCGTTTCACGAAGTTGAAAATTAAAGCAACATGGAAAAGATGAAACAATTTACCTTTGAAAAACAAGGGACACGGAAAGTGGATGGTAAGTTGAAAAAGAGTTAGAAGAATGAAAACACATGTTAAGCTAAGTTCAATAGGGGGAAAGGGAAAGGGAAAGTGAAAAACATGATGATTATTTTACGTATTCTTAAGTTAAATCAAGTCGTCAAACAAACCTTGACTAGAGATTACCTTGTGAAAAAAATGGAAAAAATACTTCACGAGAAAATTGAAGGAATCTTGAATGTTTTAATCAAGGTGCCACTCTCTCTAAATTGGCTGATAGCTTTGCTTTTTAAGAGGCATGGTAGGAAGAGAATGTCTAAAAAGCCATCATGCATGGTCCTCAAAAAACAAATGCAATAAGCAAATTGGATTTTTCCTATGTGTCTTTTGAAAGTTCTTAAAATGCTTAGCTTGTTAATTCTGATCTGAATTAATATATTTTTTTTTAATTTCATTCAAATCAAAATCCGATCTAATCGTATTTGCTTATTCTAAGGCTATAGCCTTACAAAATTGAACCTGAATTTTACTTTTTTTTTGTTAGGTAGAGTTGGCTTGTTTTAGATGTGTTTTTTTAAGTCCATTGAGAGAGAGGGGTTTGTCTACTATAGACTAGGTACATTTGAACATGCATATGTTTTATCCTTTTGAAAGTTTGAATACTGTACAATAGCTCTTCAATTTCATGACTTCCACAGCCCACCACTTCAAACTTACTCATTTCAAAAGGTTGTTAGACATGTTAATTAATATGAAATTTGTCAGTAATAACGTAAACATGCAACAACAAATTATCTTTATTACTTATAAATATCGTATTAAATTTGGTGTCACAAGTTTTAGTGATAACAACTCCCTCAAAAAAAAAAAAATCACAACATCAAATAATAAAATAGAAGTATTCATGTTTTTTAATATTTTTAAATAGATTTTTTAAAAAGAACCTCTTTAATTTTCTTTAAACAAAATTATTCACTTTCTCTTAAAAAACTATATATATATATACATTTTCTTCGCTCACAAAGCTTTTTTTCTCATATATCTTTTTCTTTCACCCGCGAAGTGGCCTGGTGTATATATTTCTAGTATAGGTAAAGCTTGCTGCTCATTAAGACCATTCATATATAGTCATAAATTTGATACTAATATTTTTCCCTTGAAGAAAGTAGAAACGTGGTATAGCTTGATCTTGCTGCTCATAGCCATGAATCATGGATTCATCACGTGAGAAAACCGCCCCTTCGTTTATTGGGAGAAACTAAAATCGCCGGTAGTATTTTTATGGGCAAACGTATACTAAAACTTTATGTAAAATCTTAACAGTTGAGACTGATAGTTCAACAGAAATGCGGGAATATTCATTAGGGATTGCCCAGCTAGAAGTAAAAAATAAATAGAAGACCACTACAATAAAGTCTGCCACACCTAGAGATTTCTGTTAAAGTAAACAAAATAAAAGTTACCCATAAAACACTAACCACGAGTTTGGAATATACCTTTTCTGAGAAAAGCTTTGAAATCAATTGGGTTCAAGGGAAGTGTTAGATCTATATTGAGTAAAAAGGTTCATTGGGTCGATTTGTTTTACGTTCAAAACTGAGGTTTACGGTAAACGCTGTGGTAACTTTCTCTCTCTCTCTTTTTGATAATATGATAAATTTTATTTATTCAAGCAAGGAGGAATGAATATATTATGGTAAAATTTTCCTTAGAAGTGACATTAATGGAAGAAATGAACATGTTAATGGTGTATCGTTATAGCCTTATAGCTATCTAGGTATATTCTTTTTAGTGGATTTTTAGGATTCACGTACTCTTGAACTTCACTCATATATATATATATATATATTCAAGACTAAACCATTTAATATTGAAGAAAAACAAAATTAACTTTTATATATACTACAATTTGTTAGGATTAATTAGAAATATGAATATAAGTATTTTGAAGTCTATACTTAAACTATTATTGCCATACATACATAATTAAAGATTATAACGTGCACAAAAACTTATTCTAAAAGGTAATACACCACTACTCCTTAGAAAACCCATGAATGTATGATTATAATATCATACACCATCAATAGGGATTAATACAATTAATTAAAATTTAAAGTCTGGATGTAAAGTATTCAGATTTAAACCCTTATGATTTTATTTTTTTTGGATTAAAAAAATACAATACACCTAAAAATCTTTTGATCAAAAAATAAAATTCCAATAAACTTTCCACAAGATAAGCTTACAATGAAGTTTGTAATAAACTGCAAATCAACGAGCATTAGCAAAATCACCTCAATGGGAAGAACTTTAATTTTGAATTAAGACAAACTCACTTAATTGTAGGTGAGTCCTTGAATTCCATGTATAACTTGGCTTGGTTTGGTTTAGGAAAATTGTGAAGGAAAGGCCAAAACCCACTTTAAAAAAGTGAAATAACCATACAAAAAAAAAAGTGAATTACAAAAATTAGGGCATTTTAAAGTTTTTAAATGTTTAAAAAGAAGGATTATGGTGTACAACATATGTAAGTTTTCATTCATTTTTCTTTATTCAATTAATTAACTTGTTAATTTCAATAATCTTCCTCTTCTTCATTTCATTACGTTTTATTTAGTGATTAAATTAATCTCTTTTCTTTGTGAATATCAATTAACACTTATATTTTGGTATAATTGTCAGTGAATTTTAAAAATAGAAAGCTTTAATTGCATTAAAGCAGCAATGAAAAAGGATATATAATTAGCTAATTAATGAGTTAAACTGATTAAAGCTTAACTGTGTCCCAAAATTCTGATCAAATAAAGTCAACACAACATGTGGAGTGATTGTTGACTGGGTCCTACTACCTTGACAGACAAGAAAGATGCACAAGAAAAGGTAAAAACAAAGTTAAAAGAAAAGAAAAAAAAAAGGGGAGAGAGTAGGGAGAAGAAAATAATAGATAGTCATACAATGTTTGTTCTTTGCAAAGGAAAGGAGCCATACCAACTTTATAAACCCCTTGACCAGAAGACAGCCCACTGTATCTTTTTTGCTCAAATTTGAAAACGTTTGCGTGTCTCAATTCTCCTCTCTCTCTCTGTCTCTGTGAGTATTAATTTATTCTGTCCTTTTGTGGTGGTTTGTGTCTTTGTTTTGAGGTCAGAAGTGAGAGTGAAGGGGCTGAGCTAGCTGCAGGAAGCATGGGGAGAGCTCCATGCTGTGACAAAGCAAACGTGAAGAGAGGTCCTTGGTCTCCTGAAGAAGATGCAACCCTCAAAAGCTATGTTGAGACTCATGGCACTGGTGGTAATTGGATCGCTTTGCCCCAAAAAGCTGGTATACAAAAACTCGTTTCTTCTCTCCCTTTATAGCTAGTTTCTACTAGGGTATTCTCTTCTTCATTTCACCTTTCAATTATAAAAAGAGTTTTTTTTTCTTGTATCTGGGCAAATTTTCCACTACCCATTTCACCAAAATGGGAGTTTTCATATGTTTCCAACTTGATTATTAAATTTGTTCTTCCTTTCTAATAAGCCGGAAAGGAATGTGATCATGAACTATGAAGGGGACTTTTAACTTCAGCTTTCTTATGGTGTATTTTTATTAACTGTTCCATCGTTTTAATTTCCTCTGGGTTCAGAAAATTCTGGCAGATTTTAGCTTTTTCAGCCGTTTAGTTACATTTTGACTGTCAATACGTCCTCTTTGCATTAAAGTTTTAAAAGTAAAATTTACAAATACCATGTACGAACACAATTATGGTACTTCCCCTGTAAGAAAAAAAAAGTAGACTGGCCGCTGAGTTTTGTCTACTTGTTCATGATCTTGTTAAAAGCACCGTTTCAAGTCCGGACATTATTCTCTTTAGTCTGATCTATCCTGTTTAACCTTTTTTTTTTTTAATCATTCTTTCAGCTTTCTAAATAATCTGTTTTCATAATTTTGTTATACTTTTCGGGTATCCATGTATGCAGCTTCCTGATGCCTTGGATCATTTAACCAAATTCACACGACAAAAAAGTTTAGTTTTTTTCGCCTTGGAAAGACTGAATCAAAGAGATCAGAAAATAAGAAAACATTGTAAAATTTGTTTTCAGCAGCCGTAAGAAGCAGCCTCAACTCTTGCTTTTTACGTCTGTCTAAAACAACAAGTTTGAAATGTTTTTTTTTGTCTGTCTTTTATTTGAATTTTGAACCATAATTGAACATCAATTTTTACACCTAATCAATATCTCTTGTTACTTCTAGGCCTTAAGCGATGTGGAAAGAGTTGCCGATTGCGATGGCTTAATTATCTGAGACCAGACATAAAGCATGGAGGTTTTACCGAAGAGGAGGACAACATTATATGCACTCTCTATAGTCAAATGGGAAGCAGGCAAGTTGTTTGTCTTTGTTTTTTCGGCTAAAGAATCTGTCTGGTTGCTCTTAATTTATGCTTCTTGTTAACTTATTCAAATGTCATTTTTTTTTATAAATATTTCATTTAAGACTTATAAAAACCCCACTTGTGATTCTTGTTAGGTGGTCTCTCATAGCTTCTCAACTGCCTGGAAGAACAGACAATGATGTGAAAAATTATTGGAATACCAAGTTAAAGAAGAAGCTCCTGGCAGGAAAATCAAGCTTCAGTATTAGCAAGAGTAATAACAATGGTTTCGGCCCTTCTAACACTAATATTCTTACTCAGCCAGCATCTTCACAGCCTTGTTTACCAAAAGCTGAAACTTACAATCTGGATTACTCAACTTCACAGTCTCATATTTCTACAGCATTGCCAGTTTTATCTGATGTCGGTTATGGATTCTCTGTCAATGGTACTCAAAACTTGCTTTTAGACCCAGTCATGCACTTTTCTGGTCATCTGTCACAGTTAGGTGCAACTTTGGAGAATAGTCACATTGTTACCTCCTCTCAAGATGGATCCGGGATTTCGGATTCTACTTCTCTGGCTACGGAGAGCAAGTCTGTCTCAATGCCTTATAATGGATATCATGTTGAAGATACCGGCAATATTTTGATGGATCAGTTCAGCTATGAGTTTCCTTATGAATTTGTCAATGGCATTTGGAGTCAAGAGAAAGCTGGCGAGGTTGTTCCAAGTTGCTATGATAGTTTAATTGATTTTTCCCATGCTGACATAAAGCCTCAAGGACTGAATCAAAGTGTTGTTAACCGATATGGAGAGAGAAATTAATGCCTGGTAGAGGAATGGTGGAAGAAAAATTAAAAAAGACATGTGAAAGAAGAGATCAGAGATAGATGCAAGATGTTAAGATTTTCTAATCACATGCTATATTTTAATGATTTGGACATTGGGTTATGTAGATAGGACATATTAACCTATGTCAAATTCAAAGTCAAGTAAATGGGGCTTTAATTAATCTGATGTTGATTTTATATGTAATAATATATAGTCTTTGTTCTCTGAATGCAGCCTTTAACCTTTCAATTTTGGACACTGTTACCAGATAGAAACATTTCAAATGAAATCAAAGATTTGTGTAAAGGAGATTATATGCCTCCTCTTTCTGTTAACAGTTAAAGGTTCAATATGGACAATTTGTCATCAGAGAAAGTGGGGTCTTGAAAAATTTTGGTTTTTAATTTATCTAAGGGAAGATGGACATAAGTGTGAGTGTGATTCCATCATCATGTCTGCCTGTTTTTTCTGTTTCAGTTTTCACGAAAGTTGCATGGGGTTGTGGCCTGTTCAAACCTCATCGTGCTGTGAACGTATTCTCTTCAAACATTAACCATAAAAGATTCTCTATGATCAGTCTCTGGCCAAAAATATTATACTATTATTGCCTTTGGAAAGTTTATAAAATAACACATAATGAAATTTACCATTTGAGACGTTTACTTTCCAGATTTTTCTTGAAGCAGCATTAAATTATTGAATGAATATGTATAAGACATGACTTCCCTACAGATATTTTAAGACCCAGAAATTAATAAAGTGCTATAACGTTTTCTTTTACCTTGCATGTGACTCTCCTATGCCAATTGCCTTTTGTCTACAATCTTTCTATTTCATATTTGCCACTTTTATAACTAAATCCCCCAGAAAAAATGCTACTAAACATTAAAAGCTTTTCTACTTTAAACATTTATTTTTCTATCAACTTTTTTTTTTCTTTTCACTTTTTCTCCCTTTTCCTTTTGAAAACAAGTTCTGATACTATGCAACCTCATTATATCTGATAAAGCGACCTTTATCCCCCTGGGGCCTCTACTGTCAATATTTTTTCAACAGAGAGCCAGAAATCTGCTGCAGTTAAGAAGTATACAGTAATCAAATAGTAGAAAAAACCAACAGGTTTTGAATTTGGAAATCCTAGATGCATACCCTGGTGAATGCAATTAATCTTTCCTCAATTTGTCACCATACACTTGCAGGCCAGAAGCTGGCCAAAGACACTTGTTTTTGACTAACTGCTACAGGTTACACTTATTAATTATATTCTTTCCATTACCTCAACAAGAACTGCTTAAAAAGGATTCAAATTTTCAAAGTCTGGGACAAAACTTGTTTAAAGATTTTTTATTTTCTTGAGAAATTAGGTAAACAGAAAGGCCTTCAAAGCTGGGCAGACATTTTGTTCCCTCTAATGTTTGCACATTGCACTTTCAGACATTTCATCATAATGTCCTTTATCAACATCTTGGTGGCGTTACATGTAATTGAATATTCCTTCTTAAAAGTATTTAACAAGACAAAGACATCGGCCCCGATGAATAGGCCAGCGCACCCTTTTCTTTCTTTCTTGGGACACAGATAATTTAATCCTTGCGTTCTATTTAGTGTTTAAAAAAACTCTATCTTTCAATGTCTAATGCTATGCTAATTGAGTTCATCTTCTTTGTTTGGTTAACGTTTTTAAAAGCATTGAAGGCTCTATAGCTAGCCTGCCTAGAGGGCGGCAACTTTTTATTGTAAAAGATTGAAAATCTGATGAACTCTCTGAACATGTAGATATCAAAGAAGATTTTCAATCCCAGCGTAAGAAACGCAGAATCGAATCTAATACTTTAGTTTATATGTATTTTAATCTTTCAAAAATTTTAGTTTAATTAATGTATTATTACTCTATATCATGTTAAATTTTTTTTAAATTGTACAAATGAAATTAGGTGGATCCCTCCACTTTTAATAAATATACTTAATAAATATGTGTCATCTTTTAATTCTATTTATAAAATTTAAAAAACTTTCCGTTGATATATAAAAAAAAAATTTCATAGTATTTAGAAATTTAAAATTTCAATTCTCAATATTAGGTAAAAAAATTCAGGAATTAATAATTTCTCTTCTATGTTTTTTTTCCTCAAGTTCTAAGTTTCCAGTTACCTTGCTTAATTATTATCGTTCTTTATTTATATATATATATATATATATATATATTTCCTTATGATCATGATTTGTGCGTAAATTATACTATTAATTATCAAATTTCACATTTCAAATTAAAATTCCTTCCATCAACTAGCGATAGCATTGAAAAAAATGAAAGAAAGAAAGTAAGGAAATAGACCAACCAATAGTGATCACCTATCACACTAAATTTGACCATGGAGGTTGGCCGAACAAAGTGAACATGTTGATCATTTTCTTCATTGTTTTCCCCCATATTAGCTTTTACAGATAATTAAAGAAAACAAAGAAAAGGCACAACCATTACAATTCACAAATGCCATCTTATATATTCAAATAAAAATGTTTTCTACCTTTGAATACTATTGATTCCACAGCTCTTTCATGATAAAATTATGTTAAATTATTGATAGTTCGCCCATCGACAATCAATACCAAGCCAATTTCAAGTCAACCAACAGATAATTTTTTCAATAGACATCAGCACAATAATTTATTCCTTGGAAAACCTAATAATTAGAAGTAGACATTATATATTTATACATATTCAATTTTTAATGCAAAAAAACTTTGATCTAAATGTTTCTTATATAAAATTATGGTCCCAACCTCCAACTTTATATATAAAATGATGGTCCTAACCTTTTATATATATAAAAGAGAATCTCGAATACTTAACTACGGGTCATACTAAAATTAATATGCTTGAGCTTTCATCTTGTCTTTTACTTTGACCGTTTCAAAAGCATGAACGACAAATTCTTCCATGAAATTTCCATGCATGTTCTTCCAAGTCATTTGTATAATATATATTATTATGACTTTCAGTTTTTTTTTTAAACCAATGGCCGTGATTGGATGTCATTTTTAACTCTAACATATATATAGCTATCTATTTTTTTTGTCTTTTTCTAGACAAGGCACTCGTTGAAAATTTTGTATCAAGAACAAGGCAAATATGGATATGTTCACTCTCGCTAGTATAAAATGCTGTTAATCAACAGGGAAATTATGAAAATATTAGTGAAAGAAGATTGAGTTTACATTGCTTGAGTGATCATGTATACGTAACAAGAACAATGTAGTGGCATAAACAAGGAAGTCAATGGCAACGGAAAAAGAATTAGTCCATTCTGTTCTGACTTCTGACATATAAAACAGAAACAAATTGATCTTTTATTTAAAAAAAAAAAAAGAAGCATGCATGGCAATAGTGCGGCATGCAAACATAATCTGATTTCATTTAAATGTGAAACAAACCCAAATAGGTTGAAACTTTTAATTCTTGCACCAATGCTAAATTTCATGATATAGCCAGCAAATGAAATCCAAAGGGCTAAAGCCCAAAAGAAACGATTGTTTTGTTATAAAATCGTTTCCATGTAGTTCACAAAAGCCCTAATGCTATAGCAGCAGCTGCACACAATAAGTTGCAAATTAAGTTAGTGAAAGGAAATTTGTGTCAAAATTTACAAGCAAAATTCCATGGATCAAACTAGATCTCTAAAGTACCATCTCTTCTTGTAAAGAAGCAAGCTCGTCGATTTCAATATCAGCTGTTTTATTCTGAGGAACTGGATGGGCCGCGGGTTGCCTGCTAGACGGGAGAGATACAAAAGGTACAGTGGCAATTGTAGAAGGCTGGAGTATCTGTTCTTCCAAGCGGGCTCCTTCAAGTTCTCCAATCTCAGCTTCCAATTAAATGATCCGTGATTTTGGTCATATATGCCGACAGCGAAATGTAGCAATAAATTCAAAGATACGAACCTTTTTCTTTTTTGAAGTGGAAACTGATAACTGCCTAGAGCTAGAGGCGTTTCATTTTAAGCTTCTGCTTATCACGTCGAAAACGGAGGGAATAGAAAAGCCTACTGGCTGTGGTTAGCCATGTGTGTCTCACAAATTACAGACCAAATAGTAAAACTTAAGGAATATGTGTGTAAATGAATTGAATGTTATCAAAGGAATATATGTTTGTGATTTATTTGTTTATTTTTAGAGTTATTTAGAATTGATTGATGTTTGATAAAAAATTATTCATTATGTCTAAGTTCAATTTATTTAAATAAAAAAATATTCGTATTTTATTTGTGTTTAACTCATTTAAATCAAATAAATTTGTTTATGAATATTAAATAAACATATATATAAAATATATATAATTAAATATATTCATAAATAATAAATAAATTATAACTAAATAAATAAACAAATAATTATAAAATAAAAAACAAATGAACAGTTTAGTTTGTTATTATTATTATTGAATAATAAATAAATATGAATGAATCATAAACAAATAAATTTTAAACTATTATTAAACGAATTTATTAATAAACATAAATAAATAAAAAAGATTGATATTTATATTCGATTCATTTAATAAATAAATATAATAACAATATTTGACTTTTTAGGAGGTGAATTTTGCAGATTCAATCCTTCACTTGCAATAATTTTTTTTAAACTTCCATCTATTTTGTATCAATAATAATAATATTATTATTTAATATTATAGGAATAAATTTGGTATTTAATTATTTTTCGTCCGCATAAACCACAATCTTGTTATAACAATTCATCCCAAAATCCAGGTGTGACAACACATTTTTTTTTGACAGAATAGGAAAAAATTAGTTTTTTTTTCTTTTGCCAAGAAAAAATTAGTTTGGGTTAAACCGCCATTAGAAAGAAGATTAAAACAGAGAAGTAGAAAAAAAAAAAAAAAGAAATACAATTACAAGGGTTTTTTTTTAACTTGTAATTTTAAACGGAATCGAAGGTTGGCGAGGCTTAAAACAAAGGAAGAAAAGAAAAAGAAAAAGAAAAGAAAAGGAAGCGAGATGTTACTCATCAATTTTAAGACTAAACACTTCGAGATCTAGCATTTGGCCTCTTTATTCTTTCAGATCTGCGCCGTCTTGCTGATTCGGTCTATACATTTTCTTCGACCGTTGTTAGCTTTCCTTTTTTTTTTTTGTTAGATCCGCGATGGATTTCATGAAGGTCTTCGATCAGACGGTTCGCGAAATGTAAGCTCTAAATTCCTTTATTCGAAATTTTGAATTAAAATTTAATTGATTACCGTTTATCATCAAAGATAAGTTAATTGATTTATTTATTTTTTTGTTTTCTTTTGTTATTTCAGAAAGAGGGAGGTGAATCTAAAGGTATTGAAGGTTCCGGAGATCGAGCAGAAGGTGAGATCGACTGCAATTTAATGTTTCCTCGAATGCTTATTGCTTGGAGAAATATGCTTAAGATTTGAACAGTTATTGGATTCATTGAATTTGTTTTAAAAACAAAATAGTAAGATTATGATTTGTCGTATAAAGTAGAGATTTGGCACAGGTTGAGTGTGAAACAGAAATGTTTGTAGGAAAATTAGAATATATTCATGGAAAGAATCGGATTCATCTTTGAGCGGAGGTTTATGATATGATTGAAAGCTCAGGTCCAAGTTGCTTATTGCTTGCTAGTCTTTTCCTTGATCTTTTGGATTGTATTTGGTGTTGAAATTCATTATAGAAATGTTCTAAGTGTATGATGTTGCATGAGATCCAGAATTCCTTTTACTGTTGCTTCTGACATTTATGGTGGAATTTGAAGGTTTTATCTTACTTTTATTCATTGTAATTGAGTGGCGAGTTCAGAACTTGGTGGGTAATGATAAAATGTGTTATAGTATGTATTATATTGCTCTCAGTTTTTCTGATAATACTATAGGCTACGTTTGAAGTGCATGTAACGTTTTATAGGATTTATCTGGTTACATAATTTTTATGGCAAATGTATGCAGGTACTGGATGCAACAGATAATGAACCTTGGGGTCCCCATGGCACTGCATTGGCAGAAATAGCACAGGCCACAAAGAAATTGTAATCATCAACTTTTGCACATAGTTCCTTTTTCATTCTATTTTGTGTCATTTCTCTGGTGTTGGTGTTTGAAAGATGTGTCTCTCAGTCTGCTAATTGAATGGGCTACCATATCTTGTAGCACGGAATGTCAGATGGTTATGAATGTTCTTTGGACAAGACTGGGTGAGACTGGAAAAGACTGGCGCTATGTCTACAAGGTATGTGTATTCTTCTGTAATATTACTGACAAGTCATCTAATACAGTAGAAACTTGATATGTATTTCCAAAACTTAATGGCTTATGGGTGTTTTTCATGTCTCGAACATCTGAAACCACTTTCCTACCAGGCATTGGCTGTTATAGAGTATTTGATTTCTCATGGATCTGAACGTGCGGTTGATGACATAATAGAACATACTTTCCAGATCTCTGTAAGGCCTGAATCCCTATAATTTCTGAGAGTTGCCTTTTCACAGTTTATGGAAGTAAAGTTGAATTTCCTCTAATATTCTGCATCCCCTATTTGTTTTGCATTTCACAGTCCCTCACAAGTTTTGAATATGTTGAGCCAAGTGGGAAAGATATGGGAATCAATGTCAGGAAGAAAGCCGAAACTATAGTGGGGCTTTTGAATAATAAAGAAAAAATACAAGAAGCTAGAAATAAAGCTGCTAATAACCGTGACAAGTAGGTTTATTTCAGGAAGTGAAATTGTATGCTTACTTGTAGTATTTTCATTGACTGAACAGTGTGTCTGTTGCTATTTCTAGGTACGTTGGCCTGTCATCTACTGGCATTACTTATAAGTCTGGTGTATCCTCGTATGGTAGTGGAGGCTTCAGTGGTGGTGGGGATAGGTATGGAGGCCTAAATAGCACAAGACAAAGTGACAGCTATAGAGATGGTTATAAAGAGAGGGACCGATATGGAGAAGAAAAGTTTGATACAGACACCTATGTGAAGTCACGTCGAGGGACTGCAAGTGAGATCCAAGGGAATTCCTCAAAGGAGTCTAGACATCATGGCAGGTTTACATTTTACACAGTTTACTATTAGTTGCAAATTCTTAAATAATTTGTGTATTGTATAACTTGGCTTTTACACTGTTATCTTTAAGTTGGAGAAAATTTCTTGGGCGTGTCCATTTCTCTATTGGTTGTGAACTCCATAACCATTAGTACAGTGTACTGCCATATTTTTGGTTCTAGGAATCATGTTGCTGTGTTAATCCATTTAGTTTAGATGATGGTTCCTTTTTCACTATTCATAATACCTTTAATATGAAAGTTCAAGATCTATTACTGTAACATGTTGGTCTTGTTCACACTCATGCAACCACATAAAATGTGATCAAACACATCATCACATGTGAAACACACACCTGTACCTGCAAGCTGCAAATGTTACATGTGTAGCTATTCATATTTTGCAACTTTTTTCCCTTTCTTAAAAATCTTATTTTGTAATGTCTGTTGTGCAGCAAGGATCCAAAGAATAAATTCTCTTCAAAGTTGAGTGATTCGAACAAAAACAGTCAAAGCACAAGCAACCCTTCAAATAATTATGAAGATGATGATTTTGATGATTTCGATCCCAGGGGAACATCCAGTTCAAGTAAGAAACAATATTCATTTCCTAAGTTGAGAATGCTTCTTTAGAGGTTTTCTTTTTATCATTTAAACTTAATCTTAAACATGGTGGTGTAAATCCTGTTCTGCTAGTTCATTTTGCTAACAGGCTTATGGTTGGTAGAAGTGTGCTCCTTCCTCTTCAGTAATAGTTTTTATATGGGATGCGTTTTACCGATGCATTGTTGATTATTGTTTTGACAGAGCCAGCGGCTGGAAGTTCTAATCAAGTGGATTTGTTTGGACCAAGTTTGATCGACGACCTCTTCAATGGACCAACATTGGAAAAGTCTGCCATGAATACTGATTCAGCAGAAGTTGATCTATTTGCTGATGCAACTTTTGTGTCAGCACCAACCAAAACGGCTAGTGAAGCAAGTCCTCAGATACCGGTCAGACTTTTTTATCTTAATATTTGGAAATGCATCAATGAATTATTGTAGCTATGCCTATTGAATTGAGCTTCAAGAAAATAGTTGTATATTTTGTCTTGTAAACAGATGTAAGTAGCTTATCATATAACATGAAATTCAATATAATGTTGTTTCCTTTATCTTAAAATATCATATGATAGGATCAGTTAAATGTCATAGCCCCAATGATTTCTTATGGTCATTTTATACTCAAAACAGCTTTAGTGGTTGGAGAATTAGAGGTCCCTTTAATTAACTTCATGTGTACCCCTTCTTCTCCTTAATACAAAAAATATCTCCACTGATAAAAATACCATTGCTTGTTTTCCTTTGGTTTGCTTAAGAACCTGTAATCTTAGAAATGCTTTTATTTGAGCATGTAGAATATTAGCATATATATATATATATATATAATATAGTAATCTGATTTTCAGTTGCATATAATAGAGGTATTTAACTAACGAATGAAGGAGTCAGGGCATTTTCTTTAATCATGAGGAGCTGAAATCTGCTTCCCCTCCGCTTCCCCTTTTCTCTTTTGTGCAGGAACAGGTTGATCTATTTGCTTCCCAGCCTGCCATTACTCCTGGAGCCTCCCCAACTGTTGACCTCTTTGCTACCATTGATCCAGTTGTGCAACTGGACACCACGGCATCAAGCTTTGAGCCAGCAAATATTAACATTGTTGATCCATTTGAGGCTGTTCCACTGAACAATTTTGATGGATCTGACATTTTTGGTTCATTCACGTCTCATTCTGATTCAGCTTCAAAAGAACCAACACAAAATCCCACTAATGATGGAAACCTTAACAACGTGAGCACAAAATCATCACAAGACTCTAAAGCTCCTCAAAAGAAGGATACTTTTCAGGTGAAGTCTGGAATTTGGGCTGATTCACTGAGCCGTGGAATAATTGATCTTAATATATCCGCTCGTAAGTATCTCTCATTATAAGCTTTACTCATTGTTTTATAAATATGTATATTATGCATCTCTTTTACCGTTTTTCTTTTGTAATTTGAAACCTTGCAGCCAAGAAGGTTTCACTGGCAGATGTCGGCATCGTTGGCGGACTGAGCGATGTAGATGAAAAAGACAAAGGACCTCCAACTTCATTTTATATGGGGAGAGCAATGGGTGCTGGGTCTGGTCTTGGTAAAACTGGGTTCACATCTACACAAGCAACTGCTGAAGATGATCTATTCTCAAGCCTTACCAGCCAACAGTATCAATCCGGTAGCTTTAAGAAGTAATTTTGTTCATTTTCCCTTGGCATTCTTTTCCCAATTTGGAAAAAAAAAATTATCCAACATGTTGCCAATTGAAAGGATATAGTTCCGTATCATATGTATGAATCATGAGGGTACATACTTCAGCGATATTCCGCACAAAGTCCTGAAATCTTTTTTTTATTGTTGTAAGTTGGTATTGGGATTTGATTCATGTAACTTGGCGGCATTATTGTGGTTCACACCACTTTTGGAGTAATTAGCATTGCGAGATTCCAAGTTGTATAGCCTGTCTCAAGAGATTGTCCCAATGAATGGATTTATTGAACATACGATTATTATCAATTCGATGGCATCCTTTCCATAACGTAAAAAGAATTGAAGTACTATTATTATTTGTCATTACATACTTTTTTCTGTTTCTAAGAAAGGGATTATTCATAACTCAATTTGCTCTTCCATCTCCTAAACTGTAATTACTCCGATGATCTTAGGGTTTAGCTTTTCTTAAATGAAACATCATTTTAAAAAAATATCACATCTTGAAGATAAAAAAGATTGTAAATGTTATGATTTAAATCTCAAATTTATTATAGTTTTTTACTTATTAGTGAAGAGAAAAATATTAACAAAAAATCGAAAGATTCAAAATTGTAGTATTTTTTGAATTAATTTTTTTATTCGATTCAAATTAAGTTTAAATATTTAATATATATTAAATTAAAATCAAATTTTAAATTAAAAATTAAAATAAAAAAACCAAATTAAATTATATATTTTTATTAACTTTTATATATATTTTAAATTTTTATAAAATAAAATAATTATTTTATATTTAAATATATTAAAAATTATATCAAAATAATATATAAAAATAAAAAATAAATTTCCAAAATCAATAGACCTAGCTAATAAAATTCCATTTGAAACACTTTCAATAAAAAATCGAGTCAAATTAAATTTTAAATATTTATAATATTTTATATACTAAGTATTATTTGAAAAAATCAAATGGAATCTAATAAATTATCACCCCTACTTAAACGTGAGAACTAATTGAGCCAACACTCCTAAACATTATTTAATTATATATTTTTCATTCTCCAAATGGCTAATTATACAGATATTTTCCTTTTTAGAACAACAGACATTTAATTTGCATTTAAAGCCTACCTCCAATATCAATATTGTCCAGGATCAAATTCAGTCTCAGTCTCGGATGGGTAGATAATGATCACTGTACATATAGGGAGGTCAGGCAAACGCAAATGGTCTTGGGAGTTTGTGATCATTTGATTACAGTTTTACGAGAAGCCCTAAAAGACACTCTCACTATTAATCCATCATTCTTCCTCTCAGCATGGCTTCAGCTTTCCTCACCTGCTTTACAGGTCCAATGACGAATACCTGCTTAAAAACCAGATGATAATAAGGAGCACACTTATGGGATAGTGAGTCAACATAAAGTATATGTACCATTCTTAACAAACATGATAATTTTAAATATGACACGAAAATTATACAAAAAAATAAATACAAAAGTGATCCAATTTAAAATTTTAGTAAAGACCGTATGAGTTTGGATAAACCTACAAAATGTGTTTCGTGTTTGACATGTCAACACAAATTGTAACGGTAATTTTTGTATTTTATACGAGTTTGACATGATACAAACACAATATGAATGTACGAATTACTAGGTCTAATTCTTAGAAAGAAAAGAAAGATGCCAAATGTAACAGCTAGGAACTATGCAAGGTATCGTACACCAACCTTGTTTGGTGGACCCTTAGCACCTCCAACAAAGATTTCAGCGCTGCGAGAAAGTGAATTTGAAGTAAAGAACAGGTAAACAAATTTGTAGCTCCAAAACTAAAGGAGACATGCATGCATGTTTGTAGGGATGGGGAAAGAGAGGCATGTTACTTGCAAGATTCCTTTATTGACATTATGGAAGCTCCTTTTCTTCCAATAACACGACCCATCTTCCCTTGAGGAACATCAAGAATAGAAAGTATTTCTTCCTCGGGAGCATTCCCTTCTGTTATTAAGTTATCTACAGAAATAAATCTCACGCTTTGTCAGTATCCCATATAAAGTACAATATTTTTACTTAAATTCTGAAAACATTTTTCTTTGTTCTAATGAATAGTGCAGAGTCCAGTACAACTAGGATTTAGGAATATAATTTGAAACTTATTCTGCTTTGGAAATATCCATATTCCATAATCACTCTAGTCCAGAAATGTCATTCAAAGCATTACTCTCATTCAAATTTCACCAATATATGCCACATTACATTATTGAAGCTAAGAGATTAAAATCCACTTATCAGTAATTTATATGGAGATGCTCAGTAGGTACCAAAAAATGCAAGTGAGCAAGTAATATCTTTCCCCAGGACTAACAAGAAAAGGATAATTACTATAATACGACCATAAGAACCTGGAATGGGAGAGAGAGATGGCCAATCAGCAAAATTATTATCATTGATGCAGAAACATCGGCAATACAATGCTCCACGAACTGCAAGGTACCATAAGGATCGTTGATTCAGTTTCTCCATCATCATGTGGTAGATGTATAGAAGAAAGCGAACATCATCTGTAGCTGCACGGACCATAAGCTCGGATAATGGTCTATAAGTCCAAAAGTTGGGATCCTGGGTTGGGAAGACACAAACTATAAGGATTGAAAAAATTGTAATTTACATATTATAGTTAAATGTTATTATTAACATATGAAGCATCCGCCTATACACAGAAATTTGAATTCTGAAGCAAAATATTTTAATTAATCTAGATGTGTCAAATGACAAATAACTAGGGAACAGTTTTAAATTTACTTCTGTTGATACTCTTGTCAGATTTGGTCTTGCTCTATGCAAGGCAAAATTTTAATTAAACCTTCACCACCGAATAACATTTGAGAGGTGGCAACAAACTTGATATCTTTCCAGGCTAGATAGAAGGCGTCAAAGCTCAAAAGGGCACTGTGTACGAAGTGAGTAAAGTGCGAGAAGGAGGGAAATCACCAGAACAAAGACATGCTATTGTTCCAGCCAGCTACCTACTAAACCAGGAAATAAATTATGCTGATTTCCATGCTATACACAATTTGCTTTTAATAAGAAAGTAAATACCCAATAGCTTTCTGGAATTGAAAAAAGATGAGGCAATTACTTTTATCCAAATGCTCCAGCAGTCTAATTAAAATATCCCATCAATTCCATGTTAGTGATAAGAAGTTTAAACTAACCTGTCTAAGGAGGACACGAACCTCTTCCTTCTCCTGATAAGATATGCCTACATTTAAAGTATGAAGGCATAAATCAAAGCCAAAACAGCAGATGTAACTTGAGAGGAAGTCTAACTTTGCTAGTGTAAAAGAAGCCTATAACACATCCAGTTTCAAACAGCATAAAAAAAAAATACCAAAACATAAAAGTATGCCAAGCAAGATCATAAGAAAGTATCATCACTTCTCACAAGTGCAAGTTTGGAAAGGACTTAAAAGAAACAACCAAACAAACAAATGGTCATACTAAGGCAATAGCTAACTATTTGATTTCAACAGTTAATGGAGCACACTACAAAGTGACATCAACCAAAAAGCCAGAAAGTGGTCCTTCAGGGCAATCGATAATACTTATCTCTAAGATCCATTTATGACACGTCTTAAATATTTTGCAAGGAAAAAATTTTCAGTTAGCACAGTTAAGCTATAGACAAAAAATTCTGTGACCTGAATTAATTAAATTCAAATGGATACCAGGATATATAAATACCACAATAGCGTGGATCTGCAAGGAGGCCAACAAAAGATATGTAGTCACCAGGCAATCTTGTCCGTCCTTCTTGTTCTTCTATAAGAGAATAAGCAATCTGCAGGGCAATCAAAAAAGAAAAAGAGGCAATGTCAAACTATTCAACATTATCAACATTAAACCACATATTAATTTGAAGAATATTGAAAGCAAGCAAGAGTAAGCTACTATGAAATTCAAGCAATTTGTTTCCAAATGAATTTATGCACATGGAAATAAAAGAACACCATAAACACTTAAAAGCAAGAATTAAAAAAAAAAGTAATGAAACAACAAGCATTAGGAAAAACCCTGTTTAAAATGATAACTAGATAGGCTTATATCCATCGACATGCTCCACCATTGGTGTAACAACAAGCATTAAAATTATAGGAATATAAGAAGATATTACCATTATTTTAATATGCTTTACCAATTTGCTAAAGATAGGTCCTCAAGCTCATAAAGGATGCTCACCTGGGTGTCCATAACGTTGTGTAAATTGATGCCAAATTGAAAGTACAATGCCTGTAAAATAAGAACAAGTTCAAATAGCCCATAAAGCATATCAAATGCGCCAATGATTCAAAATTAAAATAAAAAAAAATAGACACCTCACTATCTCGTTTGCAATCGTGAATAACTTTTTTGATGTAACTAGACTCAAGTGCAGGCTTACAGGCTTTTATGAGCACCTCTCCACCCTCAATGGCGTCAACCAAATATATAGCATCTGGAAATGCAAGCTGCCAGAAAACAGTATTTGTATAAAATTTAAGAAAAGAAATAGCACAGGCAAGTTAAGGCATTTCAATTTTTAAACTAACAGAGACAAAATTCCACTCGCCTACAAAACATAGACAAACATATCTAACGAACAAACCACGGTTCTTCATAAAGCATATCATTATTGACTCAAGAAGCAAAACCTAAATAATTTGAGCCAAACAGTCATTATAACTATAGTTAACCTGCATAATACAAAGATTGCCATGGCGACAAAGGTCAATGCCCTCGCAGTCAAAACCTACGACCAACTGCCTTTCCGGCGAAGGGTTCAGGAACTCCAGAGGAAGCTGAGAAACATCGGTCACTATATGGATTGGAACCAGAGGAGCTTCATTGTCAAATGGATTGCCACCTGCAACACATTCGTCAAATCAACAAAATTAATACTAATCCAATACAAATTCAGTAAAAAAAAAAATTAAAAAAGGAACAGTGAGAATTCAGCGATTTGAAAATCAGTTTTTTTCTTAGCTTAAACCCGCCGATGGAAGCGAATTAGGGCAATAGATCACAAATCAAATGGCAGGTAATCCACCGCCATAAAGCTAAATTTAAATTAAAAAGTAAAAAGCACAATAGCAAACAGACTTTTAAATCAGAAAAAAATTAAATCGATAATAAAAAAGATTATGAAAATTAGCACCTGAGTCAGAAGGGAGAGGAACGTGAGTGCCATGAGAACGAGTATGGTGAGAGGAAGCCATGCGATCGGACCATCCAAGCAGATTGATTTTTTTTCCTTTTTTTTTCTTTTTTTTTTCCTTCGATCCGAAGTCTTGACTGGATTTATATTACTCTCATATTCTATTTATTTTACCGGGGTTAGTTTTTTAACTAAATGAATTTTCGTTTTAATGTATGATCTGGGGCGGAAGGTACTACCTGATTATCAAACGACTCTGTGTATTTTTCCACCACGTCATCTGGATCAATGACATGGCCACGTTAAAAGGAAGGGGAGGAGGGGGAGGGGGGGTAAAATGAAAATCATGCGTTCTCTTCGTTCTTTCTTAACTTTTAAGGGAAATGTCCAGTGTGAGTGAAAAAAAAAAAAAAGTGAAATACTTTTGGTTTTTGGCTGAAATCATAGAATCACACCTTGGTCAATTTGTTTGTATAATTAAGAATATTAATAGTTATTTTATTCTATAATTAAAATCACACCTTGGTCAATTCTCACTTACAATATTTATAATTATTTTTATTCTATATTTTAAAAAATTATTTTATTATATTTATCTAAATTTCCTTTTTTTAATATATAAATCATGTATGGGATGGTAATGAAAATAGATGATGTTGAATTTCAAATACAATATTTTGTTTACTCGTCAAGTGCAAAAACATTAAAAAAAAAAAAAATTGGTTATTTCTCATATCTTCCATTCTAATATTTAATGCATGACTTAATAATTTTCAAAATCATCATTGAAAATTTCTTAAAGGTTTGAACATTGAACAAAAAAAAAATTAGTTTGATCGATTTTTTTATTATTTGTTTCTTGTTTTAAGTTTAATTTTTTATTTTTTCATTTTTATTAAAAAATAAATAAAATATCAATAAAACGAAATCTAAATAATCACAACTAATCATAGATGCAGTAGCACTTTATATAGTGGAAAAGAAATTAAATTTATAATAATATACTGATAAAAAAGAAGAAGCAAACCATCTTTCTAGTATAAAACCTCTTTAATTGCTTATGCTTTTAAGTAAATGAAGGAAATCTTGGAAGATAAGCAAAGGCATCCGTAAAAGTATTACCTTATGCTAATTGGTTAAAATCCGCCAGCTATTCTTTGGTTATTACTAAAGAAAGGATAATGGATTGTGGCAAGACACGAGAAAATAAAATATTGATAGTGGCAAGTCGGCATTGCGATGGACCGCACGTCCTTTTTGGCATTGGTTTTTTTGCTATTGGTTTTTGTTATTCTTACTTTATTTGTGAATATTTTTTTATTTATTTTGAAACCGAGATAATAATTATTTAAAATTAAAGTTGTCAATGTATAATAGTATATGAGAATAGTTACTTTTGAACTTTACTCTTCCGCTTAATAAAATTTATCCAGTTAAAAATTTACTATTATTTACAAGTAGAACTTAATATTTCAATTAGTTTAATAGTATTGTCCTATGTACAGCTTGTACTTGTACACTTTACTCATTTTTGTGCATATTTCTATAAAAGAAATTTTCTGTTTGTGTACATGCTGCAAATTGAAAATATTATATTTGCTTTAATATTATTGTCCTGAAGCTAAATGTTCTGCATTTGTCTTGTTTCAAAGATGACATTCAAAGAATTTCTCATTTACTTTTATTGCTAGCCTTTGGATTAATTATTTCGTTGTTTTCTCTGATGTAATGCTGCTATATTTGATTTGCATGATATTGCCTTATTCTTTTAGTTGGATTCTGCTTTAGCATCCTAATTGCTATGAAATTCGAAAGGTATGTTGTCAAAACTGATGCTATTTTTGAGCTAGGAAGAGGTTTCAACCTTCAATGAAACCGAAGGAGGTTTCTGTGGTGAAAGAGTCACAAACCACTCCTCCCCAAAGCAGAGAACAAGGATTTGAGGATAATCATAGACTTCATCTCTTTAGCTATTAACCATTTTAGTAACTTTGCCTTTGTGTGAAGCAATTCTTGTGTGTGTATTAATCTTTTCAAAATGATCCCGTTGATATTCTCCTTTCGCCTGCCAGCGATTATATGTATATTAAACTATAATATTATGACCTCTGCATTTTTTCTTGAACAAATCCTGTTACTCTTTACAGTCAATAAAAAGTATTTGCAGTACAAGTGTTTGAGTTGTATAGACTGATTAAGGTAAGGTGGTTAGTAGGTTCAAAGACTAATTGCTGGATCACCGCATCTCTTGCTCGAGGATACGACATATCTGGGCGAACCCTCTTTTGAAGGATCTCCTGTGAAGAAGCTTCAACCAGAGTTTATTGCAAAACCCCTGCCAAACACTAAGCAGAAAGATGACTCTGAGAGGCCAAGTCATAAAATGGAATTTTCAGCAGAAAATGCGGTTCGTAGGACATCCCTCTCTCAAGTGAAAAATGGTAGTCAGCCTTCAAATTATGGGCCTTTCCTTGGAAATCCACCACCTGCACCAGTTAACGGTGGTAACAAAATTAATCCTTGGTGTTTCCATCAGGTGCCTGGGTACCGGTGGCTGGTTCCTATTATGTCCCCTTCTGAAGGACTGATATACAAACCCTATCCTAGAGCTGGATTCATGGGATCCTTTTGTGGAGGATGCGGACCTTTTGGACAAACTCCAGTGACAGGCAACTTTATGACTTCACCTTACGGAGTTTCTACTCATCAAGGAATTAGGGTTCTACCAGGTGCACCTCCAGTTGGTCACTCTTACTTTCCTCCTTATGGGATGCCAGTCATGAACCCAGCAGTCTTTGTTTCTGCTGTGGAACAAATGAACCAATTTGCTGGACCTGGTTCCCATGACCATCGTGGCCCGTTATCTGGAGGTGGAGCTAACTTTAACATGCAACATCAAAGTTCATGTAATTTGCCTAGCGAGAAGAATGGTTCTATTTCTCATGCCATGAAGTTTCAGGCATATTAAGACACTGAGCTACAAGGGAGTACTGCAAGCAGTCCTAGTGAGAGTGTGCAGGGAGATGGGGCCAATAGTGCTGCTAAGGAAAAAATGCACTTCCACTTCTCCCTACGGCTCCAATCATTCCAGAGGGAGCCTCTCAGCCTCATGATACCGAACAGAGGACGAGAGTGATAAAAGTTGTTCCTCATAATCCAAGATCAGCCACTGAATCAGCAGCTTGTATTTTCCAATCCATACAGAGAGAGAGAGAAAACAATATGATACACTTTAGCTTGTTTATATCAAACAAACTATTACAGGCAAATGATCTGAGACTCATCTAGCTAGGTGCGTTGTTTGGTCATTTTCTCTGTACTTTTTGGTAATGATACTGTAACTTTTTCCTACTAATTTTCTATTTTCCGAGTCTGGTTATAGTTTATTCATATGTGGATATATCTTTGAAAGATTACAAGTCAATGTAACATGAATTTTTGTCTCGTCAATACTTTGTTATAAACTCATTTTAGGCAGATGCAAGACCCTTTTAAGGGGAAAGATAGCTTCAGTTCTGAATATGATGTACTTGATCACTAGCTACCTGACAGCTTTGCTTTTTGATTTCCTTATCTCTATTTTGTGATCTCATTTTGAAGGAAGAAATGATGATAATAAAAATATAACTTAAGCAAAACTTTCCAGTGCATCTGATTTTATTAATTGTTTGCTAAATGGTGAATACAATTTGGAAGGCTCAAGGACAAAGGTGATTCTGACCAGGACCTCCGAAGTAAATAACTGGGTAAACTCCATATCTTTCTATGTAATTATAAGCAGAGTAGCAGTAATCTTCATCAGACCAGGTGTCCACCCACTCAGGGTACTTGAGAGATAGAGAATAGTCTACAATCCTAACATTGTTGATGTAACATGCGTTACCAAATAGACCCCGAGCAAATTCTCCACTTCCCATGGCAGTCTTGGTATGAGGAGTTTTAAACACATTAGGGCTGTAAACTTCTCCTCCCCATTGAACCAATGTTGAACTGTGATTCAAGTAAAACATGAGGCTTCCGGCAGGCCAGTACCCAACAGTTATATCATCCGCGTATTTTAGCCACCAATTGCTTGTTTTTGGATCCTGAAATCAACAACTCAAGTTCGTGTAAATGAAAAATAATAAACCAAGGCACAAAAGATCACCATTAAAGAAGAGAGCGTGAAAAAACTAATGATACCATGTATATGCCAACAGTGATATAATACTGTCGTCCAGACTTGCTGGACCAGCTATCAATGGCTCCTCCAAGGGCAAAATCGCGGCTCGTTTGCACGAAGCCACTGCACGTGAGGTCAAAGCAACCTGTTTTCTTGTATGCATCCGTCTGAAAATGAAATACAAAACTAACATGATGGAACTAACTGCAAATTTACTCTTCCCATTTTTTTACTCTGAAAACTTAATGCACTTACAGTCCAGTATGCAAAAAATCGAGTCCGTTTGTCACCATATAATTTTGGGTTTACCTGTGAAAATATTGGAAGTTATGACAAAAAGAAGAAAAGAAAAATGAAAAGGATGTTTCAGGTATCAGTCTTTCTTAATGAACTAACCACCCATCCTGATTCCAGGCTTTCAAAATCGTCACCAGGCCCTCCTTTCATCCATATTTGAGCAGTACTGTAATCGTCTGGAGAAGCAACGTTTGGATTCCAAACATTTATTTCTCCTTTGGCTCCTATGTAGTTGTATCCAAGTGTAAGAAGAAATGCAGACTGTTTCAGAAAGCCATATCGTTAGAAAAGTATTCAGGCACTGATCAGTGAAAAAGTTGTAATGAATAAGGCATTTGATCTCGATAATCCAGCAACGAAAAAATTTGGTCCAAGACAAACAGAAGAACAACATAGTGTTTACTGTTCCAGTAGTTGTCAAAAGACTCTGAACTCTGAAGGCATTGGGCAATTGGCAATAAAACTTTCTAATCTAATAAAGGGTCTCATCAAAATGATTTTATAATCAAACTATCTTTAGCATTGCAAAAGGTACCATATAGCCTGAGGATACTTACAGAGCGATTAAGGTTTGGACCAAGTGTGGCTTTGGTTTTGTTAATATATGAGAAGCTACCATCTCCCTGATTTGTTCTGTTTGATGGAAAGAAAACTTGTGGGGGTTTTCTTCCAAATTGCTCAAGAGAAGTTGCTCTCAGTAAGTCCTGCCTTCGCATTCTGCGAATGGGAACAGTTCCTTCTGGACAGCTTCCACTTCTTTGCCAAGTTTGGGTTACCACTTGCTTGGAAGACTCCTTTTTTATGCTTAAATTGTCTTCCTGTAAATCAAAACTGGGTCTCATCTGCACATTAACATTTAGTATAACAGTTAATACCACTGCCGCATACAGGAAACTTCTGGTATGGTTAAAGATAGAAGGAGAAGGGAACATAATGTTAGAAAAATGCACCTGGATGACGTGATTCCTTAATGCAGGGTGATCAAAAGCAGGTTGTTTGTGGATATCAACACAATCGATAATATCTCCATCTTCACTCTACCATAGCCATTTCAATGCGTAGAAGATTAGTCAATAACTAAATGACAAACTTCAATTGACTCCTATGTTGCTCTTAACTTTTTTTTTTCTTTTGATGTTGGGGAATGGGGAAGGGGTTGCTTGGGTTCGAACCTAAGCCTGCATGCCTCAATAACGTTCTTGTTGCTACTAGGCCAAGAAGTTGTAGGCCATTTTTTTAAAACAATCAATAAAAAGTTTATATGCTTTGTTGGTCGTAGATATGTAAGTTTTCACATTAACATTGTACTCAAATCTGACTTCTGTAACAAAATTGGCAGACTCAATATAAAGCAATTTGTTGATGTTTCCCTGGGATTTTTTGAGAGGATAGTAAAATACTGTACCTGTATACTCTTGACTGCAGGCTTATTAAGCAGCTTTAATTTCCTATCAACATTCTCAAGAGTTTCTTTTGAAGGAACTTTTCCATCTACTCTGTTACTCAAATAAGATAAAACCAGAACCATGAAAAGACTGGATATCAGTTTTGCCATTACTCCTGCAGCAATGGAAACACTGATGTATCTGAATGGTAAAAGACCAACAAAAGGTAAAGTACGTAAAAACAATAGGGCCTGACACGAAACTAATATAACATGGGAAGAGATGTGTCTTAGGCTTTATTTGGTTATTTGGTGAGAATGGAAAAATGGAAAGATAATAAATAGAAAGAGAAAAAAAATGAAAAGAAGGAAAATACATATATTTTATTTTTGTGATTGGTTGAAAAGATGAAAAAAGTTGTATTTGGTAGAATTGAAAAATAAAAAAAGAAAATACAAAATTATATGAATTTATCATTATAATAATTTTTTAAATTAAAATTAAAAAAATCTAAATATGATGGATAAGTTATAAATATGCAACACTGATTTACATCTCTCTTATTTACTATAATTTTACTTTTCTAATCTGAATTAATTTGTATTTGTTAATTTGTGTGAAAAATTATAATAATTCTTATTTCCTTTTCCATCACTTTTCTTTCCTTTTGAGCAAACCCAAAATTTATTTTATTTCCATTTTTTCACTTTCCCTTGTCCTATTATTTTACTTTTCTAATGAACCAACCACACCATTGGTCCCGAATGATTTATGACCAAATCCATGATGTTTCAGAAACCACATCTAACGTCCTTTATAGCCCTTAAATAACCAACCAGATCACTTTCTATAGCATGTCATTGGCCAATGACTGCTTGAATAACCTTGTTATTTATGATTTTGGTTAAAACAAAAGGTGCAAAATTAGTTTGGGTTAAAACAAAAAAATGCAAAATTAACTAGTTTTAAACTGTACTGCTTGAAGAACCTTCCTATGACATGGTCTTAGATGATCTTCCTTTTGACAGTGATTCTTCACCATTGTCACCAGTGGGATTTCTACATTTGTTCTAGAAAATTCTGCAACCTGATTCTAGTTGAGATTCTTTTTATAGGCATGTGATTAATAAAACCCAACCTGACACACTACTTGGAAAACTGGTTTTCTTGAGAGCTCAAAGATGCCTTTACCTGAGAATTTTGCACTTTTTGTTCTAACCCAAATTATATTCGATTTTTTGAATCCCTTCTCTATCATTTTTCAAGTTATTGATGAGTCTTTAGGAAGTGATTGCAAACATACTAATACATTTTGAGTTCTGACAAACATAGAACATACTCCTTTAATTTTATTAGTGGCCTTAACTCACAAACCTATAGATCAAAAAAAATTGCAAGTCTAAAGTGTCTGACCAATAGCGGCAGTCATTACTAATGCTTAAGGGCACATGGGATTCCAGTAGCTGCCAGGGCCCCCAAAATAAAATTCAGGATCTACAATGTAATCTCCAATATATTCAGAACGATAGCAGTCGTATTCATCCGCATAGGTCATGACCCAGTCTGGGAACTTCAAGTTAAAAGAGATATCAAGTATTCGCAATCTTTTCACGTAACCTGAATTCCCTGAAATATAATCAGGAAAATTTCCATTACCCATGGCTGTTTTTGTATGGGGCGTTTGCTCTAACTTTGAGCTGTAGACATCGCCTCCCCATTCTGCACATTCTGCACCATGACTCAATGTTTTAAACAAGTTTGGTGGCCAATACCCTATGTTTGTCTTTTCTCCATACTGCACCCATAAATTGTTTGTCAATGGATCCTGAACTTGAAAACAGAAATATAAAAGATAATCAGAAGATCTGAAGACACAAAGGTTCAAGGTTTACAACTAGTTTAATACCTGCACCTGACTGTCCATGTTTTAATGATTTTGCTTTTGTAAATTGAATGAAAGTTTCATCCTAAGTGAGTATTAAACTACTAATTTTAAGAACGAAAGTTGAGCTCCATATTTCCTGACCTTAAATATAAAGAGAGTTATCTGATATGGGAGCCCTCCTAAGACCGAGATAGGATAAATTGCTGCACCAAGAGCAATTTCACTGCTAGTCTGAACAAAGCCGGGGCAAGTTAGATCAAAACAACCAGTTGTTTTTGATGAATCAGCCTATACATGGAGAGAGAAATATTTAGTTACTGATCAAATTTATGTAACACAGTGCATGCAACATGTTGACTACAATGAATAGAATTGTCCCCCATAAAAGTTTTTCCATTAGGACTCTTTTGAAGCTTCAAGACAATTAGTCATGGTTAAAATGAACTTACAGTCCAGTAAACAAATAATCGTGTTTGTCTGTCTCCGTACACACTCGGGTTCACCTGGAAAAATTGAAATCATTGTAGATTAATAACTATAAGGATAAATATATAGAAGCTTAGCTATCAGGAGTTGATACTAACCGCCCATCCAGATTCAACGCTCTCAAAATCATACCAAGGGCCACTTGTGAGACATATTCTAGAAGTACTGTATTCATCATCAGATTCAACAAGAGGATTCCAGACTTTGATGTCTCCTTTGACTCCAGCATAGTTATACCCTTCTGTGAGCAATATTGCCTTCTGGTTCGCATAAAGTCGGGCCAGAAATGCAAATGTACCGATGAGAAATAGTAGATTTACCATGTCAAATTACTTGAACAAACGAAGTCTAGCATAGAAAGTGATGGATACCGAGTGATTCTTTTGTTGAAGAAATAATGGAGTCTCCTTTTTGTTAGGCAGTTTAACAGGATCATAATAGCTTGGCCTTTTCTTTGAATAACCTTCTTCAGAGTTGGATGGTATCCCTTTATTCTTGGTTCTTCGAACTGGGATTGTTCCTTTCGGACAGCTTCCACTTTTCTGCCATAATTGAGATGCTACAATCCTGGACGATTGGTCACTTGTTGGAATTTCCTCCATAGTTGGATTATAACTTGGTGCCATCTACTCGCAGCAAAAGTTTTTTACAGACAATTCCAATAGAACCAAAGTATTGGAACATCCGATCAAAGTATCTAGAAATAAAGCTTAAAAAAATTAATGTTAATGTTCTAGCTGCAACAAAATGTACACCTGGATGATGTGATTCCTCAAAGCAGGATGATCCAATGCAGACTGCTTGTAAATGTCAATGCAATCTATAATGTCACCATCTTTACTCTGCAAGCAGAAACATATGCGGGTACATGTTACTAAGTTCTATAGCTTTGCTTCATATTCAAAACCACCCATTGAAACAGAACAAAAACATATGAAGAAAGCCTTGACGCATGCAAAGGACCAAAATTTTCTTGCTTCCTCTGATAATGGAAATGAAGAGTAACATATAGGATAAAAGCATCAAAATCTTGTACCTGAATGGATTTCACCGCATGCCTTCCAGGGTTGTTTGGTTTTCTTCCTTCTAAAGTCTTCTGTCTGGCTAAACCTAGGTCACCCTCCCCAAGCACATAACAAAGTGTTATCCCCAAGAGAATAACCATCCCTTTAAAACCATGAGAATACAAAAAACTTGTGCTCATTTTGCTATTGTCCCTCAGTTTCTTCACCCTAATCTATGGAAATGAAAGGTGTTTTTTTATGAAATCACAAACATCATTCTAATGATTTAATCATGAAGGTATAAAACTCATTGGAAATGCTGATTTGGGTCCTTTTGATGATCAAATATAGATGTAAGCAGCAATATTTTATTTCAAATCACACTCAAAATTTGCATGATTTACCTTCTATTCATGATTTATTCATTTTCATTACACACTTTCAGCATTTGAATCATATTTTGGAAGCAAGATATAGAAATGAATTTTTAGACATACTTTAGAACCATCAAATAGATATAAGACATTGTTAGTAAGTTTGGTAGAGAAAAAAAAACTTAAATGCAAAAAATTTTAGTTTAATAGGACATAGAAATTAAGACAGATGAAAAAAACTTAAGACAGCAACATATTACAAAAAAAGGGACTAGAAAATTTTTAATTTGGATTTTAACATAAGGATGAATACATCATTTTAAATAAAAAGGCGTAAACAATTCAAATTTTGCTTATTAATTGTTACCAAATCTTCTTATTATTGTTTTCCAAATTATAGCACTTTAACAAAGAAAAGAATAATATGGGCTGTAACTTAAATTAGATGTAGGAAATAATTTTGGATCCATTACTTTTAAATATAAATTTCATATAAAATTTTGATAAATTTTATATAATTATAATTATAATTAATTATATAACAATCATTGTAAATAAAATATTTTTAACATATATATCCAATTTTAATAATAATTTACATTAAATTTATAAATGTTGATAGCAAAATTCACACCTAAATTTTATAATTAAAATATTCATATCCTATCAACTCATTCTCAACCAACCTTATTAACCTAAATTAGTAAATTGCATTAATGGATCACTTTAAAACAAACGAATGAAAGGATTAATCTTATTACAATAAAGTATTTTCATAAAAAAAAAATCAAATGAAAGTTGCAGAAAAAATAAAAAAAGAAAAATGAGCACTGAGAAAGGATTAACATTTTACTGAAGTAATAGCAATGAAATTTCATAAACTATTTTTGTCAAAAGGATGATACTATTGATGAAAATAGCATTTTTTTTAATCTAATAGTTTTTTTAATTCCACGTGGCGTTTATTTAATGGCTTATAGCAGCCACGCCGGAGAAGGAATATATTCTAGAAGGATCAAACAAATTTAACGAAAAATACACATAATAAAATCCTCGAGAAATGGAAACATAAAATAAAAATTCTCGCAAGCGGTTTTCTTTAAGTCCATTTTGGTGCTTAGAGACTCGAAGATAGAGTGAAAGCGAAAGCTTGGGTTTGACGCTGCTAATCAAGCGAAAATGGTGAAGTTCATGCTGAAGATCGCTGCCGACCTCGAAAACCTAACCAACCTCCAGCCTGACGGGGGCTGCGATGATCCCTACTTCTCCTATCTCTTCAAGGTCTCTCTCTCTTTGTCTGGTTTTGACTTTTGATTTTCTTCGCTTGCGCTGACCTCATTTCATTTTCATACGATTTTCTACTTTTGAACTGCTTTGTTTTTCTTCTTTAAGCGCAGATTTATTGCTCTTATTGTTGCTTGAATCCAGTTCGTTTTAATCTTTCTTTCACTTCTAATGTCAGATTATAAGTTGCAATCTCTTCTTCATTTCGTCTTTACTAACTTTTGCTTGTTATTTTCTTTTTCTGAATTTTAATCGTTACTTTTTTTTTTTAAATAAATACTTATAGTTACTATATTTGCTCATTCATAATTTCAGTTGAATTTATTTTAGCTCTTCGTTTTGCTTCGTTTATCGCAACTACAATACACGTAAATTGACTTTTTCTATCCCTTTATTTGTTCTTCTCTCTTTTTATTTTTCTATTTTTTTCATAAAAATGTTGATTCCATTTTCTTTTTCTATTTTTGAATCTGCTTCTCGTTATATTTATATGTTTTTAACGGCTTTTTTCTTAGGGCTCGATGTTATACATTCATTAAAAATTGCTTTATCGTTCTTAATTTTCTTCTATCATTTGTGGATGGCCATGTTTTTAATGTTTCTTTTATTCCTTTCAGAATTCTGTTTCTTCCTCTTAAGTATTCAGATCTGATTTCATTTTAATAAAATCTGCTTAAATTTCCTTATTCTTCTTTATATTTAAAATTAAAGAAGAATAACAGCTCTCTCATATCCTTGTTTTTTCACTAATATTTGAAACCTTCAATCTATTTCTTTTTCTTTTTTTTTTTTTTGGTACATGAAATCTTCAATCTATTTGCTTATTTGGAGTTGCAGCTGAAATGTGAGAGGTGTGGAGAGCTGAGTCAGAGGGAAACATGTGTGAGCTTGGGCGACACCGTTCCTCTTCCACTGGGCAAGGGAACCACCAATCTTGTTCAGAAGGTAATCTTGTGTATTTGTATTGTTTGTAAAATGAATTGATTTGAAGTGAAAGTTCACTACGAGTTGTGGAATTTATGTTTGTTTGGTGTGCTGAGAGATCAGAAGGGATTAGAGAGACAAATTCTACTTCTTATAAGTAACAGTCTTACCTGGACTTAGTCAATTTCTTGTCAAATGGTCATTCAAGTTGAATCTAACCTTTCACCTGGGCTGCACATGGTAATACTAGTCTTGCTTTATTTTATTCTCCTTCTCATTTTTTAAGCTGGCAGATACTTATAGTTTAGTGTTCCCAAATTCTGTCTAATCAGATTTTTTTTTTGTGAGTTTAGTTGTAAAATGACATTGTTTTCTTAACTCAAAAAGGAAATCCAAAAATCCGTATTACTGGATGTTAAGAACCAATATATAATCTATCTTATTCTTGGTTTCAAGATGCATAATATTCTTTCCTGTGTTTTATAATAGTAAGAAGCATGACATGATTCTAAAATCTAATTGTAAGTCCCGGTGACTCCTTTCAGTTCACATGTTGTGATGTTGATTGAGGTTTTCTTTGATCCATTCTTTTTGAAAGTTGCTTGGGGTCGAATAAGCTTTGTACTTCTAGAACTCTATTCTTTTTCTAGAGAGCGTTTGTCCTATATCTTATGCCTTAGAGTGGCCTAATGTAGATATTCTATTTGCTTAACTTGAAAATAATCAAACTTCAGCATTTTTTGTGACACATTACTTGTAGTTACTTTAATTGCATTACTTCAATTTACTATACTTTGGTCTCTTTTTTTATCTACCTAGCTATTTTCTTCCAGTGATTAATGGTATTTTGGTGCCTTTTCTTTCTCTCTAGTGCAAATTTTGTATGAGGGAAGGAACTGTAACAATGATCTCAGGCCGAGGTCAACCACTGACGCAGGAAGAGAGTGAAGGAGGAAAATATTCACCTTTGATGCTTTTTGAGTGCAGGGGTTATGAGCCTGTAGGTTATGTATTTGGTGGTGGCTGGAAGGTTGAATCTGTAAGTCTTTGTTCTTCATCCTCCACCCTCGATGCTCTTTTTGTTAGGTAGTAGAAATTGTGAACATAGCTTATTATAATGGCAAGGCCTTTCGAAAATGTGTTTTGTTATTTATCAATTTTCCAGTTCCAATCATAGAAACACATGTTCTTTGTTTTTAAAGACCAAAAAAAAACCTCGTCACAACAAAGATAAGGACTAATTGCTGCATAGAAGACCCTGCATAATATTATGCATATCCTGAACTTTGATACATTTCATTTGATGTAGTTCCTTTTTGGGAAGTGCCTAGTTTGGATTTTTTCCACCCACTTCACGAAGTTTATAATAACTTATTGTAATTTGGGCATATTTATAAAGTTTCTTATATAGCCATCCCATCTATATATTGGTAGATGTGTTTTGACTGTAATTTGTTCGTGTAGCTGGAAGGGACTAAATTTGAAGGTGTTGACTTGTCTGGAGGCGATTTTGCTGAATATGATGAGAAGGGAGAGTGCCCGGTGATGATATCCAACCTCCGTTCTACTTTTGACGTTGTGAAGTAGATCATATTACTCTCCTGCTTGCACATGTTTTGGTAAATAAAACTGACAGTTCATTGTGAATGAGATAGAAACCTGTGACTGGATTACATGTAAGCACGAAGCTATATCTAAAGGTCGTTTAATGTGAAAATTTCTGTTTGAAGTATGTTAATAGATACCCTGGCAATGGTTTAAACTGATTAATGAATCACATTATGCGTGTGCCTTCTGTGGTTTTCTTAATTTTTTGAATTGTGAACATAATTACACTAGATCCCAATAGCTCTTTGGCTGGGATGAAAAAAAAATGGCGGTTTTCTTAAAGAATTATTTTAGTTCCTCGTGTTTAAGGATCGATTCTTTTCTTACCTGGAAAAGCCTTATGATTCTTGCTCTTCAGATAAAGAGCTACAACTGTTGGTGTGGCTGAATTGGGCCAATTTGGATTAGAGTCATGGTTTTTTTATCTGGTCTGTTTGATTTCGTTTCAGTTTTCTTATTTGGAAACCACCATTGGTGAGATACACTAATGTCTTCCGGCGCTTGGGAATGTTCCGATATACTTGAAGCCGCAAGGCTGCTCCATATATTTGCTAGTGCATCGTATATATCAGGTATTGTGGGAGATTACGATTTGTTGCTAGGAAACAATTTTAATACATTGAAACAAACAGCCGCCTTCTTACCACTATTTTATTTATCTAGGTAACAATCGACTGATTCTGAACTGGGCAAATTTGTTCCATTGGAATTATACGTACACGAATATATTTGCGGGATGTTTGAGGAATTGTATTTCACTCCACGTTGCTTCCAGCCAGCCATTCTGCCTGCCTTCGTTAGAAACTGAATGTTGGAATCAACTTAGGTGGAAGCGGTTGCACGTCTATTGGTGAGCGATCTTATAAATTTTACTTTGGAAGGTGGGGTCCTGATCCGACCTTTCATTGATGAATGAAACTCCACCTTGAGGTTTAAAGCCAACGAAAATTCACCAAACAAGCCAGTTTTGCCGTTAAACGTGTGAATTGTATAATCGGTAAATCTAGTTCACTCCTCTTTCCATTTTTTTTTTTATAAAATTAAAAATACTATAAACATAATTAAAAATTATATTCATATATATATATATAATCTCTGAATAATTAATACATAAATTAAAATATAATTAAATAAATTTAACATAAAATTAAATTAAGTTCACATGCAATAAATTTTAAATTTAGAACTTAAAAGATTCTAAACTCTTTTTTTATCGCTGAGTCAAGGTCTATTGATTCATTTAATTAGCTCATTCCGTTCTAATCTAGAAACAATAAATCAAAATTCGATTATTCACTCATTTCGTGATCATCATATCGAGGAGGGATATTAAATTACCAAAAATAGAGATCGTGTGCGTTGGTTTATTTACAGCCTAGAGGCCCTTATAGCAGGGAAGTTTCAGATTTTCACCATTTTACCATCTCATTTTTAGAGGAAAGAAATCCTAACATCATGTTCATTCCTTATGTCAAAATCCCACTTTCAATGACGTGAGAGTTTTGTACTTTATTCTGAACTGTCTCTGTCCCCTTTGTTTAGGGCACCATTACCCCCAGAATTTTGGCCATCAAAGCCTCGTTCATCTTGGTGCCTGCTTGGTTACCACCTTATCCATACAAAACTATTTTCCCCTTTCAATTCCGATACTATCCCCCTGTATGTCAAATAGCAACCTGAAACTGCGTAGGACAAAACTGTCTTTTCAACTCACTTTAAGGTTTCCCCACTGTCACAAATCTTAAACGTGGCCATATCATTTTTAAATGCCGTCTTAAGATGGCAGCCAATCGCCAACGTAACTTCATTTCATTTGTTGTTATCGTTTCTCTTCCGTAAGACTAACCAAACTTCTCCATTTCTCTCTCCCTTGCCTTCACCAAACTTTTCTGTCTTCCTCTGCCTAACCTCCTTTCTTGTTTTTCCTTATTGACCTTTAAGACTGATCTGGGCGCAATTCAAGCACCTAAATAGAATTAAAAAACTTATTTTATCTCTATTTCTTTCTGCAGCAGTAAGTTTACATGGTATGTTCACTATCTCCTGCTTCTGCTTTTCTTTTTTACGGAAAGACTTACATCAGCCTCGTCTGCACTTTGATCTTGACGAAGGTTCTTGTAAATATTACTGTTTATCCAATATTCTTTTTGCTTTAAACTCTTGATTTTCACGCTATAATAGTTTATTGACTTTTTTTTGTCAGGTGGTATAACTTGTCATCTTTAGATCTATTATTCTATTATTGTTTCTATTGTTAAGAAGGGCTGTACTTTTTGACGTTTGTTGGATATTAAAAAGAAAAAACCCCAGATATTGGAAATTTTCACTGACTTAATCCGTTGGGATCTAAGATGCAAGAGCTTTTAGTTTACTGTTTTTGACTGGAAAAATAAGAAACGGGGGTTTCTGGATCTGACCTCAGAAGTTGAATTCTGGTTTTGGAATTGTCTTGAAAGATGCAAGCAAGAGATGGGTCGGGTGGGTTTTTAGAGGAAGGCAAGGATACTGTGGTTACAACTAGGACAAGCCAATCTAGGACTCTGCCACTGAGGGTACTTCAGTTATTTGGGTTGTTTCTTGCTCTCTGTATCGCCTTTTCGATCATTAGTATATATACAATCCGGCGTTTTGGAATTTATAGTGTGGTAACTACAGTTAAGTCTAATGTTGTGTCGTGTGATGAAGAACCAAATAGTTTGGATCATTGGAGAAAACCTCCATCGAATTTGCTTCACTCAATGAGTGATAAAGAGTTATTATGGAGAGCCTCTTTTGTGCCACGAATAAAGAAGTATCCATTTAATAGACTTCCAAAGGTTGCTTTTATGTTCTTGACTAAGGGGCCGTTGCCATTTTCTCCTCTTTGGGAGAGGTTTTTGAAGGGGCATGAAGGGCTTTATTCTGTTTATATTCATTCGCTGCCATCCTTCAATACTGAGTTTCCTCCTTCTTCGGTTTTTTACAGGAGACAAATCCCAAGTCAGGTATGCTATTCAAATGCCCATTTATTGTATACTAGTTTTCATTTGTTTCTGAATTTTGTAAATTGTTTTAATCATCTTTGGTCATTGTTATGTTAAGAATCCCTCCATCCTTGTTCCTTTGCAACATGGTTTGTGTGTATTTTTGTATGCTTAAGTACGCGATGTTGAGTTGCTGTCCTTGTTTCGCTCTTATGCTGTTTAGAACTTCTCTTATGTAGCTTCTATGCTAAGAGTGGTAATAGCATGCTTGGATGTCTTTCAGAATTTTATTATATGGGCATTTCTTAAGTATTTGGGGGGGTTAGCATGCTTACATAAGTTACTTTCAGAAGTTGGTTTTTGAAGGTTAGACTTAGAATTGCTACCATTCATGGCCTCTTGCTCTTAACCCTTTTTCTTAAAATAATAAGATGTTTTGGTTTTTGAAGGTTAGGCATAGAACTACTAACATTCATTGCCTTTTGCTCTTAACCCTTTGTCTAAAATAGTAAGATGGTAGTATGTGCCTCTCCTTATCTATCAACTTAAATTCCAGTTTTGATTGGTTCTTGGTTGGCTAGATGGTTGTGATTTAGATATGCAATTTATAACCTCTTTGCAAATGAAGGGGTCGTTCTTGCATACAATACATATAGGCATACCACTGGTTCATTGCAAACACATGCAAAATTGTGGTCATGAGCACACAATATTATATCACTTTGATTAAAAAAAAAGTAAATGGCATCAGATGTATGTGATTGTTCAACTGTATATGTCATTACCTTCAATATGTGAGATCATCTAAGCTGGGTTGAAGCTTGCACTTTTAGATCTGTCTATTTATACGGTCTGTGGGTTTGTTATGTGCTTCAAACCGCAACACAGGTTTAATACCCTCATATCATAGCACACCGTATCAATGGTGCTTATTGAGACTAGAGACAAAGTCAATTCTGAACTAATAATGCTGGGTAACATCACAAAAACTGTTTGGTTTAGAGGCCTTTCAAGTAGTGAGTGTGGGGAATAGGTACTTCTAGTCAAATGAAGGTTTGCTTTGGGAAAAGATAGCTGTAATGTGTTAGCTAACTTTTAGGAGATGGCAATTTATTGTGATTGAATTTCCCTGAAGAGATTTCACAAGATTTATGCTTGGCTTTAACATCCTAGTCCTTAAGTTGAACTAGGTGTGAAAGGATGATTATTTGTTTCCGTTTCCATAGGAAGATGCCCAGATCTATAATTACAATGTAATATGGTGACTGTTCTATTTGAGGGTTATGGGGCAGACTTCTGCTCCTAGGAACTGTCATCTCTATATTAGCTCTTGTAGTGTTGTACTAAACGTCTCTCTTTCAGTTACACATCAGTACATTGTTGTGGTTGCTGATTTTTTTTCCTTCCCATCAGCCATGATTAATAATTGCTTGGCATTTGTTCTTCAACAGTTCATATACAGATATATTTTATATATTTTAATGAGCAGACTCATTTTTCTTCTCTTTTGGGGGTTGAGGAGTTCCTAATTTCTGTATTTGCTCTTCTACAGGTCTCTGAGTGGGGAAAGATGAGTATGTGTGATGCTGAGAGAAGGCTTATTGCCAATGCCTTGCTTGACATATCCAATGAATGGTTTATCCTTCTCTCTGAATCTTGCATACCTCTATACAATTTCAGTGTCATCTACCACTACATAAAGAAATCCAAATATAGTTTCATTGGTGCATTTGATGACCCTGGGCCATTTGGTAGAGGACGTTACAATGAGAATATGGCGCCTGAGGTGAATGTCACCCAGTGGCGTAAGGGATCCCAATGGTTTGAAATTAACCGAAAGCTTGCAGTCAACATAGTGGAAGATATTACATATTACCCGAAGTTTGAACAATTCTGCAGACCAGCATGTTACGTTGATGAGCATTATTTTCCCACCATGTTAACAATTCAGGCATCAAATCTCTTAGCAAATAGAAGCATCACATGGGTAGACTGGTCGAGGGGTGGAGCTCATCCTGCTACATTTGGTAGAGCAGACGTTACAGAAGAGTTCTTCAAGAGAATCTTCGAAGGTCATCAGTGCATGTATAATGATCAGCCGTCTTCGGTTTGTTTCCTTTTCGCCAGAAAATTTGCTCCAAGCGCTTTGGAACCTTTGTTACAAATAGCACCAAAAGTTTTGGGCTTCTGACTTGAGAATGATGATCCTGAAGCAAAATTTGAAGCGGAGATTGGGTGCATGAGAAGACTTATGGGAGCATGCCACTGCCAGGTCCATTCTTTAATCTCATACATAAATGGGTCTTTTTCTTTTCGTTCTTTATAAATTTACCCTCGAGTCATGTGCACAGAAAATTGACGCTGGAGGTATATTCACATTTTTGTATTGACATTAGAATCATATGATTAGATAGTACCTAGTATTTTGGTTTTTTCAATTTTCAATAACCTTTCCCTCTCTCTCTCTCTCTCTTCTCTCTCCATGATGAGCTTGAACTTTGAATATGGGATCATGTAAAAAACCTTTGGCTCCCAAACTAGTAACTTAGAATCCCATAAATGCTGCCTGAGATTAAACGCAAACAGTCCCCCATCTGCCCCCAAATTTAAGGAATGTCACACGTGTGTGCCTTTGACACCTTCACCTGCCATCAATTCAAACCCTTCAAACCTTCAATGGTAAGTTTCTCGAACTATGATATGCAATTGTCTTGCTTTCTTTTCTTCGAATTTAGCAAAAATACCTGTCCCTTTGGCGCCGTCTACGTGTTCTCCCCCGGTTCGCCCAATGCCGCCTCTACCATGTGATGTTTTGTGGGCCCTCTAGGAATCCTCATTTGGCGACGGAAGGACCGTGATTATAATATTTCCTCAATTGGGGCCTTGCCCCAATCAGTCTCTCCCTCTCCTCTCGTCTCTTCTTTATTGACCTGGCTACCCATTTCCGCGCGTGTTAGCACGGGTGAAGGCCATACCTTGACGTGTAGCCGAACCTTTTCGGTGCCATCCAGATGCTCCAGTTGAGAACACGCTTTATAGCTGAGTAGAGCCACTACTGCCTTGAAATGACAAAGAATCAAATTCTAATCCCTAAGAAAGAACAGAGAGGTAGGCGCCTAACAAACATTAACGGCGCCCAAAACGACCGCGTTTTTGGTTATCATACCTAACTACATCAATCTCCAGGCTGGAAATCCGGGCAGCTGCCCGACCTTTCCTTCTTTCTCTTTCTACATATTAAGCGCCACCTATAATCCCACTTACTACCCAAAAACCCTCACACGTTTCCTCGCTCTTTTAGCCAAAAAAAAAAAAAAACCCTTTTTTAACGCTTAAGAATTCCAACAACAATGGCTCTCTCCAAGGCTTCTCTGGTACTTGTTCTCGTCGCTGTTTGCGCACTCATGGGTTCAGCCATCGCTGCTGACGCCCCAGCTCCAAGCCCCATCTCAGGAACGGGCTCGATCTCGCCCTCATTCGTCTATGTTTTCGTCGCCGCCGCTGTCACTCTGCTTTTCGGCTCTACTCTCAGGATCTGAAGGATGTTACCTCTGGTGGTTGCTTCTCGTTGGTTGGCGGCGATGGATGGTGTAGAGATGGTGCTCGACTTTTCATTTTATAATATAAATATATTGTTTTAAATTTGGTTTGGAATTTGAGTAGTGGTAGTAGATCTAGGGAGTGAGTATATTCTATTTATGTGAGAGAGGTAGTGCACAGATTATTGATTGGTGATGTTCGGACTTTTAAATTATTTCAGTATCATTATGGATTGATATCATTTTCATTAGTATAATGATAGATCTTTTGTTTTGTATAATATATACAGCATTTGTTTGTTAATTTCTTGCATTTCCTTTTTTTTTTCTAGTAGTTTCTTGCGTTTTCTCTGCAGCCAAACAATATTAGGAGTAGACTAGGGTCATATTCTCTACAATTATGATAGATTGGACTTTTCCACTGTTTGAGCTTGATTTGCTGTGAAGTTTGATCAGACTGTAAAGACAACTTTACCCTTCAATACTCCACACTCAAATTCAATCGTACTACTGTTAGTAAGCAAAATTTTTGCAATAATGATGCGAGCACCACTCATGAGCATGTGCTCATGGAATATATCCTTAATTCCCTCTCCATTTTACCCAAAAAAAAAAAGAACTTTTTAAACTTTACATAAACCTTGTAGTAAAAGCCGGTGATTTTTGTTTTTTTGCTCATATTTCTTTTTGTGTTCGAACTTCCGAGTTCTGGTGGTTTGCTGTTTGGATGCGCACTGGCAGATTGCCAGTTTCTACTCTTTTTTGACAACTAATGACTCGAGATATTCACGAAAATTTAATCTTCTTCCACAATTATTATTACAAGTGGGTTAGTTCCATGAATTTTCTTTTCTTTTCGTTTAAGTATATGCTTTATTACAAAAAAAAAAAAAAAAAAGGGTCTGATTGAGGTTGGATGCCAAACAAATTGTTGTTTAATAAGAACCGCACATGCTGGTTGGTGGGTTGGGTGGGTCTTGTTGGTTATGGACAGAAACAGATCATAATTCAAGTATTTTGGAAAAATTAAGATGGTGGGTTAATTCAAATTTTGAAGTCAATGATAAATAATTAATCCCACATCAATTTTTATTGCATTCTGGAATATGGAGCATTATTCCTATTCTCCACTGAAAATGAAAGAAAGCCCATATTGTTTCTTCAAAAGTTTCACCAATAAATTATACTTGTTTTGATATTATAATGTGGGCCATATCTTCCATTTTAAGCTATTTTTAATTCCAATAAACTAATCATATATATATGTTTTAATTTGGATTTATATAATTGCAAACGAAACTGTGTCATATGAGGTAGAATTGCTAGTCGTGTTTGAAGGTGTGAACTACATTATTCCAATAATGTTGTCATGGAAATTTTGGTTCAGATGAAAATTTTAAATATGAGTTCAATTTGTATTTCTGTTTATCCCATCAATACTCCATATGTGGTTAAGAATGTCGATGTCGTGGGGAGAGCTTTCACCGTCGAATCATTGATTCCAGTTTCTTTATTTATTTATTTAAGGGTTATTATAGTAAAAAAAAATTGACTGTAAGACAAGGATGTTCGAATTTCCATCCTTGAATGCAATAGTAGTATTTATTTCTTCTTTCATTCACAGTATAAAAGTGTAAGGTCAATTTCCAAAACCGCGAGATTAGCAAAGAAACTTGACTTGTATTCAAAGCTTTAGATGTTTTTGTTTTCATTAGATAAAGGTTAAAAAATTTGAAATCGATGATTTTGATCAAATTCAAACTTTTAAAATTAATTTTTTTTTTAAATTGAATATCAAATCAAGTGGTATAAAAAAATTTCATGATCAAATTTTAAATAAATTCAATTTTATCTATTCGATATCTATTATTTTTTAATTATTTATTTAATTATATATATATATTTAATTTTATATTTATATTAAAAATAATATTTTATTAATTTTAAATCGAATCAAATATAATTTTATATAATATCAAGTTAAATTTAAATATAAAAATTAAAAAATTTATTAAATTAAATTAAATTTAAATTTTATATATTTAAAATTAAATCAAATTTTAAATGAATAAAAATTTATATCGATTCAATTCGTTATCATCGTTAATTTTTAGTGGGTTGGCCGACATAGCAACTCATGACGCTTGTTATAGCGTTTTCCAGAGCAGTGACGCCCGTTGTCTTACCAGCTGCGAAGTACCAAAAATTTCAATAACGGATTCACATCATTTATAATTTTTTATTATAATAATTATAATTAATCAATTATAATAAAATTTTTATTTTATTAATTATAAATAATATATTCTCTTCGAGTACTTGCACGATTAAACCAAAGTTCTTCAAGTTTTACAAAATGAAAGAACTCTCGGATCTTGGGACACTGTAGATACCGTCCATTGGATTCTCTAGGAATATCACTTCCTCTTCAATTCTTTTGTCAAGTCACGTGGACATTACTTTTTTTTCCCTTTTGGTTAAAGCGTTTACTTAGTCATAGACCTCCGGTCGTGACTCTCAAGTCAGTGGAAAAAGTTGGCGAATTTTTGTTTCTCCAATTTTGTTCTCTCTTTTTTATTTTTTCTAACCATTCTTTTGCATTGAGGAGAATTTACGACGCCCTTGTTTGTTTCTAACCATTCATTACCGAAGCATTCCACGACGAGCAGCTGTACTATAGGCTGGAGTGAATTCTTAAGAAACTAGTTTTTTGCTCAAAGTGATATAATGGGATTAAGAAACTTGTATTTCTAAAACGAACCCCAGCTATAAGCTTGTAAGCATCATTAAATAACTCCAGCTATTGGGTTAAGGGGAATTTACTCATAACCCAAAAGTAGATGTTGAAAGCAGATAAAAATTTGGCATAATTTAATTCTTTCATTCATCTCATAGATGAAAAGGTCATCATTTACACAGTTCAAACCCTTCTCTCATCCTCAACAAAAACACCAACTGCCTCTGAACATCTCATCATCATCACATCATCCATATTGCAATACTCAAAACCAAACACCTGAACCGCTCCTTCCAAAAAGGCTGCTTTCTTCTATTCAGAGTCAGATTCCATATTACCCATAGCCTTTAAACCTCTTGGTCTCTGCATAAAGATTATATCAAAATGATTTCAGCTTCAATTTAACGCAGTGGTTATATCAAGTCTAATTCATAAAGTTGATGAGCCAACTCAAAAACCAAATTTCCACTATTTTGGTACCTTCTTTGAAATCTTCTTCTCCCTGACCTCGTAGCGCTCAAGGGTTAAATCGCATAGCCATGCCCCCGGACTTACCAGCTGTAAAACAAGTTTCCAAAAAAAAAAAAATTGTTTAAAAGGTTAAATTAATATATAAGAAAAGAATAATAATAATTGGTCGTGTTCTTATGCGTTTGCTAATGTGGTCCATGCTGGAAGACTAACTATTTCAACCACCACCTTAACAAATGCAATTTATACAAAAGAAACCCTACAATAATAGCATATTGCAGAATAGGCCCCGACAATGATGGGTCGACCAACGGACAGTGCCATCTTTTGTCGGTTGCTCTTCATTTATAAAATTAAAATTAATAGAATACTGCTTATTCAAATATTTTATTGGAGGACAGTAACTGTCTTAGTATTTTTTATTTTTCAAGTTTTGCATAAAAGAAAAAAACTAGAATACTGCTTTTTAAAGCCTTTTATCTGCCAAAAAAAAAAAAAAGAAAAGAGAAAGAAAACAAATAAATGAATAAAAAAACCTACAACTAGTTTCTTTTAATATTATTTTTATTTGGAAAATCTAGATGGCCAGCATGCATCGCGCAGTTACAGCACAGCAAAAGCCAATGGCAGTATATAAGGCACAACGCACAACATTATCTTGGCAATTAAATTGTGACTGTGTCACAGTCACAGCCTTTCTAGCGGGCCGCAAACTCAGGTCATCTCTTAATTAGGAGCTAGTCCGATCCTTCATTGACACGTATACTATTACGTTTCACTTACTATCGCTTCGCCCACTGCCTTGGCTTTTTGTTTTAACTTTTCTCCTGTTTCTTTTCGTAGTAAAGCGGGCATAAGAAAATAACAAAAGCAAACCAAGCCATTTATTCGTTTATTTGACGTAACTCGTAAGTACTCTCCCCTGCACTAAATGTTGTACCCCAACTATTCCCTGTACCAATAGTAAATTAAATTTCACTTTCAAATCAAATTCTACTCTAATAACAAAAAAAATTCAATTCGCCTAAATTTAAAAATTTTCAGAAATTGTGTAAAAAAATTATAATTACGAATCAATTCAAAGGAAAAGGAAAGAGAGGTGCTTACATTGAGGGTACGTTGAATAAGCTTGGCTCGTTTTTTTGGTCTTTGTGGCAGCTTAGATCCTTTAATGGCCATGAAATCTTCTTCTTTCTCTTTATTAGTTAAAGCAATCACGAATTTCGGTGGCCAGACGACAGGTGGATCTGCCTCACCGCTCCCGGAAGACGAACCTCCCTTTTTGCTATCATGAGCCGTCTCCGAAGATGCCGCTGATTTGTTGTTGTGGTGGTTGTTATCATTGTTGCTGTGGTGGTGGTTGTTATTGTTATGATTGGCACCTCTCTTATCGTGCGCACCTCTGTCTGGCGAAGCCAATCCCCTTAAACCACCGTTGCTTTGGCCTCTCATAGCACTGGAATTCTCAGAGTTCCTGAAAGATTAGGCAAAAATTCACATCGCATAATAATAATACCATAACCCAGAGACAAATATCTTGAATAAGGTAAAAAAAATAAAATAGATGAAAAAAGAATCTAATTGCTGTGAGTTTTAGGAAAGTTAAAAGTCAAAGATGTAAATGCAGAATTACAACTATAACCTTGAAGTGATCGAGATCGGTGGGTGGCAGAGACTATTGCGTAGAAAATGGGGGTGGGATTTTTGTTTGGCTTTCTTTGGGGAAGGGTGGGACTTTGGGGTTGGATTTTTATGTAGGGAGCCGTTGTTAATTTCCTTCTTTCTTTGTTTCGATGAAAAATTTAGATATCCTGAGAGAAGCGAAGCAGAGTGATTCTATCTCGATCTAAGTTGAACTGCTGGTTAAGCCGTCGGATTTAAACTTTTTTTGTCTTTCTGGTGGGTTAAGGATACGTGCTGAAATATGGCCTGGTATGGGGGATAACGTGGACCAGATTCCTAAATCGAATTTGAGATCGGACGGCTGACGGGGGCTGGGATGAAAGTAGACTTTTCGTACACACGTGGTGAGGTATGCGTGAGGCATTCTGGATCAGAATACAAGGTCTAGGATCAGGTGTGGTAAGGTGCAGAGGATTGTGCATAACAATCAATCAATTGTCGAAAGTTTCAAGCAGGACAAGCGCCATTAAGAAAAAAATATTAGTAAAAGAATACTGATAGGTATCCAATACGTAGACAACAGATGCATCATATAATAATACGAGTAGCAATTATTATCAAAATGAGAACAAAATCAAACACTGATTTTCATCGAATTTTATATGGGATTTAACCTTCGTTTTCATGGAAGATGGAGGGTTGTGTAAAGGGAGGGGGGCTACCATATTTAGGCCAACCATTAAAATCAAAGAATACAAACAAATAAGACGCAGTCAGAAAGAAATCGAAAAAGAGAACTCAATATCTCTTAATCAGTTTTTGCAAGAAAAAGGATCACTAAAATTATAATTCTCCCAATTATGCGTTATTGAAGGTAGCTTAACATCTAGAAAAAAGATTATTCAAACAATGCACAAGAGTTTATTTGGTAGTATAGTGGGAGGGAATTACATTGCATCGTAATATCATTTTACAATTGAATTATAATCAATAACAGATTTATCCTTAAAGATAGAATGTTCATGAATAGCTCAAAAATTGAAAAATAAAAATATTTAAAAGAAAATTTTTCATTGAACCCCTCCAAAAATTTTCTTTAAATATATTTTTTGTTAACAAAATTTTAAAAATCATCTCAAAAATTTAAAAATTTGCCATTGATTTTGGTGCAAGTAGAGTAGAGATCCAATCATAAATCGATATCACGGCACGATGCTAACCCTCCTATCATGTTACCAAATAAATCCTAAGGAAATACTTAGAAAAAGACACTTAATATAGGTATTCAACCAGAACTTGAAGCAAGCACAACCTTATTTATACCATACTACTTGTTAAGATCCTCGTGTAAAAGCAAAAGCTTCAACCCATGATTCTTGTATGTCTATTTAAAGAAAACAATCACTAAATTAGTATGAACAACCTGCTTAAGTCAGATGTAAAAAGGCCTAAACATAGAAGGCGCCTTTAATAAACTCACCATGAGTTTCTCCTGAACCATACACTGGCGCCAACCTGACCAATTGGATTGTGCACAAGTACAAGCCTCATAAAAATAATTCAGCCCTGAAATGCATCAATCATATAGTTTTGTAAAAAGCTCAAATCTTTTGATGATTCCGGATCAGAAAAACCTCTACAGCACTAAAAATAGCAAATCTGAGGCTGAAATATTATTTCTATTTTATAAATATGAGACCCATATAATGCCATCACCAACTATCAAAAGGCCCATATGGAAATATATCCATCCAAATTTGTGTAGGTTTTAGGATTTAGGAGTCTCAATGGCACCAACCGTGCAGCTTATCCATTCCTGGAACAGACCTTTCCACTACCAGATTAAAAAAATGGAAAAAAGAAAAGGATAATTGACAATCAAAACCAATCAAGAACAAAGGAAAACCTGTGAAAAGATTGAGAAGTTATGCCTCTCACAGAATTGAGGATCTTCGTAGTATGATTGAGAAGACTTTCTTTCAGATCAAGTGAATTTCAAATTCTCGTGCGGGTAGACTAACAAATTCAGTAAAAAAGTCAAAAAAAAAAAAAAAAGAAAAGGAAATTGTGATCCTGCTCAAGTAGGAAAATTATTTGACCTCAGAAAACTTATTTCATCAAACGTTATATATTTGTCAGACAAGTTAATCCAGGTCAGTAATTTTTGCTTTTAAAGGTGAAAAAAGAAAAGAAAAAGAAAAGGTTTAAGCATCTCAGACATATAAGACATATAAGGAAGTGGGACCCGGAAATGCTGGATCTAAATCTTTAGAATCATTTCACTCGCGCCAATTTGAACTGAAAACCTAACGCAAAACCAAGTGGCAAAAGAAATCAAACATCAAAATATCCAACACTACCCCCTATCCAACCCCCCATCTCAAGGGAGCGTATCCTACACGCGCACAACAGCCAAAGAGCAAATGTAAATACGAGTAAATAAACTCAAAAGAAAGTGCAATTTAAAAAATATACAGTACCGGAGAACGCGCTGAGGTGGCGGAGGCTGAGGAGAAGTAGGCCGCTGACGGAGGTTAAAATATCCATTCCCGTGATTATTATTATTATTGCTTGGCTGATTTGAAGAGTCCTTATCGGCCCTCACGACCCGGCGATCGACTCGAACCGTGGTTCGATTAACCGGGCCGGACTGATCGTCTTTGACCTGGATCTTCATACACCTGAGACGCTTCCGGTTTCCCCACTGCAAAACAAAATCAGACGCCGGCGCTGTTTGCTTGGCCGGATCAGAGGTGGATCTTAACAATCCCCCATCGCCTCCGGCTCTGTCTCTGCTGTAGTTGATGCTATTACCAATGTTATTGGTCCTTAATGAGTCCTTTTCCATCCTTTTCTGCACACCTGTCCCATCGTGAGAGTAAAAATTGAAAATTAAAAATATAATTTTGGATTAAACCGCTCCCATAATAGTGGGTTCAACTTCCGAATTAAAGTGGAAGCGCCGAAAGGATAAGAAAAGGAAGAGATTAGGAGAATTTGATGTGGCTTTCTCTTAAAACTTCCACGCAATTTCAAACAAAAGTTGCATCAGCTTATCTCTAGAATATGTGCACCGTATGGCCAGGAATTTCCTCGGAAACTTAGAAAAAAAAAAAATTAGAGGAAAGAAAGTGGCCTAGGCGTGAAGAAAAGTTGAAAATGGAGAAGGGCAGTCATCAAACGGCTTTACATCTTCGAGGAGAAAAAAAGGTAAACGAATTAACGAGGGAAAACGAAGACGGTGAGAATTTTAGGTGGGGTTGAGAAAATTAAGACTAGAAATAGCTGCCCTAATTTGAAAATTTGTTAAGGAGGTACTCTCCTCATAGTTGTAACTTGGAAGAGACAGGGAAAACAAAACTGTCTTTGGTCGTAGTTAAAAATATAAGTACCAGGGAAAATAATGGATTCGACGTTCTTTTTTGTTAAAAAAAAGGTAACCCAACTCACTTCATTACAAGTTTTGAGGTTTTCTTTTTCTCTTTGTTTCATGGAAACCAAACGGAAAGTCATTGGTAAGAAAAACGAGATGAAAAAAAGAGACCGTCATGAAAAGAAAATTCAACAGAACCAGGAAAACATCGCAGCAAAAGAAGAAAGACGTTTTCTCTGTAGAGATTTTAAGGAAACTAGAATTAAAGATAAAGACAGAAAAAAGCGAAATCAAAACATAGATCCATCGAGAGGAAAAAAACTTAGCGGAAAAGGTCAAATTCTTCTTTGAACTGTTTGAAAAAAGCTATTGAAGGATTAGGAAGAAAATTGTGACTAAAATTGCGAGAGCAAAAAAAAAAAAGGGAAACAAATAACATTTAGAAAGTGAAATTAAAATCTGAAAATACGGACTGCAAATGCCCTCCAAAGAGATGGAGTGGAGGTCGATGAAGAAGAAAATCTAACATTCTCGAAATAAAAATCGACTGTCAAAGGAACCTTCAATTCTCAATCAAATCCAACTAGAAAAAACCGATTACTGAAGCACTGAGCTTGCTATAAAAATCAAAAAAGAAAGAAGAAGACACCGAGGAGAAGAAAAATGTAACGGGTGATTTTCAAAAAACAAAAAGCTTGGTGTATCAATGGCGAGTCAATCATCGTTTGGTAGATTTAGAATCGGCACTCCGATTGTCAGATTCCTGATCTTATCGGTGAGATGATGACTCTCATACCTGAATTATTCAAGCTCTGCCTTTACAACTTTGCTTCTTCTAGTCTTTGGTAGGAACACAAAACCCACTTTAGATTTTCAACGAAATAATGACATTCGAAGCCTTTTCTTCCGACTCTCATGTGATGTAAGATTCTAATCTTTTGATATGTTAGCAATTGATCTGCCGATTTGCAGATGAATTTAGTCCAAATTTCCTCAGAAAGAAGCCCTGCAGTCTTCGAAATGCATCTGTCAAACAAAAAATTGAAACAAAAACAAAATCATTTACAATGAACAAAGAGAACATGGTCGTTGTCGCAAATCTCTTGAACTTGAACTTTGTATACCTTCTTTTTCTTGCAGATTCTTAAAATTTCAACAAAAGAAAAGCAATCTTCACGCTCAGTTATTAGAAGTTTAGAACCAGCGAAAACGTTCCTCCAATATCTTCAGTTTTATCTGCAGAAACAAAAAGAAGAAAAAAACAAGGGAAATTATTCGTTAACAGTTATCCATTGAAAATAGACAATGAAATTTAGAATTTAATTAATCTCTGCTCTCAATTACACACCTAACAAATCCTCAGATTCTTCTCTCCTCTCTCTCTGTCTCGCTCGCTTGGATTTGAATTTAGATCCTCAACATTTATTCATCAAATTATCATCAGTTTTTAGTTTTTTCTTAGGAATTTTCTGTTTGGTTCTCAAAAAAGAAGAAAGTAGAAGCAAATTACCATAGAACAAGAAGAAAATAAAAAAAAAAAAAACAAAGACAGAGTAACAGGGAGGCTGTTTGTTCTTCTGATAAAACGAATTGTTCTCTCTCCCTTCCAAAGCCAATTTTTATACCTCCTCACACCCTCCGTTACACCACAAAGGTTCATCACCGATAATTCCTAACCGTTGATCATTAATCCAACGGATCCTATCGCCTTCTCTTTCGAACCGTCAACACCGTCTATCTAAAATCCCCGTTACGGGTTTTTCTTGTGCCTTGCTACCCGTAACTTTAACTCACGGCGTTAATAGATCTAGCGGAATCTTCAAACAACGCTGAAATAAAATAATGCGATTAAGTACTAAAAAAAGCGATTATAATTTTTTTTTTAAGAGAGGTCACTTGTATTAATATAATTTTTACATTTTTTATTTTTAAATCAAAATTATTAAAATTAAAAATTTTATTTTGAGTTTAATTTTAATTAAAAAATAAAAATATGAAAATTATATTAACGTAAATATATTCTTACTTTTTTGTTTATTTTATTTTTTATATTTTATAATTTTATTTTGTTTTATTTTTTCTCGTTGCTCGGGTGAGGTGTGCTTAGCGCAACAAGTTAACTATGGTTGGTTAAAATGTCTGGTTAACTAACCATGGTTAGTTTAAGCCGGTTTAAAATCTCATCTTGTCACTCTTATAGGACAATTTAGTAATTCTTGGCTGATTCTGGATCAAAGGGTAATTGTGCTTTTCTCGGTTTTCAGTTTTTTTTTTTTTTTTTTCAATATTGTCAAAATGACATGAGAAAGTTCCAGGAAATTATATCCTCTGTCCAAATTACGTTTTTAATATTATTTAATTAAGTTTTTCAATTTTTAGAGTTAGAAATTTAATTTTTATTAAAAAATCATAAATTTAAAATAAAAATAATTATAAATATTAAACTTTGAATATCAAATTTAGTAAATATCATATTTTAATGATAATTATATAAATTTATTAAATTAAATTTAGATTCTAAATTTAAAATATTTATTACTTCAACTGATGAGGAACTTTTGAAAAATTAATTAAAGGGGTGGTCAGTAATTGTATTTTAAATTCTAATAATAAAAAATACTGATGTTGAATCATTTCAATTCAAACTAAAATCCAAAAAAGTTTCTTGAAATATAAAAAAGAATTGTATGTCGCTTGAATGTGTAATTAATGGTGGTAATTAAGCAAATTTAATAATACCAGTTTCTTGACGGTATTCTTGGTTGGGGTGACGTGGAGTCTAATAGGGAGATGATTCGGAGTAAGGGAGGACATGAAGGGAGAAAATATGGTCAGGAAAGTGTAGGAGTTGGGATATTGAACCGTGACTTTGACGCTGAAGTTAGCAAAGTGGGAGAGGTGAAGGGGCAAAGAGAAGAGAAGGAAAAGAGACTAGGATTCAGAAAAATGGTTAGAACGACTGTATCTTATGTTGTCTTGAGAAAAATGGCTAGAATGACTGAATTTTTATCTTCCCTTACTTTATAAATGATACGTGTATGATGATGTAATATGAATAGTTGATAGTTGATAGTTGATCAAACGTTTATTTAAGTTATTATATGATGAGCGATAATCATGAGCAAATTTAGCGAATGTTGACTTCATATGGGTGAGCGATGTGGATATTAATTCTATATTAATTTGGATAGTATGCGATCGACGTATTACTCGATGATGGGGATCAAATATAATTATTAATTAAGAGTTTGAACCACACAATAAAGAGTTTTGAATTTTTTTTATGAAGTAAGATTTTTTAATCTTAATACATAAAAAAAATGGTAAAAAAAAAATTGTTTTGAAATAAAACTTGATAAACAAATAATTTTTTTAAGTAAATATACATATTCATACTTAATTTTATATTTTTACAACAAACTCAACTTTTAAAGACAGAAATAACCATCCGTGGGCTGTAGTTGGAGGCTTTTTTGTCCACAAAACATGTTTATGATTTATAATTTTTGTTCTCAATAGCGCGGCCTGTCCTGTCTCGTCACAGGTTGGTTACGCGAAGCGAGCAAAGGGGCGGGAAGGAAATCCCCGATTTCCATCAAACAGTAACAAGAAGGCAAGTTGCGGTTTGTTTTTATTTATTCAGTGTTTTAAAATTTTACGTCTCTTGAATTTTTATGCAATGTGATTTTTCAAGTTCTCGGCGATTTGTCAAATTGGGTTTATCTCTATTTTTATTTATTCTTGTAATTTTCTATTCAATATTGCTTTCTTTTATTTTTCTTTAAAAATCCTTATCTGCTGCTGAAGATGCTAAATTTTGGTCTCTTTGATTGAATAGCTAGGTTCGGTGAGCTAACAAAAAATTGGAAATGTAAAATGGAATAGGATTGCAAACCCAAGGAGGGTCTGGGACCAATGGTTACATCCAGAACACAAGTCCTCTGTCAAGCCAAAGCCTGGCGGCGTTGCTGAAAATGCCTGCGTATTTTGGGCAGATCAGGGCATGATCAGTAGGAAGGCCGATAAGGGTTGCTTGAGCATGATCGCAAACGTCAGATAGAGCCCAAACTCGTGATGCTTGAAGACAAATTTGTCGATAAAGGTTACACCGATTCCGAGATTGCTGTGAAGTTGGAGGAGGCCGGGAAGGCTTTGGAAGCCAAGGAAAATGGTCAATAACTGCACTAAATAAGCAATAGCTGCTGATAGAAGTAACAATAACACTCATCTCTATAATTGTCTCTGTTCTCATTGCCTTGGGTGTTTTTCTTTCGGGAAATTCATGCGTATGTTTTAAATTGGCAATAGATATTGATTTGAACAATAGACTTGAGTACCTTACTCAGGTTGTAAATGTAGAGAGGAGCGATGAGAGAAAAGAGAAACAAATGGAAGCATTTTCATCCATGTAATGATGTTCTGAACTTGGTGAACAAAGTTGCTCAAGGGAGAAGTGAAAAAGAAGTTGAATAGTCTAGGAAATACAGCAATGGAAAAAAAAAAATGTTCTCAGGCATAATGGAAAGGTAGAGGAAATAGAAGAGCAGTGATAATATCGAGCATGGAAACAAACAAGTTACATCATGTTAGAGAAGAAAAAAGGAACGTGTTGGAGAGTTTAATGTTCCTTTTCTTTCTTTTCATTTCATGTATCTTTCGATTCATTATTTTGCGAACTGTTCAAAATGGAACCCAGGTCGTGTCCGTCTTGGTCTTTTGATTCTGTGCCTGGCTTATTGAATGACAGTTTACTATGACTTTATGGATGGGTAGACCGACCGAGTGTTTACGAGCCACTGTATTGAGATAAGCACAAAAGTTAACAATTCGGCAAAAAAAAAATTTTCTTCAGTCTCTCCCCTTTCTCTGCAAATCTCTGAGTAGTGACCCAGATGTTACCATACCGGTAATTTTTTTTTTTTTTTAATGATAAGGAAGATGATCATGGCATCTAGTTTATTCACCCTCCATCTCCTTGGTTCACTTTCCGCCGAAGTTTCTGGAAACCTTCGAATACCTGATAATGAACCATGTAATTATTGATTAAACTATATTTACGGATTGAAACTTAGAAGGAGGACCCCAATTAAAATTCGCTGCCTGGATTATGCATGACTCAAATGTAGATGTGATCCAACGAATGATGAGAATTTGTTAGTGAAGAAATGGCCCAGTCTTGCTCATACGTCAGCTCTGAAATCACTTCAGGACCTAATCTTTAAGCAGAAAGGTAGCAACTTGACATAGGGATTGTGACTCCCTTATGAGAGCCACGTTGGCCGATCAAAACATGCCGAAACGGCTATTTCACAATTTGCTATCAACCCAGCTTTTAGAAAACATGATAAAGACTGAAGATGTTACCACCTTTGTCTCGATAGGAAACCACAAAAAAGGAAAGATATCCTTCAGGATTTTCACATAGTAACATTTCTTACCCATTCAACACATATGGAAGAGGTTCATACAATCATTTACAGACTCTTTTTTTGACAGAATCATATACACACACTTGCATCTGATGCATGTTTACTTAAATTAAGCAGTCTAGTACAGAGCTGCTCCTAAATAATTGTAGACAGAAGCAATCACATGAACAATCATCTGTTTTGGCCTTTAATATTTGCCCATTCTGCTATATTCATGCAGTGAATCCTTTCTGAACAGAGCTCCAATGACCAGTAGGAATGCTGACACAAGCTTGTGCTGCCGCCTCATCCATCTGTTCAGTCTGAATTCCAGCATTGCACACGTTTGCAAGGGAACGCATGTGTTTCATCCCATACTGGGCTAGCGAACCACAATGTGTCTCAAAAGTTCTCACCTGTGTAGATGAAGAGAGGGTCTTCTTAAGTAGCAAGACAACAAAACAAAGCAACGAAAGAAAGGCTGAGAATCAAGAATATTACCATTTTTTTAAGGCATTTCCAGTCATCAACAAGAGGTTGTCCAGCTGGTCGAACAGTCCTTAGAACTTCTGGGCCTCTTTCAATTCCAAATAAGAGCTTGCCAATGAGTTTCATACTGTGGTCTATATGCATTCTATGAGACATGGCTTCAACGAACTGCTTTTGGGCTTCAACCTTCCTAACAGAGCCATCAGGTGCCTTGCGATACTGCAAAGTAGGTTGGAAGAAAGCTTGAGTGAGATGGGCCCTAAAACTAGCAAAGCGGATGCTTTCAAATGTATGGAACAAGTATTCACAACTTACATTCATTCACAAATAGAGCATTTTAAAGAAAAAGTAGCGTATACTGACAGCATGGGTTCCTTTCAAATTCTACCAAAGCATCATCACTACATATGCTTGGTTAAAAATCCACCAGTCCCTTTTATACTTTCTTGAGTTGCATCCATCTTGCAATTTCCTTCAAGATAAGTAGTTACACAAACATAACTCCAGTCTCCTGTTGTTCTAACCCCATAAGATATTACAATGTCCATCTAAATATTCGATTACAAATCTAAGAAGAAGTCACATTCTTTACACTTTCAATATTCCACTCAGACTACTAATAGAAGTTCCTCCTCACCGCTTTGGGTACTACAAGAATAAGGTAAGGAAATGCTTCCCCATAAACATCAAATACCACATGATCTCCTTTAGCATGCACATTAGATGAATTCTGAGCAAAGTTTCATCAGCTCCCAATCACAGATTCTAATTTAGTTACCATAACCTTTAGAAAGAGACAGCTAACATCCACGTATCATATTAATGTCCATTTCTGAATCTCTCACATGTATTGATGCCTCGTTATGTTTAAAAAAATTGATGGGAACAAGCAATTCTTGTGTTTAATATATAATTCAAAAGATGTAAGACACAAACCTTATCCCAGAAATGGACAAGATCAGCATCACGCTGGTTAACAGCTTTTGTAGGTGGATGCAAGGAGTTCTCATCAACAAATGTGAAGTTATCATTTGCAGGATTTGTACCCAAGTATGCGAAGAGATTGTCCTTGCTAAGCCCTACATCACCATATTGCATGACATGAGAGCCATATGCAGAATTGCCGTTGATAGTCCTCCTTTTCACCTGCAAAAGACAGAAAAATGAAATTGCATAATAGATCTCAACAGCAAAACTAGAAGGTTTTTAAAACACTACAGTACTGAAAAAATGAGTTATTGACACTTGAATTTGATGTCAAAGGAATTTAGACCTCCCATTTTCAGGATATAGTTTCATATTTCTTAGATATAAACAGTAATAAATAACTACTGCAGGCAAAATGAAATTTAAGTCTTCCTTTTTTCCTGAGAAAAGAAAGAGTGCATGCAAATAAACTATTTAAAAGCCTTACAAGTTCATATTGCTGGTGCAAAGTCTCTGTCCGCAAATTATGTATGTCACTGCTCAACAGAAACAGAATATTAAAATTCATATCAAGGGATGTAATTCAACAAAAATAAAACAAAAGCTTATTCCACAGCTTTAAAAATCTCCTAATTTAGTCCAGATCATACTAAAGGATCAAATTGGCATGTATATCACCCACTTCTCCTCTGATTTTTTATATTTGTCTACTGATTCTTAAATTCAACAAGATGGAAGCGTGGAGCCATGAAATCAACTGATGATGTTAATTTATATACAACTTTCTCAAATCTTAGAAGAAAACAGATCTAGGCAATCAGTTTCAGCTTCAAAAAAATTACAGATTCAATGTTTTCAAGGGTAAATGAAAAGGCCATATATGACGAACAGGCTCGAATCCGTACCTGTCCTCCATCCAAGCAACACTGTACAAGTCTCCCAAGCAAGTTTCATACTCTGGAGGAGGACTTGGGTGCTCTCCAGGACAATAGGTTCCCCAGCTACTCTCTTCTGCATTTGATGCTGTGGTTGCATAGATATTCAAACCCTCAGGAAGAAGACCCTCAAATATACTTCCCGACTCACAAGCTTCAAGATAGAATACCTACAAAGTTACACGTAAACAAAAAGTTAAAAGGGCACTAAAGTGATGGGTAATGCATCAAGAAATTGACAGTTATTTAAACAACAATTTACCAAGCTTTTATAGGTCCCTAAAGCATGCTTTTTCTTTAAAACGTCAATCAGATCATCAGCATAAAGAAAAGGAACGGTAGGCATCCCTGAATTAACACAAAATGAATCATTAGCAGCTTAGAAACTATGTTAAGTTTCAAGCTGAAAACCATACTACAATCCCAAGTAATAATAGTTATAAAGCGAAGGTGCAAGCTGAAAGCCATCAGAAAGTAACTGCTAATGAGATATTACTAACCAAGCACACCAGCACCACCATGGTCAGTGTAGTATATGAAGATATGATCATTGGGACCACTATCCACAACCTTCCCGCTACCACCAGTGAGAGCAGTTTTGTTTCCAAGGATAGCAGCAAAAAAGTTGTTAACAGTAACATCTTCTCCAGTATAATCCTGCACAAATAACACCAATTAGGCAACGGTGAGAAAGAAATTGTACAATTAACAATCTTTTTTAAAGAATTAAAAAAAAAAAAAAAAGACCTTTGGAACTCCCTTATAAACATCATCGCCATGAGGACTATTAATGATGATTCCAGGCCTGGGGTTTTCTTCATTGTAAGCGATATCATCGTACATAAAGACAATGATGTTTTCCTCTGTCAGACCACCCTTTCTTAGGAGTTGATAAGCATGACAAACATCAGCCTGAAACAAATATAAAATATCTTTAGCAAAAATAAGATCGATCAATCAACAATCAATTATCAATTAACCAATAAAATCCAAATAAATAAATAAAACTTTAACTATGTTAACAAATTAGATGTTTTTGAAATGGAGTGAACATTGAAGAATGATCACAAATATTTTCAAAAATCATGTAAAAGAAAAAAAATCAAATTTGGGGAAGAATTTTTTATTACCTGATGCCTGTAATTCCAATAGCCATTAGATCCAGCAATCAGGACCGCCCATCTCGTGCCCTCAACTTCATCATTGTCGCTGCGATGAAAGAACCTAGAAGCTTCCGACGGTAACCGTAGGACGTCTCCAGTGGCATCTCTACCGGCGGAGACGATTCCAGCCACCGTTAATAGCAAAAGAATCACACCGGCCACGAGACGGGTCATGATTTGGCCTAAGCTTTGATCAATTAGAATAGGAAAAAAGAAAATTCTGATTTTTGATGATTATGCAAAATTCAAGACTTTGCAGTTAAGATATATAGCATAAACTTAGATATGGTGACGTACGTGGCGGGCCCCAGAGCTACTCTATTTTATACATTTTTACGTAACTGTGAGATTGCACCTGGGACGTCGATGTAGGATCCGTTTATAATATACGGCTATGATGGGAGTGAACGGAAAATCGGGTGGAGGCCCAGTTGAATTTCGTGGGCTTCGCAGGGACCAGCAGAGTCGGTCTGTCTATTACGTAATTGTTTCCTATTGGCTGGTTATTTCCTGAATTCCAATTTTCTTGCTAAAAATTTGAAACAATCGAGGACCAAACTCTTATGAGGATTTGGTTTTCTCATTTGTTTGTCCGCATTAGGGAATCTGTTTCCCTCCCTTATCTTGAAATGTAGGGCATGGACTTGAATATACTGGAATCGCTGGATGGTGACATAAAGTAAGAATCCCTTGCCCACACTCCTCTTCCTCTGTGCATCATTTTCTTGCCGCTGGAAGGTATCTTTTGGACAATGAACCTTGTATTATTGGTGACCGTAGACAGTAGTTTGGGCTTGCGGAAGCGAAAATTATTTTGGTACAAATTCATACTCAAAACTAATCAAAAATTTAGTGTTTGATCATTTCATGATTTTTTGTTTGGTACTAATAATTTGATACAATTTTCAAGGGTTTTCATTTTCATGAAACTTTTATTATCTTTGTTTTCTAATCAATTATCATACTTCAATACTAGCAAGCAAAGTTGGGTCAAGTTTCAAGTTGGGACAAGAAGAGTTTCCTTCAAAGTAATCAAAAGAAAAAAAAAATTCATTTTCATTATTAGCTTGGAAGAAGATTTTTTGTTTTTTAAAATTTTAATCTATTTTTAATGCCTAACTCTTATTTACTTAACTCTTATGGATATAATAATAAGCATTTAAATTTATTAAATTCACATTTTTAAGAATTTAAATAATATATATCACCTGAACTAATACTCAATTGATGGTTTAATCATATATTAAAGTAATGTATATAATATACAAAATTGTTTTATTCATTCTTGTTCCCTGAACCATTAGTTTTGAATCATTTGCCTTGCTTTCTCATCCATGAAAATTTTTTTTAAAATATTGATGGTGGGTATTTGATTTTTATGTTTGATTTAAAATAATTTGATTATAAAAAAATATTATATTTTCAACAATACTCAAAATTTCGAAATCAAAAACTCATATTTTTTGTGATATTTTAGGATTTGAGGAAAAAAAAACTATTTTATTTTTAAGTTTAATTTGAATAAAAAATTATGATATAATCGTTACTTTTTATGTCTAAAAGTGACAAAAAATTAGTTGTAAGTTTTTGTTAGTTTAATTTTTTTTTTTTTTACATATTGCAAATAAAGCGTTATAAAAAAATAAAACGAATCATTTAAGTTGTTTATGTATAAATGATAATTCTTTTTTTTTTATAAAATTATCATTTAAGGTATTTTTGAATAATCTTTTAATTTTTTCATAAAATAATCATTTAAGGGTACAAAAACATTTTAAATAATTTTTTTTATCAAAAAATTAAAATTAAATGATTATTTAAAGGGTTTTTGTACATAAACACATTAAATGATTATTTATTTTTCATAAAATATTATTTAAAATGATCATTTAATTTTAATTTTTTTTATAAAATAATTATTCAAGGTATTTCTTTATTTAAGACGTATCTATACAAAAATACCTTAAATAATTATTTAAAAAAAATTAAATGATCATTTAAATTGGAGATTTGTTGATCTTTTTTCTAATAAATTTTTATATCAATTAAGGCATGCAAAATGCCAAATGAATCAATTGATGATATTTATAAATAAAAATAGCAATCACATAAAAATATTTATTTATTTTTGTTGTTAAAGGCATAATTTATCATTTAAATATTTATTATTAATAAAATAAAATGAAAAGTTACTATCATACATATTAAAAAGATTATAATAATTATATAAGACTTAATATATATAGATTCTCTCAACCAAATAAATAAATTTAAACACAAAATACTTTTAAAAAAAATTAAAAATAACATTTTTTTATAAGAAAATCCAGAGATATATAAGTTGTTCAGTTTTTTAGTCAGAGTAAGATGTACCGTATTTAATAATCTATGACAGATGACTACAGATAATATATTTGAGATAATCTCACAAATGATCATCAGCAGGACTCGAACCCAATACATCTTAATCGAGGAAAACAATTTTAGATTAAACCAACAATTTATTAATAATATAACACTTTTCAAAAAATAATACTTACTTTCGAAATCTCAAAATTTTCTAACCATATGCCCCCGCAACGAGAATATGGTTTTCTCATTTTTTTGTCCGCATCAGGGAATCCGTCTCCCTCCCTTATCTTGAAATGAAGGGCATGGACTTGAATCTACTGGAATCACTGGATGATGACATCAAGACGGAATCCCTTGCCTACACTCCTCTTCCTCCATATTTCATTTTCTTGCCAATGGGCGGTACCATTTGGACAATGACCCTTGTATTATTGGTGAATGTAGACTATAGTGTGGGCTTGGGGAAGTGAAAATTATTTTGCTACAAATTCATGCTAAATGCTAATCAAAATTTAGTTATTAGTCATTTCGTGATTTTTGTTTAGTATTAATAACTTAATACAATATTCAAGGGCTTTCATTTTCATGAAATTTTTATTGCTTTTGTTTTCTAATCAATTATCATACTTTAATACTAGCGTGCAAAGTTGGGGAAAGTTTCAAGTTGGGACAAGGAGAGTTTCCTTGAAAGCAATTAAAAAAAGAAAGTTTCATTTTCATTATTAGCTTGCAAGAAGATTTTTTATTTTTGAAAATTTTAATCTATTTTTAATAATTAACTCGTATTTACTTAATTCTTATGAATATAGTAGTAAGCACTTAAATTTATTAAATTCACATTTTTAAGAGTTTGAATAATATATATTATTTGAATTAATACTGAAATAATGCTTTAAAGTAATGTATAAAATATAAAAAAAAAAATTTAGAGATGGATAAATTATTCAATTTTTTATATCAAAATAAGATATGTCGTACTTGATAATTTAAGACAAGTGGATGCAAATTATGTATTCGATATGACCCTAATAATTAACCACTGACAAGATTTGAACCTAAGATCTTTTTCATCGAAAAAAATAAATTTAACTGATTGAATCAACCACTTATTAGTATACAATTTTTTATTCATTAAATTTTCCCTTACGTCTCCTAAACCATTAGTTTTCAATCATTTGCCTCGCTTTCTCATCCATGAAATTTACAAAAAAAAAAAAAATAGTGGCGCGATCTAATTCTTTTAAAAAATTTAAAATCTTGATTTGAATTTGAAAGTTTTAATAATATTAAATAATAACGTAATCACATATAGTATATTTTTCAAGTATATATTACTCATTACTAACATCTTAAAGCCATAATTCTAAGGCCAATTATATATATATATATTTATAATAATATGATTAAGGGTATTTATTAATTTTGTATTAAATCTAATTTTTTTCTCCCAAGATCTTAAGAATAATGCATTTTCTATATTGACACGGTGCGTTCATGATATTGCAAGTTAAATATATTCAATTGTTCAATAACAAATTTTTATCCCATGAATTATAACTCCTTAAAAAAACACAAAAAATTAAGTAAAAAAAAAAACAAAATGAAAAAGAAAGAAATATGACCAAGGCCTTATAAGATGAATACTAGCCCAAACTCGATCCATAGCATTTTGTTATGCATTATTCATTTGGGCTAAATCCATTATTACTGACCAAAGAGGCCCACTAGTTGAACACGTTAGTCTTGGCCCTTGCCAGGTTAATGCCCCAATTAAAAATCCATCCGCCCTGCCCAAGTAACCGTCTCAAATCTCTCACCACAGAATCAAAGCCCCTCACACGGACTCGAACGACCAAACCATCAGTTACAGTGAAAGCTCGGCTGACGAACTTCTTATTTTCCATTTAAAATTGGAAGTTTGGGATTTTTTTTATTGATTTTTTTTTTAATGGAGAAAGGAGAGAGCATTTTGGAAGCGATCTACGAAGAGGACGATTTAGGAGATGACGAAGATGTTGAGATGCTTGATGTAGAAGAAGGAGAGCTCGTGGATAGTAACTCGGCAAATGATCTGGAAAAAAGCGACGTTGCAGATGTTAATGGTGAAAATCAAGGGTACCAAAGTAAAAACAAAAAGCGCAGAGCAAATAAGAGGAAGAACAAGAAAAAAAGGGGTGGTTCGGGACCTAAAGCTTTGGATATAAACAGGTAGTTTTCAGTAAAATTTAATTTTCCTTTGCGTCAATAAATAAATAAACATGAGGACTTGTTTAGGCGTAATTTTGGTTTTTGAAGCTTTTTTAAAATTTGGTTTTTGCAGGTTTGTGATAGATACTTGTAGACGGTTAAAAGAGAGGAAGTCGTACATGGTGTACACTGCTGTGGGATGTTTGGGGGTTTCTGCATTGTCTGATCTTGTTAGAGAGGTATTTTTAATTTTATCCCTTTCAAGATTGTGCATAATGTGAGATTTAATGCTGGGTTTAACATAAATAAGTTGTTTAATTTATTAGTGGAAAGTTATTTGTGCGCTATTGTCGTGTGACATATGAAACTTGTTTAGATTATGCTTTCGTGTTCTTCAGAAATTCTGTATGGTAGATAAAGCCATGTTAGTATTCCCAGGATGATCCGACAAGCTTGGTTGAGTTTGGTTCATGTCACGTTGTCTAGTTGGGATTACGGTGCACTATTAACTTCTATTCCGAAGTTATTAAGTTTGTTGCTCGGTAGCATTTCTGTCCTATAGCTTGTTGTGCTGTCCTATGTAATTTCACTCTTGTCTATTGTTGTTATCTTAATGGGCACCTATAACTTCTGAGTGATCTGAGCTTACCCGTTTACATTGACCACAAATTTTTTTCCCAATAAGATTTGTGCTGTTAGAAATAACATTTGCTGTCAGCAAGTGAGAAAATAGTAATTTCTTTCTTAAAGGGAAGGTGAGAATTTGGGTTTTACTTCATTTTTTTTAGCCTGTCTAGGCTGACAGTGCTTGACCACTCTCTAAAAACCATTTCACTCTTAACATCTGATGATCTACATTGTTTTCCCTCCCATTGCTGCATTTTTCTTGCAGATACCAATTGCCACTTCAAATCCTGTGCACTGAGCTGAGATGAACCCACTTCATAATTTCCTTTTGATATAGGTTATTACCGTTTTCTCTTTCTTGGACATGCACCACACAGCTGTGATGTAAAATAATTTATCAAGTAGATTTTCACTTATCAAAGGCCAACTATAAGAATGGGTATGTACAAAATTTAAAAGACAGCCCTTCATATTTCTTCATCTAGATGGTAGGATAGTGGCAAAAAATTGAAACTTCTTTTTTTTCTTTTTCTAATTAATAACATCAAGTTTGCTGGTATTCTTTTTTTTGGTAGTTAGGAGTGGGATTTGTGAATATATACCTTTTTTTTTTTTATTATTTTACTTTTCAAGGAATTTCTTAGAAATAAAGTTGAGTGGTATGAACTCAAAATAAATGTTAAGAATCAATTTTATCGTTGGTTGATAAGCCTTTAAGAATTGTTAGTATCCATTATAACTGAATGACTGATGAGAAGTGCAAACATAATTATGACATAATGCTTGACTTCTTGGCAGAAACGTTTGGCTGTGCATGTAAGTAAGGGTTAAACGCTGACCTTTTGTTTGTTTTGGAGATAATTCGTTTATCTTTTTCCTTCGTTTGGTGTCTGATGGAGTATATTTCATTTTTTCCCTGCCTCATAAGATGTGATGTGTTAAAGTCTTCACCTTTGCCACCATTGATTGAGATGTATGCAGGAATAAATGGTAGAAATTAATGACTTGTTTCTCCTTTTTTTCCCTTTACATCTGTTACAAATCTATAGTTTTTGTTATATGTTCAGTGATTGCTTGAAGTGATAATGGTGATTTCAATGGTTTCAGCTTTGATCAAACAATATACTCTCAATTGTCTACGTACTCTCTCTCCCTTTCTTTGCTCATTTCTTTCCTTAATTGTCTTTGCAAGAGTTTTTGCATTCCTTTTACCTGCTATTGTTCCTATTGGGATGTATGATGAAACCTAAATTCCTCAGGTGGATGCAATTCAATCTTGTGGAGGTCAGATGACAGCTGATGGCAGACGATGTCGGACAGGTGGTGGCATTTTATGGAATATCATAAAAGTGCGGGAACCTGCAGCTTATCGAGAAATAATGAAAAAGGCGAAGGACTTTGAGGTGTGTACTTATAGGCACATCAAGTGCTATTCTTTTCTCTGGACACCCGAATATATACACGTGTGCATGAGAACTTTCAGATTCATTTATCAATTGGATGTCTAAATAATGTGGTTAGGTACCAGTTCTCTGGTTGTTTGTATGCTTTGTTATTCTTTGACAGTTTAGGGTTATTGATATTGCAATATCCTGATATAAATAATCTATTTCTTAAATTATTGCCCAATATTCTGTGACAGTTTTAGAGGCTTTGGTAGTTTAGCTGTGTAATCTAATTGCAGCAGTGATAAATTCCTTTTTTATTAAAATTTATTATGATTCAAGCAACTCCTGTTTTCAATACAATAGCCTTTGAACTTGGTTCAGGATGCCATTCCAACGTGATTCATAGGCATTTGGTTCTTGTATCATGTTATGACCCAACTTAGTAGCCAGCGCTGCTTTGTGCTTTTTGATTTTCAAATAGTAATCTAGGATACGTTTCTAATGGTATTTATGATTTTGCAGAAGCAATTTAAGCAACAAAATATCAGACAAGCACCAGCACAGAACAAAGAGAGCTCTTCTCAAGAAACTGCCTGTACACTGACTAATGGAACTGCAGCAAGTGTTTCAGAAGATTCTCAACTAATTCCTCAAAACCAACAAGAGCAGTACAGTGCTGAAGGAACACGCAAATCTGTTCATGATAGGCTTAGGGTCCCTGTTTCATATGAAGACCTTCTAGGAGAAGATCCAAAAGAAGATGAATGTGATCATTAGAAAAATTGAAATTTTGCTTGGCATCAATTTTGCATGAGTAGATTTGTTGATAGGACGGATTTGATATTATTTGGAAGGCCACAGATGAGAGATCATTTTACAGGTTAATAAGAGAATTATTAGTTCTTGAATCAAACTTGGATCTATCATCGTTGAAGGAACGAGGAATCTAATTCTTTCTTTGGAACTTTTCCTTCTCACGCCCATTCCTATAGCTTTCATGGCTTCCATGTAGGTGATTAGTTTTAGATCATTCATCAAATATGACACATCATTGAAACTTACTGTTCCACGCATCTGTTTTCTTTGGCAACGTAATTGATACGCCATCGCTACAATCCATTGGACCAAGATCATTTCAATCTTAGAACAGTTAATGGTGGTTAACAAATTAGTCACAAGAGTATTTAAAAACTTGTTCTGCGATAAAAAACAGAGGAGGCCGACCAACTAGTTAGGTTTCAACAGGCAAGAAACCTGGATACTGTTGCTTTTTTTGGAGGAAGAGGCAAACCACGGTGCAGTCATCTACTTTTGAAGATGGAAACTTCTTTTTCCATGAGGCGATAGCTGCCTCCACCACTGTCCTTGCCGCTGCCTGCTCGCTCTCTGCCTCCATCACTACGGAGGCAACTTGGTTGTTGTTGAGCACATCCCATACCTAACAAAACAGGCCGAAAACAAATGTTTAAGTTCATTCTTTTATGGACACCCTTTTTTTATATTTTTTTATAAAAGCATTGTTATTTCATTGAAATGGGCTTACCCCATCAGTTGCAAGAACAATGAAGTGATCATTTGGAGTTATGTGGTGATAGAAGATGTCAGGGATTGCAATTATTCCATGGTTCTTGAGTAGAAAGTCTCCAAAAGCTCGAGACATGGCTAGGCCTGGATAATCTTCATGGGGTAGCCACACACGCTGGATATGTGCTTCTTCCTTTAAAGCAAGTACCCTACCATTGCAATTCCTTATTCTTTGGGCTTCACCTGCATCAAAATAGTTGATCAAACCGCTCAAATAGAACAAGGATGGCTTGAAAAATATAATATAGTAAAATTTAATTCGATGGTTTGTCCTTCGGAAAGACTTATAGCAAGAAAGATGCTGTGAGAAAGGAAACGGAAAAGGGTCATACTGGGTAAACCAGGCTTCAAATCGGTAGTTAATTGAACAGCCTTGATCCCATTCTCGGTTTTTGTTCCTAGAATCGCCCTCGAATCGCCAAGGTTTGCAATAACAAGATTTTCACCCTTTGAAAAAATCAACAGGAAGAAAAAAGATGAAACTTTAATTTGAAAGCTCATCATATAATTTGTGAAAGCAAAGTATGGATCTGACAAAACAATTTCTTAAATCTCAACACTATCTTTCTTACCTGTCTCAAAACAACAACTGCGGTGGTTCCACTGGTAGAGCAATCCAAATTCTCTTGAAGCTTAATCTCCTTGTCCATCACCTTGAAGGCACTGATGCAAGCCTCTTGCCATTTAAGAACATCCTTGTTTGGTACCGATCCACCTTTTGTTTTTGCCACCTGATCTTGGAAATTCGTCTTAATCTTTGCCAGAGCATTCTTTTGGCTTAGCAAGAGTGATGGCAACCGATTTCTCACCATATTGCTCACTACGTGACCATTCTTTCCATGACCATCAAAAACTCCACAGAATGCTCCACCTTCCATTCCATAGTCCTTGAAGAACAAAAAACTAAACATTTTAGCTATATAATCTAAACCAATATTATATATCAAGTTTGATCCAATCTCAATTCAGCCATATCAAAATTTTTTGGTTAAAACTTTTCTCTTGCACAGAATAAACCGATTAAGACATGAAACATTTGTCAGGTTCTTGAAGAAGATTTTCAGAAGGATCAGAGAACAAAAGCAAAATATTCCATTCAAAACTTGAATAATATTATAACAAAGGAGTAGCAGTGGCAAACCTGATAAAGGATGGCAGCATCCTGGTTTAGTCCTTTGCTTCCCTGCTTAGAGTAAAGAGAGCCAAGTTTCTGAATTCCAATAGAAGCAGTGTTTCCAGCCAAGTAGAGAACATTTTCCTGGCAGTCTTCAGCCTCATAAATCTCTGAAGATGCAACGGATATGCAGATTCCCATTCTCAACTGAATACCCAAATTTCCTTATTAAATTCCAATGACTTTTTGTGAAATAGTCCCCTCAATTATGTATTTAAGAACTCCATAATGCGCATTATAGCAAGATAATAATATTAATATATAGCAGAATAAGTGCCTCCTAATTAGCTGATTGCACACTCCAACTCATTAATCAATTTACTGTTTTTTTTTTTTAATTGTTGAGTATTATCATACGCTACCCCAAGATTCACTTCAAGAAGCATATGACGTGTATTCTTGCAAAGATTAGTGTCTTGACAAAACAATCAAACTGGCCTCAAGTACACAAAGGAAATTTCTTCCATCTTGTCTCAAATTCCCAGTTTCCAAACTTATTCATGAAGATTCCTCAATAAAATACAGTCATAGGAGCCGTAATCATTTATTGTCGATTTTTCATATCATATATGATTAATTTTAGATTTTTTTGCATATTACATGATTTACAAGCCATTATTTTCCTATAAGATTACATAATTTCCTGGAATCTCAATCAACAACTGAGCTGAGTGACCGAGAGGCATTGTATAAGCCTAAATCAAATGTAAAAATGGACAGTCGGTTCCTTCCAATAGTTAAAAGGGGTGGTTGACACTAAAAAAAACTGGATCCGAGGCCAATGGAACTGCTTAAGGTTAACTCAACAGCTTTGGGACAGAATTATGAAAGATGCATCAAAATGTTGGTCAACTGTTAGAAACAGAAGAAAAACAAATAATTATAGCTATTAAAAAAAGCTTAATCCTACCCTTCTAAGTCAAGAGAGCGTAATCATGGTTTATTATAGTCTGCCAAGCATGCACAAACGGAGAAAGGACTTGTTTTGGATACGTCAGGCTGAGCCATTTGCTTAATCGTAACGGTAAAACTTGTGGACTTGCTTTCAGATCGTTCGATTATAAAACTTGGTTGATTATCCGAGTTGACTTTTTCTTTTATAGACAATTAATTGAATTTTGTTTATGCTGTGACATAGGAAGCCAGTTTGATTGGGAGTATTAATAATTTGGTCATTCAAATTTCATGTTTTTAGTTGTTTGCATAAATGATTAAATCAATTTGAATGGAGGAATCAGATAATCTTGCCAACTCGCCCTGGCTTCCATGGAGCCATTGACTGCATTTTAACAAGTATTCACTAGAATTTTCTTTTTCAATACTTCATGGAGCGGTGAATGTCGCTGATTCTTACTCTTTAAGATCAATAATTGAAACGGTGTTAGAAGTTATCAAAACCCAGAGTTTTTCATTTTTTGTTGGCTAAATTATCTATTATACCCTGATTGGCAAATGCACCAGGCCAGAAGCGTATAAACACGCGTTAATGATGACAAGTATGAACATAATCCCAACATTTTGATTCCTGCCATACATTTTTATAAGCATGCTTCATTTCTTTCTTTAGTCAAATAAACTCACCAGTCTCCTACCCCTTGCATGTCACGTCAGATTTTCCATTGTTTTTTTCCCGTTGTTTTGAATCAGTAGTTTGGATAACCCACACATCTTATCAGATAAAGAAAGTTCATCTAAAATGCCGACTTTCATTTCTGTAACATTATAATTCTTTGATGGAAATATATTTGTAATCAAAAGGAAACGCTTGGAAACGTCATGCTTTGGAGATAAGACTCTCAAATCAAAGCAATGTATTAGCACGATCAAGCATGCTAGAATGATGAAAAACACCATCACCATTCATGAACTTGGTTTGGTATGCATCAAATCAATGGGATATAAAAGCTTCAATATGCACCTTCTATGTGGAATTGGTCAATTTCGCTGCATCTGGTGCTCTGTGACATGCTTTGTCTGGTATGCCTGTGTACAAGTAAAGGATCAAGGTGACTTCATTACTAAATAAATTGCTAAAAGGGATGCTCGTGCGGTTGCATGCGACATGTTACGGAAATTCACATTGTCCTAGCCATTAATCCATAGCAAATTAACAAGTATGGCGATGCACATAGCAGTCAGTTCACATCGGAGCATCTTTCCTACAAGAAGCTGAAACATAAAAATGTAAAATATACGCCGGATTTGATGAGCAATTACTCTTTGTAGGTGTAACATAGTGAATATTGCATCTTATATTAAATGAAACAGTTTCACACACACACTCGGAAAGGATTATTCTGTACAGAATGTTTGCATAAGATTTAAGAGGTTATCTGGTCCGTTTATTTTATTTCGGCACATCTAGAAATCATACTGATAAGTGATAAGACCCAAGGATTGAAGCAACATGAAGATTTGGTGGTTGATATTCTCACTGGCTGGGGGATACATGAACATTATCTTCACCATTAGCTGATTCAGCTGACTTCTTCATAAGAGGCTTGGGTATATCACAATCGTCTTGAGGGCAACGTTGTTGAGGGTGAGACAACAGCATAGACATGAAACGGAAGAGGGTTCGTGGTAGCCCATGTCCACTCTCATGGATGTATCCTTCATACTCACTAACATGTTCAAGAGCATCAACAAGCGCATCATAGACCGCCTGGGGACAGTTATCTGGTCCAGGCTTGTCGTGGAGGTACATTACATCCAATGTGAAGAGTTTTTGGTTTACAGGCCATTGATGATGGGGTCGTACCGATGATCTGCAGTATATAAGAATCTAAAAGACAGCCAAATATCACACCTGTATCAGAATTTTGAGTAAGAATTGAGGAAATATAAAGATTTAAATATCAACTTTAGGATTCACATAACAAAACTAAACTCTTTACAAGAAATGGGAACAAAGTGAACCAATCATTCATAGCAATTCATTCAACAAAGCATGCCTTGAAATTACAAACAAAATCATCTAAGCATGTGTATCATGAATGATAACTAAGTTACTAAGACAGAACTTAATTGGTAACTAGGAGTCTGAGTTCGAATCCTTTCCACAATATAACACAGTCATTGATAAAAAGAGGAAAAGAAATGGTTACTGACCAATCTTAATATCCGGTTCTGGGCACGAGATTTCTTGGCTTCATAAGCTGCTAAGCGGAATAAACTGGTGAGATCTGCTTGACCAGAAGAGACAGTGGTAGCCGAGAGTGCCCGAACCGCACCAATGGCAGACTCAACATCACTGCTGAACTCTTTTCTCAGCTATAAAAAAAAAATCACAATAAATGAAAATGAAATATCTAAATAAATGAATTTCAAACCCTTTATTCAAATTAATAAAACCATAGATTATATTCTTCTATTTCCCACATCTCCAATCAATTTTTTTTTAAAGAGAAAAGTACCCAAGAGGCGGATTTGGAGAGAGTGGCGAAAGCGAAGCGGTGATCGGGGTTGATAGAGAGCTTGGAGTTGACGAAGAGAAGGATGGCTTGTTTTATGGAATCCAATCTGGTGATTCCCGCTGTTTTCATTTCAACAAGCGACTCTGCGTCCACATCCACGCAAATTATTATGTCCTCGTTGCTTATTCGCGTCGGTTTCAAGGTGTAACGCCCACCGCCTCCCACCGAGGCGTCTCCTTCGATATCTTCCATTTTCGTTTTTCCTCGATGTCCTTCCTTCGGCATAGAAGACATTGGAACCAAACAAAGGGGAAGGAGAGAGAGGAAAGGAAACTGCCAAAGAGACGATTGAGACGGTGCGTTTCTAGTCTTGCAAAAAAAAAACAAACATATCTTAACGGTGTCGTTCTAGAGTGTTAGAAGAAACGATGCGTACTTGCCGCGTTTTTTAGTGTCTGTATTCTCGAGTATTCTCGGTTTGTTCTATTTGGCTTTTTCCTCTTGGATTGTTTGGCTGCGAAAGTGAGCGATCGGGCGAAAATGGCGTGTACGCATGACCATAGCTGCGAAGATCACGATTGTTCTTCTAATTGGTCTCTTTACAAGCACATCGACCTTCCGAAGGTCCTTTCTCTTACTTTTTTACTGGAACATTTGAAGATTCAACCGACTCGTTACCTTTTTTTGGTCTCCCTAATTGATTTTTGAAGTATAATTTCTTTATATTTTTCCACTCTCATAAGTAAATGAATTCACATATTGCTTTTATTTCTTGGAATTTTTGGTTATTGTCTAGGTAACCGCTTTAAATGAGGCCAATCCAGGAAGTGTTAAATCTGTGTTTAAAGCTTGGGAGGAGCGATTGAATTCTTCTGGGGTAAAATTTTGTTTTATTGTTTAATTAAATTTTCTTTTATATTTTTTGGTATAAAACAAATGAATAAATGCATTTATATATATATAAATTTATTTTGAAAAAATGATTGAGTGTAATGAACTATTTCTGCAGTCTCTTGTTTGTGTTAACATTCTTCTGGGGAAAAATTATTTTGTATTACGCATCGAAGTGTCTGTCGTTTTCATGGTATGTGATAGCTTAATCAGATTGTTTGACTGTGGCAGGAAAACTTAGAAAGCAATGAGGGCGATCCCGAGTTACTTGTTTACATTCCGTAAGTGACTGCTTCTAGTTGTTTTAGTGCCTTTTATTTTATGACTTGAAAGTTTGCTTTGAATTTCATGTCTTATTTCCGTGGATTTACTAATCACTATCTACATCTGCGGTTTAATGTTATACCAAAGTGTCCATGTTAAAACTTTGGGTGTTTGAGGCTAATTGAAGGAGGCATGCTGGTTTGAATCTCAAAGATGAAAATTTTATAATTTGTGTTTCATTGCTAATTTTCCATATGTTTTTCACCCCTCATGTCTCATCATTCTGTTGTTCCTTGCATGCTAACTTATATTTTAAGTGTATATTATGATTCAAATGATCAAGTGTATTGGTTCATTTTCAAAATGGTTGAATGAGTCTTGATCGTTGTTCTTTTTCTTGATTTGGCATTTATTATGTTCTAGAAGTGCTTGTCTGATTTCTTCTATACTCATTGGACTTATTCTAATAGATTTACATCAGATGTTAAGATCAAGAGTGTATCAGTTGTTGGGGGTGCCGATGGAGCGAGTCCTTCTAAGATGAGAGTGTAAGTTCATATGCCTAACCAAGTGGTTTCATCACTTCTGATATGGTTAATCTTCAGTTAGCACTTAGTTGAATGTCATTTTAACTGCTTTCACATTGAAAATATCTTTGATTTTGGTACCTGATATTTCCAAAGAATATAATATTGTAGCGTTTTGAAAAGGATGTCTTCTGCTTGTATGGCTTTCTTCTAGTTATTTTATTAGAGATTAAAAATTTCAATTTGTTTTAATTAGGTTTATAAATCGAGATGGCATTGACTTCTCTGATGCTCAAAGCATGCAACCTGTTCAGGTATTGCTCAATTCCCTTGCCATTAAATATACTGATAAATTCTACAAAGTTGATCTAAAACGTGTACTTTTGTCTTTCAAGGAGTGGGATTTGATTGAAAATTTGCAAGGAGTGGTAGAATACCAGACAAGGTAGGTACTTACATGCTCCACACAGTGTTACCTTTGTTTAGGAACAGTTATGAACCCTTTCTCAGCGGTCAACTTGCTTGTTTATTCTGCATGAAGACTTGTTCCACATGGCACCTACAATGTTAAGTTGATGCTCATAAATGACTTGATGAAGGTAGCAGACGACTGTTTCATTCTCTCTGTTTTCTAGTTGCTGATGCCATATTAACATGCATATTTAGGTATTCAAAATTTCAAAGCGTGGCGAGTATTACGTTGCATTTCCCTGAGAGTTTTGGTGGTGACACAACTCAAATTCACTACATTGGTTTTAAAGGTGAAGCCACACAGGTACTTCCCTTAACAAATCTCAGATTAACTGATGATGGTGATTTTGTCTGTTTCCCTAGTGAAAATTTGGTGCTTCAAATGATATATTTCCTGAATATGATTGACAGTTGAAGAGGGATGTTGTTGCAACGATTGTTTATGAAATCACACCCAATCCTTCTGATCACAAGTAAGTTTTTGATGCTACTAAATGGTTATATATTGGTGTTGATGTTGAACCAAGGATTTGAGCTTGCCTACTTTCTTGTTGAATGGTGAATTATTCTGTTAATTGGTAGATATGTCTAGATATTGTAAACCTTGCTCATGCCTTCACATATCTACAGCTGACATAGTAAAGCCTATATTATATTGAATAACTTTCTGGATGTCCATACTTGGTTCAAATGGTATTTGAACATATAACAAAAGTTTTATTTATAAAAATTGATTATATTCATGCAGGACCAGGGCTGAAACTGGCGGGGGCCTTTCTCATGTGGAATAAAGAATTCGTGTTGCCTCTGGCTGTTCTTATCATGACTCTAACTACTCCTGTATAATAATCTATGGCGAAAATTACACAAATGTTATAATAGTTGACGGAGAACCCTCTACCCCCTACCCACCGGGTTATTATGTTCTTTTATTTCCATCATGTTGCCAAAGATGTATGCTTCATATAATGTGGGAATGATGAATAGTTTAAGCTTTAAACTGAACAGAGTCGAATGGTGCAAGCAACATTGCATCTGCGATTTCCATTTGCTATCTCACTGGGTTTCAATTTTGGAACTTTCAGATCGAGTTGACCTTTTTTCCAAGCTAGCTGATTTCTCGGACTAAATTCGTTTGAATATGTCCACATTATCAAATGAGTTGGTTTAGGTTCATTGTAGTTGAAAAATGTGGCATTTTCAGGTTATATGTACAAACCTTCTCATGCAAAATCTTAAATTTTGGCAAGTTTTTTAAAAGAATAATAAAATGGCAGGTATATCTGTCATTTTTATACCTTTTCATGATTAGTTTATGTTGTCTAGTATCCTACCTTAAATAAAATGCGTAATCGAAGCTTTTAACTATTTTAAACAACACAATATTCCATAATCAATTGATCAGGACACTTGGCAACATCAGAGTGATATACATACGAGGAGACAAAATAGACTAACCCGCAGAAGAAGTATTTCGCTTCTGAGACTTCTGACCGATGTTTAAAAGTCTCCACTATCTAGCTTTTCCATTTTGTTCTTTATATCATGTATATTTTCTTTGCCTCTAAAGCAAACGGCTCAATTATATTTCTAGGGTTTTAGCTACTGAGTTCATTTCAACCTTTGCACCCTCCAAAAAGAAAACGTGAGAAACCCAGAGAAAGAAAATACTCTTCCTATTAAGTAGGCGTCGTCTTCGTCTTCTTCTTATTGAATTCTATCCTCTTTGTTATTCATATCCGGTATTGGTTTTTTTTTTTTTTTGGGATTTTTGTCAGTAATACTTTTTTTTTTTTAATTTGTGAATTATTAGCGTTTTAAGGTATGCTGTATTTTTTTAGCTAAACATGTTTTAGGTTAAAGTTCAATTTGTAAGTGTCAGCTTTTCATCAGTCTCCTACAAAAACTTCACTTTTCAAAGTAAAATTCCATTTTTGTTTCCCCTTTTCTTATGGATTAAGTCTTAAAGGTTGTTCATGTTTTGCTCTAACTAGCCAAATTAATTGGTGTTGAGTTGAATTTTTTTGTTTTAATTCTATGTTTTGTTCCATTGTAAATTCCCAGGAAATTTGTGTGGAATATTAGTGGAAAGCGAAAAATGCAGGCTTGTAGCGGAGCTGCAATGATGGGTTCTTTGCAACAGCCCATGAGGGTCAATAGACCAGCATTTCCTTTAAAAGGGTCTGCTATTACTGGATTTCCACACCAGATTAAGCTCAACTCAGTGAAGCCCTGTAGAGCTCAATTTGAGGGGAGCTTAGTTACTGGGAGGCCTCCCTCTTCAGTCTCTGTTCCCTTGCTCGAAACCAGCTTTGTGGACCACGGCATCAGTGAAGCTGATCCTGAGGTTTGTGCAATTATTAGCAAGGAGAAGGAGAGGCAGTTCAAAAGCCTTGAGCTTATTGCCTCAGAGAACTTTACATCCCGTGCAGTGATGGAGGCAGTTGGGTCATGTCTCACAAACAAGTATTCTGAAGGACTACCTGGTAAAAGGTATATCTAATTAAGCAAAGTGCATAGAGATTTAACCTTCTTTTTTTTTTTTGTTTTGATTTGATTGTGTGCAGCTGAAAGATCTTATTGTTTATTGCAGGTACTATGGTGGCAATGAGTACATTGATGAACTTGAAACACTTTGTCAGAAGAGGGCTTTGGCTGCATTTCACTTAGATGAAAAGAAGTGGGGTGTTAATGTTCAACCATTGTCAGGTTCTCCTGCTAATTTTGAGGTTTATACAGCAATTCTGAATCCACATGACCGAATAATGGTAAGATGCTTTTTGCCTGTTTTAGCCTCTGTAATTTAATTATCTGTCGGGTAATACACTAATTGAAAATTTCTTAATATATTTGGTATAGGGGCTGGACTTGCCTCATGGGGGACATTTGTCACATGGATTTATGACTCCTAAAAGACGGGTATCTGGCACATCAATCTATTTCGAGTCAATGCCTTATCGACTTGATGAATCTACAGGTTATGCATCCTTATTATTAGACTTACTAAGGTTAAATAGTTTTTGCATTGGCTTGGTGGTTGATTCAATTTGTCTGCAATTTGGAACAGGCCTTGTTGATTATGACATGCTTGAGAAGACGGCTACTCTCTTTCGACCAAAACTCATAATTGCTGGTGCCAGTGCATATCCTCGAGATTTTGACTATCCTCGCATGAGGAAGGTAAGAACTAATGCTCTTGTTAGTTGTGCTATAATGCCTACCACATTTTACCTAACATTTAGTGAAAACATTTTTTTCTAAGTATTGCATACATTCCTTATTTTAGCATATAACTGATTAGAATTGGTATCTGTTGGAAGATCGCAGATGCTGTTGGTGCATTTCTAATGATGGATATGGCTCATATAAGTGGACTTGTTGCTGCTTCTGTAGTTGCTGACCCCTTTGAATATTGTGATATTGTGACAACAACTACACACAAGGTTTGGGATGAATGTTTTCAATTGCTGTGTTGAACTCTATATATGCAACATTCACTGGAGATACTGCTATTTTTGCTTGTCGAAATATTTATATTTAGTAAGGGGTGCTCGAGAAAATTTACTTTCTTGTAGCATGGTTAATCTCACTTGATCTTTTCCTTCACCTAGCACAGAATATATTCTTCACTTTGTTTGGATCCTGATTTGGTTAGCATGTGCATTAGAAAGATCTGCTGTTTCCATAAACTTGCCAATAGTGATGTATCCTCCCAATTACTACTTACTTCCTTGTCATTAATGTCCATGTGAATAACCTGCTTAATTTTCTTATGCGTTTCCAGTCTTTGAGAGGTCCAAGAGGTGGCATGATCTTCTTCAAGAAGGATCCTGTTCTTGGAGTTGAATTAGAATCTGCCATAAATAATGCTGTTTTTCCAGGTTTACAGGTTAGTTTGACTTGTCTCCTTTGCTCTTACTAATCTGAATTCTCTTATTCTAACCTTCTGTTGACTTTCACACTGAGGTTTTTAAGTTATGAAACTATTTATATATCATGAGAGGCATAATGTCGTCAATGCAGGGTGGTCCTCATAACCACACAATTGGTGGCCTAGCAGTTTGCTTGAAACATGCACAGTCGCCTGAGTTCAAGGCTTACCAGAATCAGGTACTATCCTTCAAGGATTAAAAATTTAGTTGAAGTTATGTCCTGATCCAAGTGTAATATGGGTACTTCATCCTGCAGGTAGTTTCTAATTGTAGAGCTCTTGCAAGCCGATTGGTTGGACTTGGCTATAAACTGGTTTCTGGTGGCAGTGACAACCACCTTGTACTTGTGGATCTGAGGCCATTGGTAAGTTATTATCTTCATTTAAGACATGCAGACATGTGCACTCTTTATCTTTGAAAATTTGAGTAGCATTGAAACTATTGGCCCGATTCATTATAGACACCCTATGCCCCCTTTGCCTCGTTTCTTTATATTAATTAACTTCTTCTTCACCAGGGTATTGATGGGGCTCGGGTGGAGAAAATACTTGACATGGCCTCTATCACCTTGAACAAAAATTCGGTGCCTGGTGAGTTCTGCATTAGTTACTTATCTTTTAACATCTATCTTTTAAATTCATTATCACTAGTACTTACACATAAAATTTTGCAGGGGATAAGAGTGCACTTGTGCCTGGTGGCATTCGCATTGGATCACCTGCCATGACCACTAGAGGATTTACAGAAAAGGAATTCTCAGCTATTGCTGACTTTATCCATGAAGGTGTGCAGATAACAATTGATGCTAAAGGATTAGTTTCTGGATCAAAGCTCCAGGAGTTTTTGAAATTTGTGGCATCTCCAGATTTTCCTTTGATGGATAAGGTGTCAAATCTCCGTAATCGAGTGGAAGCACTTACAACCCAATTTCCCATCCCTGGTTTATGAATGATATAGATGCATTTTACAAAGTACTAATGAGAGATTCAGAACATAATCCATCCTACATTTCAGGGTTCATGTTTGAATGTAATAAAGATTTATAAAAATTTTGAAGTGTTGTTGAGATCTAATGTCGAAGTACGAATTTATCTGATATTTCAAGAGGAACTAGTCTTCTAATTATTAGTATTCATTGAAAGAGATTAAAAACTAAACAACAATTGGTCAGGTGATCAACTTTCCATGATCATTTATCAGCAATCTTGTGGTGTTTAGAGTTTGAGTTTTATGGAATATTTTGATAATGTTGTTAAATTTGGTCTTTAAAATTTTATGTCCTATAGTATATAGGATTTTCCTGGTATATATCTTGTAAGGAAGGATCCGATTCCTAAATTCCTCTTTAATATTCCGTTTTGGTGAAGTATTGGAAGAGAGTGAAGCGTTGGTGCTAAGCTAAATAACAAGTAGCTCAAAGAGAATAAATCGACGCGTCAAGATTTCCCTTGCACGAGTCGGCCGAACTAAATTGAAATGGTAAACCCAAAGTACAGAGATGGCCCATTCATGAGAAGACCAAAATATTTACCAAAGCAGCCCAAAAAAATGGAAAAAGCTCAGTCCAACTCCAAAACAAACAATGGAAATACTCCTCGTGTTAGGGTTTTACATGAGGAAAATTTCTCAGTCTCACGCTCTTCTCTTCCATCTCCTGATTTTCTATCGGATCTCACTGTGAGGTAGGCTACTGTTAATTAGAAAGATATTTCCATTCCATCTATGGTTTTTTTGTTTTCGGGTTTTACAAGGAGTGTTTTATGACAGTGTTGTGAATGATGAGAACATCAATAGTTTTACAGTTATCCCTGTCTGATTGCAGTTGCTGATAATTTTTTCTCTGACACAACACTTTTATCTGGCTTTTTTTTTTTTGAAGAAATTCTCTTTTCAGTTTATTTTTCTGTAAATCTTTTTTTTTTTTGTTTTAATTAATCTTTGTGGGCTTTGATTTTTTTTTTCTTGTGACTTGCAGATTTAACTAATGCCGAAGAAGAGTTCTTCAACGACGCCTTCAAAAAAGGCAGAAAAGAAAGAAGAAGAAGAGCCTGTTCTGGAACAGAAGAAACCGTCTTCAACCCCTAAAAAGGCTGGTAATGAAATTGATGAGATATTTGCTGGTAAAAAGAGGAAGAAACCTGAACAAAAAAAGACTGAGAAACAAAATGGTAATGAAATTTCGAAACCCAAGTCGGTAAAGAAGAATAAAAAGAGTAAAGAAACCAAAGAGGAAGGTTTCAATGAATCATCTTCTCGGCCTCGAAAGAGAACTGCAGGCGGGTTTGCTATTTACACTGAAGAAGAATTGGGTATTAATAAATCGAATGCTGGAAGTACACCTCTTTGTCCATTTGATTGTGATTGTTGTTTTTGATAATGGGGTTGATGTTTCTTTAGTTTTGTTATTTCCATTTGCAATTTTTTGACATTTCAGTTTGCAGAATTTGGAGTAGGGTTTTAGGCTCTGCTTGTTGTACACAAGGAATGAATTTTACATGAAATGCAATTTTGTCTTGGTTCTCATAAATATGAGCTGATTCTTATGTTTATTTTGAATGATACAGTGCTGTCATTCTTGATCTGATTGGATGGAAAATGGAAATGCTATTAGCTTCCCAACCTTTTAAAACCCCATCACTCTGGTTTTTTGTAGTACTTGCATTTTCAATGTGTTTCCATCCTGTTACTCTTGGCATTGAAATAACCCACTGCTTTATCAGAATTTCAGTGGGATAATCTATTCACAACCTTTGCAGTTTTTACAAAGCAATGAAGCTGATGTACAGTTTTTTCTTTGTGCTCAATCAGATGTATTCAATCTGAGCTGTTGCATTTCACTTCCAATTCTGGTTTAGATGTTGATTCGTTCAATCACAATGGAAAATTACATACGGAGAAAAGCCAGAGAGAGCCCTGGCAATTAAAGTCTATCATCTTATAACATTGCAATTACAGTTAAGATCCCTTCACAGAAGAGATTTCAGATTTCTGAATTACTGGTTATATTTACTAATGATGCACAAATAATCTAAACATACAACAATATTATTCACAGTGGGGGAACTAGTTTTCTTTACAAAATCCACATTAAAATGGATACCATTGGTAAACAGCAAACCAATACATTTGTCTCTGCCAATACGCCTAAACCTCAGAGTTAACAGTGAATCTCTCATAACCAAAGGCTATATAATCCAAGTACAGCTTCCGTTCCAGAAGCCAAAGTCAGGATTGTAGCAAATGAGTAATGAGGTGCATCCTGCAATCAGCAGTGAAAACAAAGAAATCAAAAGGGGGTCTATAGCTCTATATACACAGAGGAATGAAATTAATAATAATTAAGTATAATATCACCAAGAAAAGAACCAGGAAGAGAGAAGTGGGGTTGACAGAAACAGTTGCCGAAAATTGTATAATTCCTAACATGAAATTAGGAAATATTTCGAGCCATCTTTCAGCTAGTCTCTATAGGCTCCCAGCGGCAGATAAGGCACCATGGAGAAGGCACTCGCTGCTGACTCAATTCTGGAGCCAATTACATGGTTTAGACTTGAGAGTATAAATGCATGCAGGTAACAGAATCATCTAATACCAATAATGCAAAACAATTTGCCAAAAAAGTGTAAACATAGAAAACTGGAGGAATATAAAAGTAACGAATTTAGCTCCTTTAAATTTGAAGGAAACCATGGAGAAGCAAAGGCTCCCTCCAATCGTGTAAGTAGCTCGCTTTGGGCACCATGCAAAAGGTGGATTGCTATTGTAAACAACAAACACCCGTGTCTGACTGGATGCCCCTCAACTGTTGAGCTCCTAAAAAACTACATTGCAACTTACATTTTCGTTCTTAAAGCACTATAAAATAACTAAAAACAAGAACATGAAAAAAAGCTCAAAAATTTGAAGGGAAACAAGACAATAGTGAAATGTGAACGGGTTATTGTGTCATGAAACAAAGTGAGTTTCATGGGTCTTCTCCCGTTTAACTAAATCTACGCTCCAAGCGGCAGTCAGGTCGCCATGGATTGGCACCTGCTGTTGACTCTGATATGGAGCTAATCTGCTATCAGTCTAATCACATTTTACCGGAGAATACTCATTCGCAAACAAAAAAATTAATAGTTTAGCAACTCAGGGAAAAAGGGTTTAATACGAAACAAGACGAAAATCTCCAGTACCTGAAAAAATTCTGGACTCAGCTGACTGAAAATTCCCTCTTCCTGGCAACAACTCCCAAGGTAGCAAGAAATTTGTTCTTTGAGGCTATATTTTAACTGTCAGAGGAATTCCACTCACTGATAGCTACCCAAGTGATCAAATAATAAGATAAGATCCAAAGAAGAAAAGCAAGATAAAAGCATTTACCTCGGTGCCAGAGTATTTGTATAAGATGCAATCGTACGGATTGCTGCTGCATAGAATATTAGACGACTGATAGTGAAAAAGGAAAGATTCTGGGTGGAAAGAGCGTAGCGTTGAACATTCTGGCTGTACTATTAAGGTTTGGGATCTAAGATAGGTAAGATTAAAAAAAAGGCAACGGAAGGGAACTCAGAGAAGCGGAGGAAGTGAAGCAGAGTGAACTGAAAAAGGGGAGGTGGCGTAAGTTGAGTTGAGAAGTGTTGAGATGAGGAGGCTGCAGACGAAGTACGTAGCTTAAGAGTTTAAACTTGCTTTTATACTGGTTTCTCGAAAACCCTAAAACACTGGTCCTGTCCTGGTGAAATTACTCAAATAGACAGTGATTTAACAGTATTTTTTTTTTCCCTTTCCTTTATTTTCTTTATTTTTTTTAAATACTAATATTTTTTCTTAAAATAATTTCATCAGTTATTATGCATTCTTCGTGGCGGTCACTTTCTTTTGTTGTCCACAATTATGCCACCAAATCAGAAAATTGCTCAGGCTTCGGATCGGTGCACTCAGCGATGACAAAAATACTTCGACGAATTTTCATCCGCTTTAATTTCATAAGATTTTTTTTTTTTTAAATTGAGAGTCAAGTGAGTCAGATATTTTTTAAAAAAAATTAAAATCAAATCTAAAACAAGTTTTAAGATATTTCATTTTGATATATATAAAAATATACATTTTTATATAATTAAAATAATATTTTATAAATATTATATTAAATTAACTTCAAATTAAATACGAATTAAACACAAATTATACATATATATTTTAGGTTAGAATCGAATATAAACAATAATAATTTATACTTTATATTTTCTATTTTCAAAGAGGTGTTGATAGGCCGCTTACGACCAGATGTTTTACATATACTGCCACTTCTCTCGAGAGAAATATATAGCTGCCCAGTGCCAGACTGCCACCGTTTTATAAAAAAAAAAAAAAAAGCTAAACAAATCAAACTTAAACCTATAAAGAGTGATTAAAGATTACTCCAGTCTGCAACATTTTTTATATACGCAATTAACATCTATCGGTTAATTTCTGAGTCAAATCTTTCGTGCCTGGTTACGCTTAGCACCCTTTTCCTTCAACCTCTAATTGGTCAAATTGCAATGGATATTGGCGTAGCTTATCATGAGATCCATCATTCATGCAAGGAGGAATATGGAACGAGAGAATCATTGAAACAAATGGCTTGTTGCTAACTCGGTAATTTTTAAGAAAATCGTATGTTATGACAAAAACATCAAGAAAGAGACCATGGTGAAAGCTGTTGTTGTTGACTCGATTAGACGTAGTAACCAGTGAAGGTGAACCCTCGACCAACAATCTCTCCAGCACAATACCAAGCAAAACATTCTAAACCAAATAAAGTAGCAATGCCGGCGTCCTCGATCTTCAATTCCTTCCTGTTCTTCCACATATGCTTGACATAATCAATCTCCTTCTGGAATGCCTCATAACGACCAGGAACACTGCATCAAATTCAGGAGATTACATATCATTAAAACTTAAAAGCTATTTACCCTATGAGACAGTAGAAAATTTTGATTGATGCAGATAACAACCAAAGAAAATCACAATAAAAAAACACTTGGCCTTCTTAATTCCAGATGTTCTGAATGTCAGCAATGAGTAAATCAGCAAAGACTCAGAAGTAAAAAACTATTCACAAACGAAGTAACAAAATTCAATGGATCAGCAAGAAGGTTTGATCAATGCATGGAAGCATTAGGGCAGCTGATAAATGTTCAAGGCAAAAGAGAAAAACGAATATATGATGTTGGGAGAAGTCTAGACTGGCGTCTAATACTAAAAGGCAGCCCACGCCTTTTATTTCAACCCGCTGCCATGCTTAAGCACAACAATGATTGTTGTAGGAGAGGTTGCGAAAGTCACAATGCAATGCTTGAAACAAGGACAGGGGCCCTCTCCCTTTCCTTTTAACCCTGACACCATCATCAACTACCAGCATAAACTTCCTGCTCAGACCTTTTACTTTTCAGCCATCATATCCATGTCAATCGAAATAATGCAAAGATTTAACACCCCCCCCCCAAAAAAAAAAAAAAACCAAAATTACAATATAACAGAAGAATGAAAAAGATTAAAGGGGTAACCTGGCTAGACGAGTGTAAAACAATTGCTTTGACAAAAGATCACATTTCTCAACAGTGGGTGGTTCCTGAATGTAGTGCTTATTCTGCTCTAGTAGCTGCTTGTAGTATAAAGGACCATGCTTTGCTACAAATTGAGATGCCTGAGTTGCCTTGGACTGCAACTGAGCTAACTTGGATGCCAACGCCATCGGCTTCACAAACAAAACCAAGTAACTAACCACCAAGATAGAATCGTAATATGTTTAAGATACACAGAAATTCCATTAGAAATATTCAGCCAAAAAATTTTCAACTCAACAATGATGTTTGCATAATTTGGCAATTTTCCATCAAATAATTACAGAATCAAGAGCTGTTAAATTCATAATACCATAACTTGATTCCCAGGCAATAGATCTAAAGAAGTAAAATTAATAAATCAATTTACAAAACAAGAGACGTAATTGAAGAATCTAAGAATAAACCGAATCGAAACGCCAAAAACCAGAATCGATAAAAATTTCAAAATCTTTGATAGATAAAAACAAGGAAAGATAAAAACGAGAAAAGCAGCATTACAATCTGGATGAAGGAAGGAAGGAACGAACGGATACCTATCGATATCTGTTTTTGGCGATATGAGAAAGAGAAAGATATATATAGAGCAGCAGAGGGGGAAGTAGGGTTTTACAACTTTTTATTATTATTTTTTATTTGTATAAATACCTGGTGATTTTAACTTATGTTCTGGTGCGGTGAATCCTCTCCAGTATCCTGCGGTGAATACTCATTATCTCTCCAGTATCCTGCAGTCCCCAACAAACAAAGTCAACCATAAGAGGCACTATCATTTTTATTTTTTTGGAGTTTTAATATACGCATAGCACAAAGGAAATAACTTGCATACGATTTTTTCGAATCTGCTCTCTATTTTTTAGAATTTACATGATTAACATTTTTATTTCTCTAAATTTTGAAGTAAAGATTAGAACTTAAAAATTACTACTATCAATTATTTAAGTTTTAAGAGGTATTTTTCTCCAAATAAAAAAAAAATTTAAAAGGCATTGATTTTATTTCAATCTGCCTTCATTACACTTAATTGGGTAGAGTTAACTACTAGCTCGCTTCCGAAATGGTGGATTTTTGGGCCAGTTGACTATTGCTTAAAATCCAGCCTTCAGCTAGAGCAGTTGAAATCTCTAGTGAGGTCAACTATGATGTAATGCAGCTTCAGCCTTCTGAAATATCATTATCAACTTCACTGGATTTAGACATTCCTCAAGAATATCAATCGTAAGTTCAACCAAACCAGGTGGAAATATCAGAATAAAATCACTACTTAGAAACAAGCAGGCATAGTACTCGGTTTACACCAAAAGCATAAAGGGAGACAAATAAACTATCCAAAACCATTTGCAGCATCAAAATATTCGAAGTGAAACACTACTAGCAGTGTCTTAAAAACACTGCAAAAACTAACTTCACCTATAACTGGAATACAATAAGCCATCTGCATCAATTACCAAAATATAAATTGTCTTCAACAAACTCACCCCAAATCAACTTTGGGGCGATGCCTTGGCAACTCCACCTTGTTGAGCAGTTTGAGAAGCTGGTGTTGCCTCATAAGTCCCACGTGCGCTCCCACTTGCATTGCTGTCAGCAGGATATGCTGGAGCCTGTGAGTAACTACCACCATAAGAAGTGTTATAAGGTGCTCCATAGGGTGGGGGACCATATCCTGGCTGAGCAGATGTGGCACCATAACTAGATGATTGAGCACGTTGTGAACCTGTTTCTGGTTGACCATAACCAGATGATGGTGGCTGTGAATGATATCCTGGCTGGCCATAGCTACCTGGAGTGGTGGGCGACTGCTGTGTCTGCCCATAGACAGGGGGATTGGCCAAAGGTTTCTGCACCGGTGGTGGTCCATATCCAGGCCCATAGCCAGTCTGGGAAGTTGGAGGAATTCCATAGCTAGGTTGAGTACCTCCTTGAGGTGGATAACTTACAGGATTTGGGCTAGGCTGCTGGCTTGTATTGTACCCTTGCTGGCCCATCGCAGGTGGTTGGGTAGATGTAGGTGCTTGACCTGAATCCCCTTGACCAGCATAGGAGGGTGTGTGACCCTCTTGAGTTGGGTTCATTGCATTACCATAGCTCGGTGCAGAACCGTAACCTTGTTGCTGATCATATGATGATTGCTGCCCATAACCTGATTGTGGAGGTGCATGGTATCCACCATAGCCATCCTGAGCATAACCTTGTCCTGGTTGCATATAGCTAGAAGCTGGAGGTTGACTGTAATTATAACCACTGTTATCAGCTGGAGCTGTTGAACCACCAGGTGTTTGCTGCGGCTGTGAAGACTGTTGGTTATAGTAATCATAACCACTTGCAGCAGAGCTTTGCTGGTTTGGTGGTACAGCTGACTGGTCCCAACCAGAAGCATATCCACCAGATGATGGTTGGGAAGGATAGCCCCCATATGGTGGCTGAGACATGTTATACTGTGGTGATGGGCCAGGATATGCCCCAGGCTGCATATAACCATAACCAGGTTGCTGCATTGGAGGAGGCCCTTGGCCCCAGCTTGTAGGTGGTCGTGCTTGATAACCTTGCTGTGGATAGCCTCCAGCCATTGCTGGATTTCTCATACGATTCTGCACAAAATTGTTTTCTCAAATAACCAAAGTGGACTTTTCGATGATGCTGGCAAACACATACAGCATAACAGAACATGCATCTATATACAAATAGGAATATACAAAAAAAAAAAAAAACTAAATAGCAAGTATCAAAATCAGCATAAAACTGCAAAAATAAGCAAAATATGTCCACAGTGGATTTAATGGAGTTTGCACTATAGTATGAAGGGTATAAATGCCTACATACCGTATGGTCGGAGGGGTTATTGAATTTACTCCTGCAGAAGCCCATCCTCTCCCTATTCGAAGTGAATGGGTGCAAAAAGAAAAAAAGAACCCCACAAATACTAATAGAAGATTTCACATCAAAGCAAAAAAAAAAAAAAAAAACTATGAACCCCATTGCCATATACAGGCAAGAAACTCATAGTTAAAAGTACGTTATCTATCCAATATCCAATCATAGTTAAAAGTACGTTATCTATCCAATATCCAATTGATGCATTGTAACAAACAGAAGCATCAAATAAGGAATGACAACATCCTAGAAAAATCAATCAACATGCATTAAGCAAATGATCTCTCTTAAGAACAGACCCTAGAATTCCCCAAGCAAAAGCAAGGAAAAAAGCATTATAGGTCAAACACTTATAAGATGATTATCAGCATTTAGATCAGATAATCAACTTGTATCACCAAAATAGAGGATTTTGCTAAATATTTGAACCCTAGCCACATTGGGAATAATTCTGACAAGAAATACTAGAGCAGAGCTAACTCTTAAATAAACAACTTTTCTAGAATAAATGCAATCAAAATTGCAACTTTTAGATAAACTTTTAAATAAAACAACTTCAACACAAGAATAAATGAGAGACAAGACGCCAAAAAAAACAAATTTTAATCAAATATGCCACCTTAAACTTGAGGTTTTCTAAAAGACAAAATCCAACTAAAGTAGTGAACAAGGTGAAATCCAAAGTGAATAAAAATTCGTTCAGTTAATGTTAAGAAAAGAGAACATCAAGCAACATGCTACTAAGAAAATGACATTTAGAAATATGGGGAAGTTTCAATACTAACACAGATGAAAACAATCTTTAAGCAACTATAGGATGTTTAATTTACAATCCCAGGAAACACGACATTTCAGTGCAAGATATCCACAAATCTAGAGTTATGTGAATTTGTCAACTCCCAGCCAACACTATTAAATTATGATGACAGAAGAAATCAGGGACAATACAAAGAAGTAAAGATAGGATTGAAAAGGTTTAAAGATTCAAACAAAAAAGCCAAATTACAAATCAAAGGCTATATCATCCTTCTTTACTATTGAACAAAAGCGAAGGTTAACAGAAATAGGAATATTGTTGTAATACATATTAAATATCCTGAAGTGTCATAATGTTAAAAGAATCTAGTATTTAGCAACCTTTATATCCAACAATAACTTCAAGCCAATCTCCAGTATAAGATCACTAAATATTAGAAATAGGATCTGAAACCATACCAGGGTAACGGAGAGGAAACACCAACAGAAAGAAATCAATGTTGGTGTCACCAATTGTCCAATACAGACTAATCCTACAATAGTTCCCAGTGACAATATCAGTCTCATCCTTTACAATTAATAAGCACATTTGGTGGCAAAACATGCCATAATCCCAACGAGTCACTTAGACATAAAACCAAAGAATGATGAAAATATTGGAGTTTTATCACCAGAATGAAGTCCTCATTTATACTGTGATATCCTAATATAAAATGAATGGGTAAGACCAGCCTTAAGTATCAAAATATCAGCACAAAACTTGAGCAAAACTAAAGTACAATAACCATCACTCTTCACAAAAATTTGGCAATTCCAGCTATCGAGTTTGAACTCTGTCCAAATCCTAAACACACAATTTAGCTTAATAATATTTAAGAAACCAACTGCAGATAAGACCTTGACAGTTTAAACCTAACATGTAAAATTATAACTCTGCCCATAAGATTTCAAGAAGGATACCAAGAAGTGCAAATCTCCACGTTATCCAGCTCCTAATATCAAACTAGAACCAGAAAATTTTGATACAAACAGCCTTGAATCTCTTACAAAGTGGAGGAGAGGCTCATTTCCCACTAGTCATTTTGACACATATTACAATTTCTCAACCAGCTGTCATAGCAACAAGGATCACCACCAAAAGATGTCTGCAACTCTCAAGATTTTACAGGTGGAACAAAGGGAAGAAAAGAAATCGATGATAATATAAAATCCAAGCTATATCTCAAAGCGACTAATAACTACATCAAGAAATGGGATGCAGAAGCAAGTCTAGGATAATTATTCCGCAGAATACTCAGAAGAAATATTATAACCTGCATGGGACAACCATCTACTTCCTCAACAGGTATATAAAAGTAAAAGAAAATGTAAGAATTTTGTTAAAATAAAGGGGTGACTTTCAGAACATTGACCAGAGGCAATGCTTGACAGGTCATAATAATGCAATATCTATTTAGGAAAAAATAAACACAGTATAGAGTAGAAATTTAGTTCCTACTTTACCCAAATGAACAAAAATGGTTTTGCCCTGCAATTAAGAAATTAATACCTCTACAACATCTGAACTAGTAAATTTCTTAAGCAATGTTAATGAGAAAGTCTCGATAAAAGTGAAATTATAAAAGAGTCCTACTGTTACTAATGTTGTAAAGACTAACATGATGCTCCAGAAGATCACAACAAATCAACACTCAAAGCAAAATTAAACTGTAAGAGAAGTTATGGATAGAACTACAGGACCCTACAGGAGTAGGCATACATAATAAAAGTACAAAACAAATACTAAAGATTCTGTTAAAGAAACGGGACAACAATAATTTAAACTGAGGAAAACCTTTACTCCTAACATCACAACCAAATATACCTCACTTATGACCTCATCAACCAATTCTCTTGCATTTTTAATCTGTTCACTTGACCCATCTATGTGTAATGTCCTTTCTGTCGATGTATCACCTGGGGGCAAGTGCAATGGTATCACCTGCACGAGAACAACAGTGGGACTGCTGTCACAAACTGTATTTGCCGGTTCAATTACAACAAGATTCAGAAGGGTTTAGTGAAGAAACTGATTAAAAATACATAAAAGTTTGTCCCAAATTAGCTATTATAATTCAAAAAATACATGTCAGCAAATATGTAGCTAGAGAAACAAAAGACAACTTCCAAGTAAAGATGAAACTTAAGATTCAAACCTGAATACGTGCTCCAGTTCTAGCTTGCATATTTTTAATTGTTTCACCACCTTTACCAATCACCAGACCAACCTGAGATCATGCACATATTAATATTACCTTGAAACAAATCAATGAACAAAGTTGGGTAATGATTTTACACAGGCATACCTTGTTATTTGGAATTTTCATTTCAAAATGTTCACTTCCAGCATGTCCTGTCAATCTTCGAGAAACTATGCCAGAACCTCCTGCTTCAGCCTGGACAAAGGACTAAAGAGTATAATTATATTCCATATATTCTGCATAAGGGCAATACATCGATTTCACATAAATAAAATAGCAAAATGAATAACCTCAGCAAGAACATCATTTATCAACTGCTCTGCCTTAGCTATTTGTTCAGCAGTGCCTGTGAGCTCTACAGGCCTAGTCACGGAATTAGGATCTGCATCCATATCTCGTTGGACTTGAATCTTTGCCCCAGATTGTAGTTGAAGATATTTAATGGTTTCTCCAGCTTTCCCAATTATAACACCAACCCTGATTTGTGGAACGTCAATCTTTTTGCTCGTACCATGGTAGCTACCATAAGAAACCGGTATAGCTGAAGGAGCAGAGTTTGACATAGGCTTTATATCTGTATTCACTAAAACTTTTCATTACGCTTTACATCAACTTTCAGAAATCAGATCTACACTATTAGCATGTTAAAAAGAGCAGCAGCGAAAAGCTAATTAATATATATTAGTAAAAGTTCGAAATCCTAAATACAAAACCCAAGATGCAACAACCTACTCAAACAATGAACATATCTCTTAAAGAACACGTCTCACAAGCAGGAAAAAAGAAGGGATAAAAAGAGAAGTTATACCAGAAGGAGCAGAGCTGAATCCCTTGTCGTTATCAAAACCACCGCCAGAGCCGTTTTCGACGCGAGGGCGCTTGGTCTCAGCGCCAGCGGAGGCAGCAGAGAGAGTAAGGCGAGCAGCAATCTCCTGAGCTCGCTGCTTGGCCATCTCGATGCCGTCAAGCGGTGGTGGAACGCTGTTGTAGGAAGGATGAACCGAATCTGGGATGGAGGAAAACCCTGTCGCCCTCCTGCCACCGGAAGAAGGCGGTGTCTGGTCATCGTATTTGCGCTTGTTGCTGCCGGCGTCGGGACCTGAAGAGTACTGTGGTTCATCTGCCATTGTGTGCTTGTGTTAGAGAGAAAGAGAAAGAAACCCTAGAGGAATTGAGAGAGAGCGTGAGGTTGGGAGAATATATAAGAAAGAGAAAAAATTATTGTTGGGTTATTTATTTATTTATTTATATATGTGCTGGATGCTGGACTTGAAATTTTTTTCCCCTCTTTGACTTAGAGCAAGTGAATTGAATATTTCGAATTCTGAAGTAAATGGTAAAAGATACTTTTTGTGTATATGGGATAGTAGAAAGGTTGTGTTGCTTTAGTATAGGTGAAGAGTAGGGGCATTCAAAATTTGATTTTAATTAAATTAATAGATTAAATTGATTTAATTTGATTAATTGATTAATTATTGAATTAATTTTAATTGATTATTAAAAATAATTTTTAAAAATTTTTAATTTTAATTAATTTGATTCGAAAATTAAATTAATCAAAATTTTTATGACAATATAATAAAATTTATATATATAACTAAAATTATAAGAAATTACTCATTTTATTTTAAATTATTAAAATTTTAATTTAATAATTTGATATTTGAATATTTTTATTGAATAATTTTATTTAATTTATTTTAAATATAAAAGATTAAAATTTTAAAATATAATATAATTTAATATATGTTGTTATTTAATTAATCAAAAAATTAATCAAATTGATCAAATTAATTTAATTTTTAAAATTTTTAAAATTAAAAAATCAATTTAATTAACAAAAATAAAATATTATAATTTAATTAAATCAATTTTAAGTAATTCAATTGGAAAATGAACACCCTACCTTGACTAACTTCTGCTTACTATTATTTATTTTACCGAGGTCGTTTTAAAGAAGTCTTTCATTAATAATGATGATTAATGCATGGCATGACAAGTTACTAATAACACAGGCTATGGCGTAATAACTTAATTTTAATTGGTCTCTGAAATTTACAATCATATATAAGAACCTGATCCTATTACTTGGCCCAAAAATACAAAGAATCTTTTTCCCCGTTGAGCCCAATTCCACATCTTTTTGTTAAAGAATCTTATCTTCAAGTTTGTAAATCTAGAAATATTTCAGTCTTTACCACCATAGGATCTTACATTCTTGTTGTTGCTATAGCAGATGGAAATAGCTCTATCAATAATTTCCTATCTTGGATCTTAATCTCCATGAGAGATCATTCTAATGGACCGAAGAAAATTCCACCTAAATCAGAAAAGAATTCTCGTAGTGCTGCTCAATTCACATTATCGACACAAACTTTACTCAATGAAGTGGAAACCCAAACTCCCCTAACCATGGCAATGGAAACCCAAATCAGCCCTTAAAAATCCACACCATAGGCATTTATGGTCACCATTATGTTTGACATAGTTGCCCGGATACGAAGAAAATACCCCACAAAACTGCCTTCAAAGTTCAAACCATCATATCAGAAACACCACAAGAAAATTAGGAGTTTTATTAAACATCCTCCGAACAATAGCAAAGGTAGTTGAAACTTACAAGGAAAGCTATAAGTCAGCGCAAATTGAAGTTCAAATAATAAAATACAGTCACCATAGAAGTAACAGAAACCTGATTTGTAACACTCAAGAGACTTTATATTCAAAACCATCTTAATAATCTCCATCTACATGGCATTTCGCCAGAGAATTATATTCAAAACCATCTTAATAATCTCCATCTATATGGCATTTCGCCAGAGAACTGATTTATTTGTTCTTAACAATGCCAGTCAAAATAGGCCAGAAGCGATTTGTGATATCCTTACTTGGACCACCAATGAAGGAAATCCTTGCGCCTATTGATCTTTTTCTGCAATTGAAGAACTCCATACAGCAGTGCCTCAGCAGTGGGTGGGCAACCAGGAACATAGATGTCAACAGGGACAATCCTATCACAACCCCTAACAACAGAGTACGAGTAGTGGTAGTATCCACCACCATTTGCACAACTTCCCATTGAAATGACCCACCTAGGCTCTGGCATTTGGTCATAAACCCTGCAAAATATACAACATGATGGTCAAATTACCAAAGCCCAATCGACTTTATACAACTGAAGACCGGGAAAAGAACAGAAAATAGAAAGGAAAGAAGGAAGAAGAAGAAGAAGAAGTAGATAGACATAGACTTGGTTCTTTGCCTCAAGCCAAGAGTAACAAACTTCAAAATAAAAACTGTGTTATACATTATCAAGAAACAAATGAAGGCAAAAAAATTTGGGGAATGCTTCTAAGTATTGTAAAATGCAGTGCAGAGTGTGAACCACCAGCAGATGCAAAATTTTAAGGTTCCATTTATTTGGCAAAACAAGAGAAATAAATCAAAATGTCAAACCACCATTAAAACAACAAAACTTTGCATGGACTTCCCACTCCAAATTCACCATTACACATTAAAGCCTATAGGACTTATCAGACTTAATCACAAGCCAAGTAAGCCAAGCTCAGCCTAGGTTTGGGTAGTTTTCTACATGTGTAGACACACCATAAAACAGTTAAGACATAAGTTGAAGGAAACAAGCATCAATGTGTAGTAATATATTACGAATCTAATTACTAAAATACCAAGCCTGTTAGATCACACAAACTTATCCAGGACCATTCAAACTAGACCACACCTTTAAATCCCATGCTCAGCTAACCAAGCTAAGGCCTTGAAAGATTACATACAGAAAATGTTGCAATCATAGTTATTTATCTTCTTAAATGTTCACCAATTCCCCCGAAATCAGAAAGATACTGATGATATGAATAGACAAATAGAAAACAGAGGTAAACTTCTCTATGGATGTACCAACCACATTGTCTCACACAAAAGAGCACGAAACCGGCGTTTGCTTAAGACTGAAGAAGAAACAACTTCAGCTACCTTTCAGATTATTCTTATTTTATCTACCATATTCCCCAAAATTATCGTGAAATCGAAATCTTCATTATTTGAAATTTACTAACAAACTTAAATCAAAGCAATTATTTCTATAACATCTTAGGAATTCACTCGCAAATCAATATAAATTTTAATTAGCCTAAAAAACCAACAACAAGATAAAAAAATATTAATACTGCGAAAATTCACATTCTCATGAGCCCCCAAATCTAAAATATAAAGATTAAAGAAAAGTTTTATTAAATTGTTAGATAAAAACCCTAGGAAATGAGATTAAACATACTTGCGCAGAGCCGGGGCCATTTTGTTGGTGAGAGTGCCAGCGACAATCATGCAATCGGATTGGCGAGGGCTAGGCCTAAAAATGACACCGAAGCGATCGAAATCGTAGCGAGCAGCACCGGTGTGCATCATTTCTACGGCGCAGCAAGCGAGGCCGAAGGTCATGGGCCAGATGGACCCACGACGGGCCCAGTTCAAGAGGTCATCGACCTTGGAAATCACGTATTCGGCAGTCTTCGAGAGGCCCGCGGGAGGAACGGAGGTAGAGGGAGGGGAAGGACGAGCGTATGTGGTTGGGGTGGAGGAGGACGAGAGTGAAGGGAGGGTGGTGTGAAGAGAGAGGGCCCACCGTGCTGAAAGGAGGTGAGGGAGACGATTGGCGGTGTTTCGGGTGATCAGAGCCATGGCTCGGTGGTTTCTAGAAAGAGAGAATTCTACCTTTTCTCTTCGGAGAGGGCGAGAGATTTGGAAGTTTTGATTCGACGACGACTATCTTTCACACAAAAAATTAAAAATTATTTAAGGAAAGGTGATTTAAAAATTTTATTTTTATTTTTCTTAAAATATGTAATATTAAAAAATTTAAAAATACTTTAAAATTTTAAACATTATAAAATAAAGAACTAATTTTTTTTATTCTTCTTAAAATTCTAAAATTTAAAAATCACAAAAATAACAACAGTAAAAAACAAATTTTAAAAGAGTCGATAAAACCAAAACACAATCGAACATTGAATTCGTAAAAGTAGAAGTTACCGATAGAATTGGTTTGAAATAAAATTTTAATATTAAAAATAATTAATAAAAATATGCATTTAAAAAGAGATTAGAAATTTAAATCTCACCATTCAAAAAAAAAAATTTGATTGGCTTAAATTTAAAACCGAAACCAAAATCCAATTCATCATTCTCTAGTCCAAAAGGACCAAAACCTCTCGAGACTCCTCCAAAAACACTCCCACAGGGTTAAAAAGGTTGGAACTGAAGATGATGAAGCTCCAACCTTCAAGTCCTCTTCAAACCCAAATGAAGAAATGCCAACACCGAGGAAGAAGCTTCCAGCTCGATCTGTTGTTACATTTTTTAGGCACGACTGTTCAAACCTACACTTTGGTCTTGGGCTCCGTGTGGTAAGCACCCTTTTTGGTTATAGGCGTGGCCATGTTCACTTTGCTTTTCAGAAAGATCCCAATTCCCCACCAGCTTTCCTTATTGATCTTGCTATACCAATTAATATTAAACTCCATAAATGAACATCAATATTCAAAACTCAAGCCGGGCTTGGTGTGATACATATAAAAATGTATATAATATTAGTGTAAATATTAAAAATTTTATTAAATTATTTATATTTTAAAGCTTGATAGCAGTAAAAATACTAAAGATTAAATTAAAAATTTATCATGTTTTTATTTTTTAAAAATAATAATTTAAGAAGACTTGATCTGTACTATTTACTAATACGAGTAAATCTAGACAAAATTTGAGAGATATTGTCTAAACCGGATTCATAAACACCTCTAGCGCAAACTATTACGATGAGCACCATAGAGTTCACTTGAATCGTGCCCATCAAATTTGACTGCACTAATTAATTCTATTGGATTAAAGCTATAAAAAATCGGTAGGAGAAACGAAAATCATAAATAAAAGAAACGAACCCCAAATGATGATACTTCTGTTGCCAAACAAAAACATCTTTATTGAAAAAATGTTATGACGCAAGTTACTCTGAAAAAATTGAGTCCCAGAATTTAAATGGAGGTCAGAAAATTGATTTAAACGAGGGCTTCTACTTCATCCCAAAACCCAACACAAACCAGCAATTCTGTGGAAGAAGAGAAAAAAAAAGTTAGAAATTAAATAACAATAATCATACTGGAATTTCACGTGTTAAATTTAAAGTTGAAATGGTACAAGATTTAAGCACAATGGCACAGACTCAGACTATATCAATGAGAATTGATGCACCGGTATTAGCTCCTTTTTCCTTGGATTTGGTAAGGATCCCATTAGTCTCAAACCCAGCAGCATTGCAGCCTAATTAGAGAAGCTTTTGTTTCATTGGTTGGAGTGCTAATCATCATATTTTCTTCGAACTAAACAAAAAAGAGTAGAGATAGCACTGTGTATATCCCTACAAAGAATATTAAATCAGTGGGCATGATCTGCCCCGAAGCAAAAGTCAATCTACTTCATCCACAAATCAGCTACAGCAACATTGAACTCTGGTGTTAGAAGTTGGTGTTGGAAGACATGATAGAAAATTTCAATGAGTCACCAAGAGTATGATAAATGGCTGTAGCTTATGCATCATTAATTAGGGAAGAAGGCAAAGCAAACAGGAAAAGCTCTGCCCAGCAAAATAATCACGAGCTTTGTTGGATCATCTTCATGCATAATACATGTAAAGACTGTTTGATGCAGCACAAGCGAGAGAGTTTTCAGATGGATGCCATGCTAGGTGTAGCAACTTTGTTGTGAAATCAAAAGTAGTTCCGTTTGAATTAACTCCGGAGTTATCTGCTCCTTTCACTGAAAATGGAAAGGAAAGATGCATAGATATATAGATGTTAAATAAACCTCAAGCATACATACAAAAGTCGGAAGTATAAATGCTTTCTATGAATCAAAAATTGTTCAAAATCTAGTTACTTAGAAATCGGTCATAATCCTAATTCACTAATGATCAAATGATATCACAAACCAGTGGTTAAAAGAATTTATTATGCAAAAACAAAGGAAAAACAAATGAAACTGATGGAATACAAATCAAGACATCTCGATATTTGGACTCTGAATGAAGGACGTGAAACACACACCTCGTCTCACAATACCAGAGAGATTACCAAGGGATCTTGAAGGCCTTGATGACGTCTGACCTTGTCTCCTGGAAATTCATTGCACAACTTAAATGGGAATTTCTAACAATCTGAAGCATTCTTTTGATTCAGGACTTTTCAAACCAAGAAAGGTCAAACAAGTCCCTTTGACAGCGACTCAAATCATTATATTTGCAATAGCCATGTAGCCAACAATATCAGAACATACCTCATGGGGTTTTTGCTTGCTTCCAGTGTCGTAGCTTCTGTACTACCTTCAGAACAGCCAAATACCCGAAACAGATTGCTGAAATCTCAGAAAACACTAGATTATAATAATGTCCAGCTCCTGGCATATAGTGAATGGCTTATTTAAGAAGATAAAGAGAACCATTGAAATATATATAAACCGTACCTGTAGGAACCAGTTGCCACTCGAAGTCCATCTCCACTCAGACAACACTCAAACTTGTCAAAGATAGAATCATTTTCATACAGATCACACAGCTGTCCAAGGTCCAAAAAAGACAGAAAAACAGCCATCATGTGGAAATAAATATGGCTTCTCTTTATTATCTAAACCCAACAGAAGAATCTTAGAAGAATATGCTACCTTAGGTCTAAGATGTTCATGGACCTGAAAAGTGGCAACTGGACCAGAATCCATATTTATGTCCCACAACTGACAGCCAATAAATCAAAACCTTGTTACAGAAAAATAGAAGAGGAGGAAAGAGTAAATAAATTTAGAAATTCAACAATTATACTAGCATCATATCCAGTACGTATGATATGACAGCAAAGTGTTGCTCGGAAGAGAAGAAATTAATTTCATATAAAATTATATCAACCTTAAGGGTCATGTAGTCACGACTTAACATATGTCTCCCATCCTTGGCAAACTTAATGTCTGAGATTGATGCTATGATCTCTGTGAAAAAAGACCTGGAGCCAGGAGCTTCTTGTTCCTCAAACCTGTACCATCAAAAAACTTTATAAAACCAGAAAGAAAACAACATAAAGAAAAGACAATAGACTAAACCTAATGATGGCTTTTCAAATCAACATAATAAAATAAACCAAAAAAGAAAAAAACAGAAATACCACAGGCCACTTACAATTTGCTGTGAGTATCACACAGCGCAGACTGTCGCATATCAATAAGACGAATTGAACCCTTTGAACTACTATATGCTAACATATTACAGTGCACAGGATGAAATTCTGCTGAAGTTATCACCTCTGCAAGTATGAATTCAAGCAAATGAATTATGCATACATGACAAATACAAATATTAGTATTTTTTACAAGAAAACATCATAAATTGATAGGACTGATGTTTGCAAAACTAGGGTTGGCAATCCAACCTGAATTTGTTGGGTTCCAACCCGACCCTATAGGGTTGTTTTTTTTTTTTTTTTGGAAAAAGTCCAGGTCGGGTTGGGGTTAGGTGTTTTAGACAAACCCGCCACAATCCAACTCAATATATATATATATAATATTTTATTAATTTCGGGTTGGATTAGTTGCATTTTTATGCATATGTGTAAAAAAATATTTTGATATCGGGTTGGGTTCAAGCATTTATTATATAAAGTCGGGTTGGGTTCGGAGTGAACAAAAACCCAACCCGACCTGTTGCCATATCTATGCAAAAGCCAAAGAATGAGATGAGGAAAGTCATTGAACAACAGGAGAAAGAGAAAGAGAGAGAACAAGAAGAAGCGACTCAACTGGCGCTCCCTTTGTTGCCCTTCAATCCCTCCCCCCCCCCCCTAAAAAAGATAATAATAATAATAATAATAACATAAAGGAAGGAGGATGGTGAAAAGAGGAAGGGAAAGCAAACAGAGATGGGGATACCAGAAAGAATTGATTCTTTTACCAATCAACCATAAGCAATAGAGGATAAAAAAATCCAAATAGATCCATAATTAACAATCTAAAAAACAGATGCCCACCTGTCAAATCCTCCATGTTTGCAGGTTTCACATCAACAATGTTAAAACTTTGGTTACTAATTTCCAGGCTCCAGAGATTAATTCGCAGGTCGTCAGCCGAAATGAAAGTTTCACCATCACTACAAATCAAGAAGAAAGGAACAAAAAGGAACAATTAGGTACTTGGTAAAATCATGAACAACCTTAGAATACCAAGTATTTCAAGTTCTAAAGTCAAGAACCACCCAGAAACCAACATACAGCAACAAAAACGATTCAGCCCCAAGGAAGTTGAAACTCAATGGAAACCGAAAGAGATACACCCTATATAAGTATTAAGAGTGGAGAAAAGGTTAAGGCTAAATTCAATCAAATAAGTATACACACCTGTTAATGGATATGGAATTAATATGATAGTCATGGGCATAAGCATATATTCTTCGACATCTGGCCATAAGGTTCGTCTCACAACTGGTTACCTAATTATGACAGAAGCATTACGTGTTAGATCAGCAAATCATGTACAAGACAACATTGACATATCAAACATTGCCTAAACCATTGAAACAAGACAAAATAACAAACTAGGTTCCAAAGTATCAAAATATATCAAAATTTAATTGTTATTCTTAGAAATAAGCATTCTGGATTGACAACTACCACAGGCAGATGCAATGATGGGAAAGCCCCAATGGGAAATGAAAAGTCATTGCTTGGGCATCCTCCATTTGCAATGAATTGTTTGGAGCTTGTTGATATACTGGAACCAACAATAGGACCATTTCTCATGACTTTGGTGGAGTCCACGTTCAAGTCACATAATTTCTTGACCTTCTTTTCTTGTACCTGCCCAAGTTCGAAATGACATTAGAAAGACCAACATATCAGCAGGTCAGATTTATAGATTTGCTATGCTGCTGCTTTTGGGATATTGACGTTCCTTTGAAAAAAAAATACAGGGAGATTATCGCAATACTAATCTGTGTACAACTTCAGGATTGTAAAATCCAGAATACAAAAGATACATTTAACTACCTTCCAGAACTTGATTGTTTTGTCATTTGTAGACAAAAGAAATAGAGCACCATTAGGGGACTGGCACCACCTTATTTTGTTGATTTTCTCCTCAATTTCCAAGCTCTTGAGATAGTCAAACTGTATTAAACCAATAAATTTGATGATTTCAATGAAAATTCAAGTCCACAAATGTTTTATCATTTAAAACCATACAATCATTATGTTTATGTATGCCATATAACAAAAATAAATACCTCAGGTTCATGGCTCTGAAACTCTGTTTTATAGCGAAATTCAGGGTGCCTATTCATTGGATAATCCATTTTCTCCAGATCTCTCCGGTGTCCAACATGCTATATATTATACATTTTTTGTCAAAGAACAGTGTCAAAAGGTAAGGCAACAGAACACTGGAGCAATATAGTGACTGAAACAACATAGCTTCAGAAATATAAACAAGAAAATGGTGAAGAGATATACATCTCGAGTGTCAGTCCTTTCAAACAGAACCACCCGACCCCCCCGATCTCCGGTAGCAAGGTGGTCACCAGTTCTATCAAATTCAATAGAGGATATGATATCAACTGAGAAAAAAAAAAAAAAGACATGTAAATGAAGTGTGCAGGGGAAGCAGAGCATGTAAGACAAACAGGTATCAAGCACATCATGCCCACAACTGTTTTGTTCACACAAGCAGAATCATCAAGCAAAGAGCATCCTTAAAATTTTCAATTTAATCCCTCTTACAGTTGGAGACAATGGAAGGAAGGCATCATGGTTAACAACAGCCCAGCCAAAAATTCACATAAAGAAATTATGGTTCCCACAGGCCAAAAACAAAAGTAAATCGTAGATCTAGTCACTCACATTGCCAGATTCTAAGTCGGACCATTTGATTAGTTCATTTGGACCTTTTTCCGTTTTCTACAACACCTTCAATGTGAAGAAACTACTGCAATAAAGACAACATGAAGCTAATATACTTCGATATCGATTATGTTAGTCTAGAAATCACAACCTAAAGTCAAGAGCACCAATCATGCTGGCAAACTCAGTCCAGCAAAGACAGGTTTAATACATTGTTTCATGGTGCCTGGCACCAGGACCAAGACCTTAGTAATTAGATCAACTTACACAAAACAACAGCCAAGCATGTATGAAATAACAGTTTATTGAATTAATTATTTCAATCATTCAGTCAATAACAATTAATATCATCTGAAACTCAACCGATAATTATGGAACATGAACGGATCGATAAACCACAATTTACACGCCATTGATTCAAATCACATTTTGAGAAGCTAGACCTAGATCCTAACATTATACAGTAATCCAACCGAATACATATCGAATTGAACTCACGTATAACCAATTTAAACAACAGAAAATGAAACAGAAATGAGGAAAAGATGATTATATAATAAAATTTGGAGCTATAAGTATTAAAACATTAAGTTTCAATAAGTCATAAACAGTGAGACACAACCAAACCCTAAGAGAAATCGAATCGAATAAATTCAAATATTACACCTTCCTGTACTTCCTCTCCGGCCGTCCGTTCTCCGAACACCTGAGAGAATTTCCAGTCCAGCATCTGTCGTCCTCCCACCGGAGCCAGGGCTGTTTTGGCACCGCCGTTGTTCATTGTTTTCCCCCCAAAAAACAAAGAAATCAAACTGGTTCCACCTCAAGAAAATAAGATAAAAGCAAACTCAATGCATCAACGAGTCGATCTGGCACTCAGATTCACAACAAAATCGAAACAGTTCATCTATTCGAAGCAATCTCCATTTCACAAATGCAAGCTCTCGATCGATCATCTACATAAGAAACGGCTTTAGCGATGAATAATTATCGACTTTTTTTCTCTATTTTTTTCTTTTTACCAGCAATGAATATCGATTGGTTATATTTTTAAAGAAAAGTAAATTAATTTCTCTTTAAGAGAAAATGAAACTCCACGAGATTTCACTCTCTCATCCCTACTCTCTCTCCGTCGATTGAAACTTTCACAGTTTCTCTCTTTTTTTTGGGGGGGGGGGGGGGGGAGAGAAGGAAGGAGGAATGGAGATTGTTGGGAGATAATGACGAAGCAGGAAATGCGACGTAGCTTTTTGGCTGATAATTGGATCTCTCTCTCTCTCTCTCTCTCTATATTTCTTTCTATCCTCTCTCTTTTTTTCTTTTTATTATTTTTTTTTTCTTTTTGGGTTTTATTTGGTGTGATTATTTATGTAAATTGGGTTGAAAAAAATGGGTTACTAAAAGCGTAAAAGAGATTGATTTTAGGGTGTGAAAATTTGAAAATAAATGGTATCTGATGGATAACGACGTCGTTTGTTTTCTAGTGAGTGCCCTTCTCAGCTTTATGGAGAGGTGGAGGCCTTATTTGCCGTAGATTATATGCTCTATAATCTTTCCTTGTCTTTGTTTTTACTTTTTTTTATAGTAAGTCGTAACCATTTTTTTTTTAAAGGAAGACTCAAAAATCAAAATAACAGAAAGACGAATCTTCAGCTTTTAAAAGTTTGGGAATGAAAATAACAATAATATGAGTTTGATTAAATTTTAGTACAAAATAGGAAAAAAAAAAAAGAAAAATTCATTACGTTTTTAAAGGAGATAAAAATGTGAAATGTAAGAAAGAAGAATAATAGTTGTTTCAAATAAAGTTGATTGTGCCCGAATAAGGTTAAAATCAAAATAGAATGTTTTCCTTTTTGGTTTAAAGTACACCAAGTAACATGTAAAATTTTATTTTCTACCTTGAAAGTATTTCAATTAACCAATAATCATGTGATTTTTTGTAGCTAAATCCTAGATTCCACTAATTTTAAAATTTTTAGTTCGTTAAGTCCCTTGCATATCAATCCTTTTCTTTCGGAAGTTGGTAAGACAAGAAAATTTTTAATTGTATTTTTGTTACTCTTTTAATATTGTTTCATTCATAATTAATAATGTATTAAATAAAAAAATTATTGTGAGTAAATTAATTATATAATTATATTTTAATTTATTAATTAATTATTCAATAAGTATAATATAATAATTAATTATAATAAATTATATAAATTAGTATGAAGGCCCTCGGGGTGGATTTTTTTTTTTTTTTTTAAGGAAGGTTATTACATGTTGTAATCATGTTTTTTTAACCGTCAAAAATGACAGTTTCATTGTGTAGTGGTTTGTACTATCAAGCCATCTACTTTCCAATTATCACCTTAACTTTTCAAAATTAACATGTTCATGCAATTTTACATTCTAAACAGTTGTTTTAAAAATTCCAGTAATCTTAGAAACACGTGTCTATGAATTCGAACATATTAATGTGTCCATGCATAGTTGATGAACAAAAAAACGTCATATTAGAGAGAATTGAAATACTATCGAGGGAATGTTGCTGGATGGTCTGATATTGGCTTCACTTGTGCGTTTTTATCGACTATCATTACATTTCCATGGACAGAGTTATGGCTTCTCTTGTTTTTGTTATCAAAAACTTTGAAAGCTGATATAAACTTCTTTACTTCGGGATTAATATGAATCCCATAATCGGACAATCATCAAAATAACATTCTGATTTTGCTAAAACATTGCTAGTTCGAATAATAAATTAATTGTTTAGTTACCTACAGATTTGAAAAAGGTAAGCAGAAGGCCAATAGTTTATGTGATTAGAAGTCAATTACATAGATTAATATTGATGTATACAAATAAGAACAACCTGTTTTATGTTAGTATGTTCTGTCTTCGAAAACAGGCAGTAGGATTCATAACCATAAAGCAACAAAGACTTTCCAGATGACGTGAAGTTTTTAACTCTAACGAAAGTGTAAATGTTACTACTTTGAAATCTAAACCTCCTTCTACATTTAACAAGTAACAAGTAATTAATATTAGTATAACTAATAACCGACTTAACGGAAAAGATAATATAGTTAGGAAGAAATAAAAATAAATTAATTAGGGGCAAAAAATGAAAGAAACGTAAAGTAAAATTTTCAAAAATTCTCTAGGAGTACTTTTTTTAAAATTTATTTTTGGTTTTTTATTTTTCTGAAATGCCGTTGGCTCTAATTCAAATGTGTAACTTTATCAAAATACCCCCAATTCCCTCCTTTTTTCCACTTCCAACGCCGTCCTCCCCCCCCCCCTAACTAGGGTTTCACTCTCTCCCTCTCTCCCTGTATCCCAACTCCCATCACATTTCCTTTCACTTTCCCTCCACAATTCACTCAATATCAAAATTTCAATTCTCTCAACGCTAAGAAAAAAAATGATCCAATTCGAGTCGAATTCAAATTCCGCCACCACCGACCATCCAAAACCACCGGACACTTTCCAACAAATGTTAACAGAATCCGTCCACAGGTTTTTAACCGAATACAGTAACGGCGCAACCGATTTCTCTAGTTTCACCTCCATTTTCTCTCGATTGCTTCAGAATTTATCCGATCCACCCCTCGAATTCATCTGGTTTTACTCCGCTGTGTCTTTCCACTCCACTAATAAATTTAACTCTCCAAATTCAATCTCTTCTTCCAAAGACCTTTTCCAGCTTGTGGTTTCCTGCTCCACTTCCTGCAACGCCGTTAAAAGAATCTCCGTACTTGCTCCCGTTATTTACGAGCTGAACCGTTTAGCTTTCCATCAAAAAGAGTTGAAGAGGGAAGTGGAGAGTTTGTTAGAAGGGATTGTGAGTTACATTAGCATATGTTGCGGTGTCGAAGCTGAGGGAAACGACGATTTGAGTTCTTGTTTTGTGGATTTGTTGCGCGTTTGGATGGTGGATAGAATTGGGGAGGATAGAGGTCAAAAGAGAGATGATTTGAAGGTTTTTTTTCCAATTGTCAGTGAGGAAGTTCGAAAAACGATTGGTGGAGGATGTCGGGTTCGATATTTGGCTGGTGTCGTTATGTGTCAAGCTTTTCTTCTGAGGTTGTGCTTGAAATTTGGGTCTGGGATTCCAAAACTGGAGTTGGAGAAAGATGTGCATGATTGTGCGGTTCAAATGATAACTGGGTTTCGAAATTTTTACTTTTTGGGTAAGTGTTTTCTTTGTTATCATTTTCAGTGGATAAGTTTTATTTGAAAAGTTGTATCGTTGAAGCTTTTTATCTTCATTGTTATGGAACGGTTTAACTTTATTAACTTCTATTGATGCTAATTTTGGTAATTTGATAGGGATGAAGTTGCTTGTTTTTCTCATATCATATGTTGAGTCACCAATGTTGACTTTGATATCAACTTATAGATCATTATCGCTGCATCACTGGCCCAAACCTGGTGGATGTATGCATGTATAAGTAACATAACTTCATGACTTTTGTTGCGTATGCATGTATGTACGTGCATGTGCGCTGTGCACTCATGCCTTGGAAAGCAACGAGCAACCAGTGAAATTCGCAATCAAGCATGGGTGTCAATCATTCTTTTCTTTTCAGTTGTGGACAAATATTTGATTGGCATGTTGTATACGAAGCCACAATTGGGAATCTGATGTCTTTTTCTGCTTGACAATGCTTTTGTTCCTAGCTTAGTGCCAGCAATGACATGATATTCCTTTTTGCAATGAGGTTTTTTGTTTTTATCCTTCTCGCGTTCAATTGTTGATGTTAGTAGTTCTAATTCATTGTTGGTGTGTAACAGATATCCTTTTCAGGATGCTGTTGGAACCCCTTTTACCTGTCACCTCTCTACTGGTCAGCTTCTTCACTTTTTTCTTGCTTTAATTTTTAATGCATCCCTAATTACAGTTCAAAAGTGAATTTCAGACAGTGCCTTTGGTTGTTCAACAAGGCAACTGTCTTGGTCTCAAATCATAGGGCTAAGCAATTTTCTCATTTAGAACGTTTCAAATGAAATTTTGAACAGTATAAGATTACATTGTAGAGAGTCCAATGGCAACATGTTGAAGTAAGACTAGAAAAATATATAGCTATTTGTCATCACTTGAGGAACATCTTCTTCTTAATATGCTAGATCCTAGTCTGGTCCTTGCTTTCTGCTTTTATGAATAATTACCTTTATGTTCTTTACTTGTGGTTAATGTACTAAATGCATAATTAGACATGACCTTCAATTTAGTGGAATGAGTTGCATGTCTTGTGTAAGAGACTCAGAAAAAATATATATGCCCAGTTGTCATCCCTTCGTGAACAGTGCCATTTGTTGATGATCTTCAGTGGATGCTGAGAATCAGCAAGATATGTCTTTGGCAGTGTGACCACCGAAAACATTCCCTAATGGCAAGCACCAGTGATAATCATCTGTGGATAAATATTTCTGTTTTTTTAACTATCAACTATCTTCACCTAGCATTATTTGTGCGTTTAAGTGGTTGTTTCGAACTGCATTTTATCTAACACTGACAATAGATTGTTTTTCTTGAAAAAAGTTCCCCTGAAGATTAATTTAGGATCAAACAAAAACAGTCCAAGCAGTAGTCTTTCTTGGGTGTTTTTAAAATTCCTTGGACATTTGAAATGTTCAAACTATCTCTTTGCACTTTGAGCTTTTGAGTTATTTAGTATGCTCGAAGAATGATTGCTTGTGTTTTCCCCTGGGATACTTGAATAAACCACCATTTTATTGCAGGGCCATGGAAATGAAGTTCTTTTAAGAGAAATTTTATATGATGCTGTGATAAAGATGGACCACACATTCCTCAGTCCACAGGTGGGGATTCTGCTACCTGGCAAACAACTAAAAAATCTTGCATTGATATGGTCCCTTGTTGCTAACAATGCCATACAGTCGGCAAGGTATGATTATGAATGTGGAGATTGTGGTCGGATACAATTTTTATCTATTAGAATATCTCATCCAACAAATCTCACTAGTCATGATCTAATGCCACAGGGAGAATGGTAACCAGACAAAAGCTAGCTCTTACATAAATGCTTTCTTTGAATCCTGCCTACCTTCTCAGTTGATCAAGTGGGTTGCCAGTCAGACTGGGATGGCGGACAAAGCAAGGAGCTTGAATGTTTCCACTCCTGTAGCTTTTATCAGTGAGTTGTTCTGCTATTTCTACAATCTTGTCATTTGTTGTCACTTGTCAGGACTTCAGCACCTGTTTCAATGGATTGTCTGGTTAAGATTGTCAAAATGCTATGTGATGATATGACGATATTTTGTTCTTTCCATTGTCCAAAGTGGAGCATATGTAATCGCTAGACCAGCAACCTCTGCATTGGATGCGTAGCACTTAGCTAAAAGGGCAAATTTGGAAAGACATCTAATCATAGGATGCTCATGATTCGTAATTCTTTCCTCTTTATTCAATAAGTTATTGACTTTGGTTTCTTAAGTGTCTAATAAGGTGGTTTCATTTTCAGAGTGGCTACTCATCATTGAAGATCAAGGGGTGAGAGTATTTGAATGTGACATCTCCAAGGTTTATGCCAAGGCTGTGCTTTGCAAGTCAAGGGTTGAATATGAGATCCCAGTTGTTAGGACCAATGGCAAAAATATGGGTGAAAATCTTGTTTACATGGTTTGTGAAGGGAAAGAAGCCAAGAAAGCTGATGGTGATGTAGAGATGATTGATTCTATGGAAATTGTTTCCTTTGCTCCTCCTGGCTTAATGAAACCAGCAGCAACAGATGGTGTAAGAAAACGTAAAGAAGGGAGCAACATTGAAGAGGAAATACCAGTTAAGTTTGTCAAGTATCAGTTACAAGAAAATTTAGTAAGAGATGAGCTGTTGTTGTTGGCTAATGATGATGGCTTGAGTAGTGGGAGCAAGGTTGAAACTCCAGCTTCGGATGAAGATACTAGAGATATGGAAAAATAATTTCGGATTAAGGCAACAAATTGATTGCAGTAACCAAAATAATTTTGGTGATAGTGGTTCCCGAGATAGTTTATGGTGAATGCTGTTTCATTTGATTTGGAATCAAGAGTAAATGAGAAAGTTCTGCAACTGAATTTCACTATGGCCTCAAGTATATCTGAGGCTGGTTGCATGCTGATAAAGATAGAGAAGCTGCTCGTGATCTTTTTGTCCATTTGCTGACCTAGTTTACAATTCAGCTTTACATGCTGATTGCCTTAGTTTTATCAATGTTGGAAGGCTTTGTAGCTGAAGAAGTCAGAAATTTTCCATTGGATGATGGCTTCTCATTTCAGCATCAGCTCTTAATTTTCCTCTTGAATTGTTCATTACGCCGTTGTAGGGGAAATATCTGAGTTTGATTGTAGTATAGGATCTACAAACAGTAATCAAGTAGTAATAGAAGTGAAAATAACTGCCAATATATTGGAGAATGCATGGATAATGTGCTTTAGTGCATACTCTCTTGATTGCTGGCTTCGGGCATTTGCAGGCTGAATCAATTCCCTTGTTGAGTTTGGGGCCTTCTGGGCCGGGCTGAGCTTGAATATCGACTATTCAAACTCACAAACAATACTTCTTCCAAAAACATTAGGCTGGGCCGCAGAGCTCGTTCTCATTTTGCATTCATTAGTCAATTATTCTACTCTTTATTATCATTTCTTTTCAAATTTTCATTCAGTTTTTCGAGTTCAACGAGATTCAATAATGCACTTTAAAGGCAGTCTAAAGAGTGAAAATTATAACTGAAATTGCTCAATGAGATTTTAAGAACTCCAAAATTCAAATCCCACCGACACTAGAAATATACCCAAGAAATATTCGCAAATTTGGCATTGCAATAATTAAAAAAAAAAGAAATAAATAAAGCGAAGAAACATCTAGAAAAGGCCAGATTTGTTTGAAGGGGATAGGCGAACTGATCTCCATAAAATAAGGCTTACTTCATCACGTGTAATTCATGGTAGGTCCAACCCGAAAACGCTTTTCAACCATAAAAAATAAGGCCAAAGATTTCATAACTTTTTTCTAATATTTTAATTCAAAAAATTTTATCAATACACGTTGGTCTAGAATCAGTACATGGAAGGACATCCAGATCGCTTTAATGAGAGGGCAAGTGAATTTCAAACCATTCAAAAAAAAAAAAAAACATAAATTTCACCAAACTCTTTTCTTTTTTTTTCCTTTTTCTTTTTGTGTGAACGTGCCACGTAAGTAGAAATTCCTACACTTTTATTAAACTTTGCTTTAGTCCAAATCCTCATCCGGCCACGTCATGAATGCCAATCAACTAATCATGTCGCCGACACTTACTATTATTAATAAATAAAAAAGAGAATCAGCTTCCCTTTGGCTTTACATTTCAGAAACAAAGAAAGTAAAGGCAAATACATAGATTTTCATGACTTTGTCTATTCCATTCTCCCATGTAAAAGACATCACCAATAATGTACAAATATCTTTTTTCTTACTTTGTCCACTCTTCGAATTTGTTTAGATATTGGAAATGAAGTTTAATCCAAAGTTAGAAACACCCCCCATTCCAATTACTCGGCTCATCTCATGGGTCGACTCAGTTGTTCAGTTGGACCACAACTGTGTCGGTGCTAGCCGTTGCAAGTGCAAGGGGCTTGGTAGCAAAATGTACGCCAAGCAAGATATTTGTGTGGTTTGTTGACTTTGTAGACTACAAGCTGATTCAATAAATTCTCACTGATTCACAGATTTTTCTCATTGAAAAGTGGTTTTGTCGGGCCAACGGAAATTAAGAATATATAAGGTTTTTTTTTTTTTCCAATGGTTTTAAATCAATACATGATGTCGATTACAAAACTTGTAAATTTTAAATAAATGAGGTTGTTGGGTTATAAATGATAGGCAAAATGGTAAACAGGACATTAGAACTTTCGTATATGTACTTTGCCAATTTCCTAGTCAAAGATTCGAGATTAAGACTGCCATTTCATCAGCAAAATGGTGAAATTAGCACAGCCAATTCGATTTTCTTAGACGGCCTGCTGCAGCCGTTGTTGCCTCTGGGACAAAAATTGGAAATGGCTAAAATGAAAATTTTAGGACGGCTTTGTTTGGAGTTCGTGTTCATTTTTTATGTCCTTTCATATTAAGGCAACATGGGAACGAATCCAAAGTCCTGTGATGGCACTTTCATTAATTTCTGATCTGAATTTGATATCATTGGTTCAGGGAAGATGTAGTCGTAATAATAATATTAAAGTCACGATATTAATGCTTGATTTTTAGCTTAGAAATTTGAATTTAATACTAGCTTGAGCACGTCAAGAAGTTGGAGATCTCAGCTTATAAATTATTTTCTCCAACATTATTATTACTAGTAGTATTTATTAATATGACATTAACAATTTATAGGTGAGTCACATAAATATATACAACAACTATGAAATTTATTAAGTAATATTTGTAAAGAAAAGATAAATTAGAAAATAATTTTTTGGATATTTTGCTTAAAATGGCTAGTTCTAAAAGTTTAAAAATATAGATTTAGAGTTTAACTCGATTATTAATAATAGATTTGAAATTTAATTTTTAACACATAATTTTTTTTATTTAAATTATAAAATCTTTTATAAAAAAATGCTTCGTTCTAAAGCTGAAATTACAAACCATAAAATATAATATTATATGCCAAATAATACATGACTTGAAAAACTAGAGAAAGGTCATAATCTTGATGACAGTGTTCTTAACCCACTCATTACTTTAAAAACAAAATAAAATAAAAAAATCTTTAGCAAATTTAAGTGTGATGGTGATTTTGTATCTGCATGACAAAGGAAACTAGCTGCAATTAAGCCAATTGTTTTTAATTTTCTTTATAATATGGTGATTAATGGAGATAGTAATATTATATTATATTCCTTTAGTATTATTTTTATCTATTTGTGAAAAAATATATAAAAGTAAAGGCAAAACGTTTTCTAAATTTGAGTAAAACGACATGAAAGCGGTTTGAAGAGGGGCTCGCGGGGGTTACTGTCTGGTGAATGGTAATGACAGATACCAACTTGAGCGGAAAATGACGTGCATTGTTTGCATGCGTTGGATGGATGATGGATGATTGGACCCCATATTAATCTAACCCGTATCAACCGTTGGATCCTGTGGCTGATAGCCCGACTTTGCATCTTTTATCCAATTTTTATATCAACAAGTCATAATTTCTCGGAATTTTATTTCACATTTCGAAAATAAAAAAGAGAAACTTCTATTATCAAAAGAAAATAATTTAAATTTTAAATTTAAATTTTATCCACAATTTATAAGATATGATAATCTGGTTTTGGTTTAAAAAAATTAGATAATTTATTTATTTTTAGTTTTTATTATATTAATAATTAAGCTTATTTGAAATGAAATATATTTTTTTATTTTAAAAAAATTCAATATTAGTTGGAAAAAATCTTGCATAACAAATGCCAACAGAAAAACAACAATAATAAGAAAAATAAAATATATACTTTTGGCTCGCCGCTAAATCTTCGATGGTAAATGAGTGAATTGGGAAAAGAAATGGGGGCGATATTGTAAACTGGAAGAAACTGTCGGCCTCTTAACTGGGGTTAAATAGACCCGACACCCAGGTTAAGGTCCATTTGTACGGGACCCTTGTGAGGGTCGTGGGTTTTTTCTCTGATAAATCGAGCGTCGGTGACTGGGTCCGAGTTAACCCGAGTTAAACTTGAAGTTTAGAAGATAAGCAAATTTTAAAATATTTATATTTTAATTTTCTCGTCATTATTATTTTAAATTTAATTTTAATAGAGAGAGAATCTGAAAGGGAGGGACAGAGGAAGATTTGATATATAAGCATGGAAGCCAATTCTAAAAATGCGTCTTCATTTTGGGGGAGGTAGAGGGGAAATGGCAGATTCTAGCGATTCCGTTTCCATTGATCTGGAAACGTTCACTCTTGGCGGCAAGGTATAACCTGCATTCCTATTATATTCTTGTTTGGTTACCGGGAAAATGAGGGAATGGAAGTGAAAAAGAAATGAAAAAAAAATGCTTTTCCTGTTAAAGCTTAATGCAACTATACGTCTTTTCTTTCGCTAAGACGGATTTTGCTTCCATTCCTTGTTTATTTCTATATTTTCAGTTATAAAGCAGATATTTTAAATTATTCATTCCTTTTTACCATAGAAAATTATTTACATTTTTGCTACAATTATATTTGAATGATCACATAATTTGTTCTTTATAGTCCATTGATTAATGGCTTCTGAAATTTTCTCATTTGAGAAGTACCCAGATAAATTAAATTTAATTACATTAATAAAAAAATAAATTCAATGATGTTTGAAACTTTTAAATGTTTTTTTTTTCCACTTATTTGCTTTATTTGCTAGAATAAAAAAATCTTAGACTAGTAATTTCATTTGTTTGATATCAATGTCTTGTCAAATTAGGAGTTTGGATGATGCAGAATTTGCCTAAATGAGCAAAATAGTTAGGTCTCTTAAAAAGGTTCTGCTGCACATGCTGACTCTGTCTAGTTAGAATATACTCGGCTTGGGCTATGCTTGAAACATTTCTCTGTTTAAACTAAATGACACCGAAATGAGTTAGGTTTTTATTACCTAGCTAGATCATACGTTGTATTTTTCCTCCCTATTTATTTGTTAAAATCTAGGCGTTAGCTTTCAAGAAGGTTTGTTAAATGAATAACAATGCATTGTAAAATCTATCTGCAGGAGTATCTTGTGAAAACTCGCAATGGTACTATTTCAGTTGCTGTGTTTGGAGACCAAGATAAGCCGGCTCTTGTTACCTATCCCGATTTAGCTCTAAATCGTAAGTAATGCAGAAACCCTTACTATACTGTCTATTTTCCTTATGCTTCCCTCCTTATGACAATATCTGATTCAGAGCCTAGGAAAATTTATCTTTTTTCTGCTAACAGTTTTGGCTAAAAAGGGTTCACTCTAGTTTGACTTTTCTTTAATCTTTGACTAATGAATTTTCTCCTTAAACATAGATATTGTTTTAAATTTAAGACCTTCATTTGTGTTTCATCATAATGCATGAGACTTTGAAGCTGTAATGTTTTTAATTTGAGCTAAAGTTTTACATGCTAGTGTAATATGTTTGAACTTTGTAACATTATTTGTAAGATTTCCACAATGACCAAGACCCTTTCATCCAATGATACTGCCGGTTTCTAACCTTAACTTATAATTGTGTGAGATTGTGCAGATATCTCCTGTTTTCAAGGCTTGTTCTTTTGTCCAGAAGCTAGTTCCTTACTCCTCCACAACTTTTGCATATATCATATAAGTCCTCCCGGGCATGAGGTCAGTTCTGTGCATGTTTTAATCTTGTATTTGCTATTTTAATCATCTTTTTTTGGTTGAATCCTATCATTCACACCTTTCTTATCCGGAACTTTCTTCAAGAAATATTGCAGTTAGGAGCTGCCCCAATCAGTTCTGATGACCATGTGCCTTCCGTTGATGACTTGGCAGATCAGATTGTTGAGGTTCTCAACTTTTTTGGGTAACCATAGAATTTCATAGTAACTTTATTTTCTTTCTGTTTCTGAATGCCAGCTGATTAGAAATTTACTTTACTGTAATCTCTTCTGTTCTAGACATTCTTTGACAAAGTTTATTTTGTCATGATGGCTGGTAATTGTTGCAGTTGTCTGAAAATGATGTAAATTGATGCACCTACTACCCTTTATAAATTCTTAAGCTGTCGTTTTCTTTAATATGTTGTCATCATTAATTATTTATATGGAAAAGAATAAAGGCACGCAAGCTTATATTCCTTATCTTTTAACTCTTCTTTTTCTTGTTTAAACCGTAGGCTTGGTGCTGTAATGTGTATGGGAGTTACAGCTGGAGCATATATTCTTACCCTATTTGCTGTAAGTCAACTACCTTGGCATAGTATGCAATTTATTTCCTTTTTCATTTCCAAATAAATACTCAAATGTTCTCTTGTATTCATGGTGATAATTATTTCTGCATTTTGTCCTAATAGATGAAATATAGGCAACGTGTCCGTGGGTTAATACTTGTTTCACCCCTCTGCAGAGCACCCTCATGGACAGAATGGTTATTAAATAAGGTTCACTTTCTGGGCCCTTTTATTTTCTCTTAGGGGTTAAATAATTATGTACTTAGATAGATTCTCATATTATTTCAGGTGATGTCAAATTTACTGTATTTCTATGGCATGTGTGGAGTGGTGAAGGAGTTATTGCTTAAGCGGTACTTCAGTAAGGTATTTTTCTGCTTCAAAAATTTACGAGGTTTATTGTGTTGTCTCTAGAATTGAACTAGTTGAGTGATGAGATTCTGAATGACAATGGCAGGAAGTTCATGGTAGTGTTCAAGTACCAGAATCAGATATAGTTCAGGCTTGCAGAAGAGTTAGTTCTGGAGCTTTTTCTATTTGCTTCCTATTTCCTATTCACCCGACTTATAATGAAATATGATTAGTTTGTCTCATGGCATTTTTCTGACTCAAATCATGTTTTTTTTTTCCCTGTAGTTGCTAGATGAAAGGCAGAGTATAAATGTTTGGCAATTCCTTGAAGCAATGAACGGGTAAGCCTGTCTCCATGATATATAAATAGACTAGGTTTCTTTTTGAAAGTGTTCTTCAAACAACTTTCTCGTGGTTGGTTTCCTAATCACCTTTATCTGGGGAAAATAAAAAGAAAAAGAATTCATTGCATTCATACAGTTACTGCTTTTTGTCCGGCATAAAAGTCTTATTTACTGTCTTTCAGGAGACCTGACCTTAGCGAAGGACTAAGAAAACTGCATTGCCGTTCGCTGATATTTGTTGGGGAGAACTCTCCTTTCCATTCTGAGGCTCTTCACATGACATCAAAATTAGATAGAAGATATAGTGCCTTAGTGGAGGTATGCAAGCAGTCTATTGTCTAACCTGTTATAATATTATACTTCTAGCTTTCAGCATCAGATGGCAGTAATCTAACTACCTGGAAATTGTGGAATCTACAGGTTCAGGCATGTGGATCAATGGTGACAGAGGAGCAGCCCCATGCCATGTTGATACCAATAGAGTACTTTCTTATGGGATACGGCTTATACAGGCCAACTCTAAGCATTAGCCCAAGAAGCCCTTTGAGTCCATCTTGTGTCTCCCCGGAGCTTCTCTCACCGGAAAGCATGGGCTTAAAGTTGAAGCCGATTAAAACCCGAATTTCTTTGGAAGTTTGAGAGAAGATGAAAGAGAAAGGACAAGCTCACCTTTCTAATCTATATATGTAAGTTGTTTGCAACTTCTTTTGACCGGTTGGTGACGATGAGAGAGCACTACTAGGGTTGTAGATAGAGAAGTACAGACAGAAAAGGAGATACTGTCAATTTTTTCTATTTGTAACCATAAATTTAGCTGAGGTGAAGTCATCTGTAAATCATTGGAATAATTGTTGACTAGATAAATGCCAATAAAGATAATAACAACGGGTAGCTGGTGAATTTACGCTCTCCATTTTCTATTTGTTGTGTCTACTTTTGTAAAATTGATTAATGGTTCTTTGACGCTGCCAAAAAAATTGACAGCAGACCTTTTGGCACCAAAAGCTTCCACCTAAAATCGTTACATTTGTGCTTTCGCTACAGAAGATAGGAGCCATGGTTCAGGCAGTGTAGCAATTGAACTCCAATCCAGTTCAGATGGCCAACTGTTTAACAATTGTGATCACTCGTTTTGCTGAAAATTCTTGACAGCCGAGCCGAGCTTATATTTCCAATTCACAAGTTTGTATTTACTTTTACTCGTATTTCTAAATCATAAAAAGTTAAAACTTCAAGCAGATAATAATGGGAGAAATTATTTAACATAAATGGATGAAAACAAGAAGAGAGAGAGATAGAGAGGTGTATTTGCCGTTTGGTACGAGGATTTTCAATTGCTGAAAAAAGAGCAAATACCTTCATTTAGTTTATTGGTAATTTCTTAAAATCTCCTAAAGGAAATAAACATTCAAGTGTTTTTCTTTATTTTGGGCAAAAAAAAGTGTTTTTGTTTAGGTTCATTGTCAATTTTTATCAAATTTCCTTCCCGACGAAGGTGAAAGACAAATTTCCTAGTTGCCATTTAGAGTGAGACGGAAATAAGTGGTGGACACTTGATGCAAACAATTTGTGGCTTACTGTTGATGATGATTCATGAACCACCCTACCATTTCAACTATATAGTTATAGTCTATACATTGTGGGGTCTATCAGGCCATTGTGTTGGTGCACTTTCCAGGAAAATGTAGAATAAAAAAAACCAATAGAGCAGTAGCTGTCACTGAAATAGTAATCTTTGTCATTACCAACTTTCCGGGAAAATGATTTGATTCCCATCAGATTGTTTTTTTTTTTTTTTTAAGGACTTTTAGAATTATCCCATGAACGTGAATCCAGATAGTATCAAATTTTTTATGATTGGAACTAAGAGTAAAAGGTAGTAGTAGCAGTAGTAATAGTATGGATTTCCATTGGCTAGTGTGGAACTGGTAGAGCATTTCGAAAGGCTTCATGACGAGAGAGAGAGACCGAACTCGTTCGGAATTTACGGTCAACTGGTATCGACTCCCACAGAGCAGTTCTCTTCAATGAGGATTTTGTTGATTAAGTTGGACAGGACAGTGCCAAGCTCCTCCCCATCATTTCATTCATGAATAGTTGCTCTGATAAGGTCTGGATTGCTGCAAATCAGCTCCTTTGCTGGAAAATTCTTCCGTCGCATCAGAGAATCATCTTCTCCAAGCTTCAACCAGGGGCAAAAATCAGCAGTCCCATCACCCAGATAGATAAATCTTTTCTTTCCGGTGGCAGAAACAGAGGCTTGAATCCTTTCCATGATTACGCTCTATTAAATAAATACAACGCCAAACGTGTTTATACTACAGTTTGGAAGCATATTTTCTACAATTCATTGCAAACTACATATCTAAATGTTGATCATAAAACTTTGTAATAATAGAAAATTTGGGTTTTAATAATCTCTTTGCACATATTGGGAGGGCAGATACTGCAGCCATGAGAAGATGATTCAAAATGTTGGAAAGGAGAGATTCTAAGCCTGCCTTCTCCATTAATATAACTCAGGTTCGTGTTGATTTCAGAGAAAAAATCCAATAGTTCGTGATTCTTCAGGATTGTCTTGATGAAGAAGACATTGGCATCGCTTATTATCCGTAAATCACACCTGAAACATTGCAACGTTAATGGTTATATTAAGTACTTTGTACCATTAATTATACAACAACACGCGAAAATTGTTGGTCAGGATAGGGTACCCCGAAGCATGGGCTGATTTAATAACAGAGACAATTTTGGTATGTAGTGAAACCCTTCTCAAACGGGCAGCAATGTCCTCAATTGTTTTCCCCCTAGATTGGACCTCCATCATCATTCTATCCTGAAAAAATACAGTTGCAAAAGCATCCGACATGAGTCTTTGATATTGTTAAGATTAAAATCCAGTTACACAGCAAGACAAACATGATGGAATTCAATTGAAATTAAATCCTGATGATAGATTTAAACTAACCATGAGAGTGTTACAGGGCAAAGTAGGGCGGAGTTTAGTGAACAGCTCAGTAACACCAAACTCTTCCACAACTCAATAATCACCATCGCATTCGATAATTGTCTTGTCAAAGTCAAAAAACAACGCCACCCCTGCCATTGCTGATCTGATTGCACTATCACCGCAACGATCAGCACCAATATTTGATAGTCAGTTTACTATTGATGAGAAGGACCAAAGACAAGAATATATATATAGTAGTGTATAAGACGAACAATGGGCGAGTTATCTATCTCCGATTATGTGTAGGAAAGAAGAAATAGTGACTCTGACAGTTGTACTTCCAGATTTGCATGGTTTATTGCCAATAATAACCAGTTCCCCCCCCCCCCCCAAAAAAAAATCCAAAATATGGTGAACAAACATAATGCTAACATACACTGTCCCAAAATTTTTCTAAGAAAATTTCACAAAGGATACGAAAAAATAATTCTTAGATAATATAATTTATTTTTGAACTATTTGCAGCAGATAGCTGAATAATATAATCAAGGACTTCCCTTAAATCGCAACAAAACAATCCTCTTTATTAAGGGTTGCTTCGAATATCTAATGGCCATATGCAGAAATTATCAGGGACGGAAATAAAATCAGGCAGGGACATCACTGCGGCCAATGCCAACCCTAAGTTTGTCTATATTCTTTTGATGCAGAAATTCGATGAGTCAGACACCTTGTATTACAGGGCACCAAAAGAAGTGGAGTTATGTGATATGTTTCAGAACAAGGGTAGATTCTTTGCCCACTAAAAATAATGAGGTTGGAAGTTAATTGTACCTCAATTGCTTAGACTTCTATGTAACTTATGACTAAAGTTATGTAATCTAATCCCAATGCATATATCAAATCGTCAGGTTCAACATTGAGGTCAACACTACTTCATGAGCAGCAACTTTTAGCCGCCATCACATCATGTATTATTATACTATTAATACTGGTAGTTTGTGGAATATCGTTGAGTAAATTGGTGACCCAAGAATCCCCATTACATAAAAACAAAAGTGACCACACCAATTAATTCCATGAAATTTACAATGAATTCATAATATTTTCAACAAAGGGATTCCTGTTAAATAGAATATATATGCTATTACTAATAGAATCATACCCTTAAAGCTAAAGGTCCCAACTCTATGGAGCATCATGTACGATAGTAACCGGGTGGTGGATTTGTTTATTTCCTATTGAAACGTGCTCGAATTCATTGTCCAGTCGATACTATTTTTTCTTTCTTTCTTCAGCTTCAATTGCCGTTAAATCTTTGATTGCTGATGCTTATCTGGCTTCTGTGGTTGCTGTTGGTCCCCTCCTCATTTTGCCGAGTCTTTCTCCTGTTCATCTCTGAGTACATTTCCTCTATCATTGGTTTCCATAGACGAACACGAGCATTTATGAACCAATTGGAGACCTGGTCATTCATTGATTGATCCAAATGTACACAATGAAACGAATAAATCATATAAAAAGTGGGTTAAGAAACACCAGTTAAGCACAAGATACAGTGAAGACCACTCCTTTGGACTCTATTAGTAACAGTCTAACAGAGGATCAAAATACTTCACCAACACATTTAAGTCCAAAGATTAGCTCCAAGTACCTGACTCCTTGTTAAGCCACTTTTTATTGCAAGTAAATGTTTTTCTGCATCCTTAGGGTACCTGCAAATACAAAATCTATCAAAATGTGCAAAATTGTGCATAAATGTGAAATAAGTTATTGTCCTAGTTGACTATGACAAAATGATAGTTATGAACAATTGTAGAAGCAATTCTCCGGTAAGAAGCTCACGGATGAAGAAAGTTCTGAAACATCCATGCACGTAAAACGGACACAGACTTTTCAGGCAACCCCCTCTGAGGCCTCCATAATTGATCCTTCTTCTTTAGCTGCTGCAGTGCCCACTGCTCCTGGATGAATGAATTATGAAAAGACTTTTCCCTACCTCTAGTGCATCCACTGTCAAAATTTGCTCCCATAGCTAGGATTTGGTTGCTGATCCTCTCTCTTAGGTTCTTGTACAAGAAAGAGATTGTCTGTAGAGCAAAACTAGCATGCACCAGAGGGTCCAACTCAGTTGCAGCATGGAATGCAGATATAACTGTATGGACCTCATCCAAGCATTGACTGTATCTTTCATCAACCTGGTCTCATGAAGAGGGATAAAGCCATTTAAGTGCCAGAATGCTATGTCAAATACACCACAAAATAGAGAAAAGAAAGAAAATGGAGAAAAAAAAAACAGGAGAAACAAATAACTCAAATGGTTCGCTACTGCATAAATAAGCCTGCTTGCTTGACAAAGCCAACTTGCCCAATTAGAGCAGGCAAGGCTGAACTGAAGGTTATTCCACTGATTAGTCTCAAGAAGTCTTGAAGTTATGAACTTCAATCTAAGTTTTAACCCACATCAAATCGGCATCCCTCTTATATATTTGAATAACCAAGATAATTAAGCAGTTCATATTTCAAATTCAAGGTAATAATTGACGCAGACCAAAAATTATAAATTTACGAGCATAAATTGGACCAACATACCACTTGCAGTAAAGTCAGCAGTTGGGTTTTCTTTGCCTCAACTGTCCATTTTCGTACTTCTGCCTCTAATTGAACCTCAGAATTACCATTAATCTCTGGAAGCTCACTCGGATCCATCAGTGCCATCCTTCTTCCAGCTAGGAAGCTTGAGGAGAACGGATTAGTTGCTCCAGCTCCAATACTTATCTGGTCCAGATTTTCCAGAGAATAGCTTGCAATTTGAGCAAGTATTTCTTGAACTGCAAGAAGATATCTTGATCCTGATATCAATTCTGACACTTGAACTTGTCCAAGAGAATTGTAACTCGGAGAGAGCTCCTTAGCATTACAGGAAGTTTGTTCTGAGCCTAACCTTCTTGTATTCAAGCAGCAGTGATTTGCACTATAACACTTTATTTCAGAGGACTTATCAGGAATATTTTTCCCTTTGATGACAGCAGGCAGAGAAGTGGCAAGGTTTAAAGACAGCTCATTGCTATGTTTAGATGAGCCACAAGGATAATCCATGCTCATATTTGCACCATTTGATGCTATCCACCCATTTGGATCAGGACATCCTATTGACGAATATGGTTGTAATGCTGTCTTCAATGGGTTTTTCCCAACAAGCTCCAGAGGAGCAGGAAACTTCTCAAAATCCCACTTACTGTTCATATTACCAAATGCTTCATTAAATACACAATTCACAGAGGTTACCATTGTAGAGTTTATGTCATCAGAACATTCAGTTGACAAGTAAGTCCTAAAATCCTCAGGGTAGATTGAAGGGGCTACATTTGCTAACTCGTTTAAGTTTTCTTGAAGACCAAACCTTACAGGTGGAGTTGAAGAGATGGGTGTTCTGCCTATGAATTGCTCTTGAAACTTGAAGTTATCTTCTGAACCTGAATTGCCAAGTGAAGCATCACTCACAACATTCCTTCGAACAGATGCAACCAACGCATTAGAGTCAAAGAACCTGACACGATTAGTAATGTGAAGATCAGCACAGAGATCACTGATAAATTCTCCTTGCACCGAGGGAAGCACTGGAAACCCAGCTAGTGTCTGATTTTCATTGATGTGGTTAAATAAGTTGGAGTCAACTATTGAATTTGGGATTGTCTGTGATGGGCTACCATCAATAACAACAGAATTTTGGCTTACCATGGCTTGTGGAATGCTGAACATATCATTCTCCATTACACTGTGGGCAAAAGAATCACATGGCCACAGGCATAATCAGCTCCATCATTTGGGGGTTCTTAGGCTTCATATGCACGTTAAGCCAATTTAATTTCACTATATAACAACTTCCTTAAGTTCAACTCTCTGGTGAACTATGATATTATGTCCTCCTGATCAGTCTATATCTGCCTATATGATCCACCAAGAACCTGGAAAATTGGTAATGAAATGAAATCACCAAATTAATGTACTATATTGAAAAGAACACTTCACATACTCGCAAAGAAGATAGAGGAAGAAACTTGTGATCACCATTCCGAGACCAGAGTTTTAAGGTGGTAGCAATTTTATTAGATCCCATTTTTCTTAATAAGAGTACAGAATTATGGTACACAGACTTCTCATAGGCATTATGTGAATGATTTAACCTTTCAAGATCATTAAGGAGTGAGGACATTTCCTGCCCCACTCTTACAAAAGGATAAGATTGTTGATAGAGAAATCTTTGACCACAAATTCGAAGCGCAAAGGATCTCAGACAGAGTAAATGGAACTCGCAAGGCCACAAAAATAAAGCTGATTTGAGTAACTCAAATCCATGCGAAAGTAAAAAAGAACAAAAAAAATCCTATGTCAATGAATCGCTAGAGAGATTGAGCGGAATTTTTAAGATGATTGATTATACGTGTTGCTTCTTTTTGTGAAATAAGGGGTCATCACATCAGTACCACAGCCGCATTAATTGGAAGAAGATGTGTCTGATCAAAAATACATGCAGAGTACTAAATAAAAAACATTAATGTTATCAAGAAAATCTATCCGGGAAGATCAAGATATGAAAAAGAACTTTAATGGCTGTAGTACTTAACAGCTGGAAGTGGTATGGAAATGCACACAAAAGCCAAAGCAAGGCAAGAACAGCAGGATACAGCACAGTGACAAGAAAGTCTTAAGTTGAACCAAAGGAAGAAGATGATAAAACATAGAAAGCCTAGAAGTTCATGTTTGAACAGTTCATGTAGTAGAAAGTAAACCTTGAAGCTTTAGAGGCTTCAAAATTCAATTGCTTTTGTGCTCGTATGCTTTCGTGCGTGTCTGAAACAAAAGTTAAGCTGAAAAAGATGACCAACCTGCATTTATACGCAGAGTAGCTTTCAACCTTGCATTTATCTAGCAATAGAAAACCAGCTGAGGAAACTATTTTTCCTCGCCCAAACCTTAATTATAAAAGCAAAATATTAGAGTAGAAGAATTTTCGTGCAGATTCATAGGAATTCCAGGGGATCTGGGATGTGAAATCCTTCACTCTACTCAAAATATAAAGTGGGTTGTAACTATATTGATTGACAAACGCATGTAAGCTTTTCTCAAAGATCCCCAAAAGAAGCCATTGCAATGCAAAGTTCACATGAAATCATTGGTTTTCTGTTTCTCCATAAAAAAGGAGCATTGTCAAAAAGCCAGAAAACAGTGGTGAAAAACTTTGTTTTCTTCTTTAACAAAAAGAATAAGGTGAAAAAGCTAATAGGATTCATGCATTATCCCCACCTTTCAGATGCTCATAAAAAAATGAAATAAAGAAACAAAAAAAAGCCAACACAAAAAAGTGGGGTTAATTTGTTTGCATGAACAGAAAAGTGGAGTTTTCTCCAATAACTCGACTCGAACACCAAAAAACTGAGATTTTCACAATATCAGACCCCAACAGGATTCATAATCTCTCCCTTGCTGTCCACGAAGATTTAAATACACCAACCTCAAGAGTTTTCTGTTGCAGGCTTTAAAGGAGCCCTCCTGTCGCTTCTCTCTCTTTCTCTCTGATTTCCTTTGTCCTCCTCACTATCTCTCATCTGCTTCTCTGCAATCATCACAATCAAAATATCTGGATTCTCTCTGTTCAAACTTCTGTTCTTGGCAGGTCCTCTCAGCACCATTTTTTAGAAGAAAGTGACTTGCGTTTTTAGCTTATTTTAGACAAGGAAAGCCTAATGCTAATGTGTCTGATAAGAAAGATGAGTGAAGGGAGTAACAAAAGCCTTATACTTTCCCCTCTCGGCCTGAATCTAACAACTAAAGTTTTAAGCCAAACAAACAAATGCATCTGTGAAGGAAAAGAGACAAAGGAAGAGGGTGCAGTGTGCACTCTGAATATGATGATGCAAGCAATGCCAAAGTTGACGAGAATCTCTGGTGGAACAATATCTTTGACGAATTTATTGAAGTAATTACACGCTCCATCTAACACCTTTTTGGCTTTCTTTTAACTCCTCCAAAATTCCAAATTTCAAAAGCAGTTCAATTCTAGCGCTTAAAAGAGTCTTTATTAAAGAGTCTTTGTAGCTTGTAAGGTTAAAACCCTAGCCTAGACTAGTCATGATTATGGTGGTCTATGGACCAAATATTTTTGTAATGATGAAATAGTAAATAATAGGATCAGCTGATCTTCCTCTGCTCCTTGAATTTTTATCTGTAATGCTAATGTTTTAACATGTCTCAGAAACAAATAGACGTGCTTGTGGATCCTGATTTGATAATACAATCTTTTCCCTTTAGGAACTTTGTGTGGTCTGTGGTTGCATTGCCATGTGCAGTTTTTAAGACTAGTTAAAAAACAATCCTTGTTGAGCAACCAGCAGATATAAATAAATGATGATAGGTAAATGTTTTTGCAGGCCTTAAATTTCAGAATGTAGTAGAATGGTTAAAATTATATATATATATATATGTATATAAACTGAAAATATATAAACAGGACTCTTAGTGGAGTAGTCGTATTTAGTGAGAGGCCAAATATTTCTATATCAAGGAAGAGGGAAATGGGAAAAAGAGAAGAGCCAGAATCCTTGTCCGGATGTCCCACTCGATCGAAAACTGGGATGCGATCCCAATATTTGTATCAGACAAAAGCATATGAACGAGTTTGCCTTAGGGACTAGGGTAGTGGTATTTGACATGTAGAATATGAGGAAGAGTGGAGCCTTCCCTAAAGACAAGGACAAGGCAGCCCAGTAGAAGGAAGCGAGCTCTTCTGATTGCACATGCAGACAATAGAGCTTCAGAGCTGTATTTTCATGCAAATTATGCAAAGCAAAGAAGGAGACACAGAGATTCTAATAGTAACATTGCTTTTTTAACACTCTAAACATTATTCAAAACCATACAAGAAATAGTAAACTGTCAATTGCTTTTCGATTGCCTGCAATATAAACAAACATATTTACTATTACATATATGCATTGGCAGTTGAAACACTTATCGGTGTTTGAATAGTTTTGATCCGCTGAAACTTGGCAGCTCCAAAATCCACAAATATAATAATATGATTAGGACAAAAAGATAAACAAAATGGGCCTAAGGCCGACAAAATACAAGTTCTGCATTAAGCTAAGCCCAATAACTAATAATCTGGCGGAGGGCTTTTGACTATGGTTAAGAAACTGGCATGAAAATAAGGCCCCTAGCAATATATTTATTTCAGGGCTTGGCACTGCATTTGACTATTCAGCCTCTAGCTAGGCCCAGAATGAAAGCTCAAGTCTAATCAGTTTGTGAAGCCCAGATATCATTGTTTTGGGTTGTACTTAGAAGAAATTGAGATTGAAACTCTAAATTGTGGTACAACTTTTTACTTACAAAATATCACAAAGTCATCTGATTATTATATATTTGGGGCTTGGAATTTCCCCTTCTAACAGTGTTGAAAAAGTGATAGGATCGTGAAGGCTCACAAACCTGAATTATCAGATGGAAAAGAAAGGCAAGATATGATTATCCCCACTCCTTTTCTTGACTCCCCTTATCAAATGTGATAGCATCACGGAAAAGAAAACTTACGGATTTGATCTCTTTATTTGTTCTGAAAACATTTAGTTTTGAAATAGATAAATTCATGATCGCTTTTCTTTCCACTATATGATATATAGAAAAAAGTGGGTAACATGGGGTTTGAGGCACAAATTAAAGAGAAAAGTCTTGATGGGGGGTTTCTTTCTTAGTCACATGTCCCTTGAAGTTGTAGCTCACAACTTTGCAGAAGGAAAGGTAAATATTTGATCTTTGCTTTGCCGTTGAATTAAGGGTTGACATTGAACCCACAGGAAAAAGTGGTGTACCAAATTGTTCACCTACTCTCTGCTCTTTCAACCCATCTCTTCAAAAAGTTCTCTCTCTCTCACTCCATTTCAAGTTAACCGGCAGATCATCCATGAAATATAGTATATGCGTACAATTACAGCTCCGAGTTTTCCCACTTCCCACTAACTATTAGCAATGATAATTGAAATTTCATAATCCCCAAAAAAGCTTAATGGTCAATCCTTTCTATTATCAAACCATCAGACTTATATATAAGTGGGAAGCTGATGAAAATGTAATTAAAGTACTGCTCTATGCTCTGTATAAATTACATATGTGCACTGAAAATTCAGGTGAAAAATTAAAGTATTGCTCTATGCATATAGTTTTAATTTCCTGATCAAAATCATCATCAAAATGACTCGAATATTGCTTCCATTCAGTCCAAGCTGATGAAAAAGGACATTATTTCATGTTTAGGAGGAAATTTCAAATTTTCTTGTCAGGGATTAATCTGTGAATTTTTACAAGCATAAGAGGATGATCCTTGTCAACTGATGTTAAAATATATGCATATTAATTGTACATATTTTGAAAGCCTTCCTATGAACAAATATGAAACTGGCAAGAGAACAAAACAAACTGAATTATTGTTTCTTATTTCATTGGTCAAGCTTCAATAAAAATGAAGATGAATGGTTTTTCAATCATGTATTTAAGAGATTAAAATAATATATATGCCATAACAAATTAACAATATAACTGGGTTCGTCACCCGATAAAAACTAAGATATACAAATCAATCCCAAACTTCAAACCCCATTAATTAATAAATAAAAAAGAAAAAAAAATCCAACTTTCCCGAAATCCAGACTAACAAGAGTTCCAAAGAGATATCTAATCCATCCAACCAACTTCAATCTTCTTCTCAATCATGTCCATGAAGAGAACCCATTGCCACAACCCCAAGTTTCTGCAGATTCAACTTCACAACTGTATCCACAAACATTTTTGTATCTTCCCCAGTGTTCCCTTCTGGTATATCCACTATATAAGACTCTAAAACAATGGTGTAGACTTTCCCTTCCATATGAAACTCATTGACCGAAGTGACTGACCTGTAGTTTCTCAGCCTATGCTCACCTCCAACAACCCTAAAGCTTAATATATGCTTTTCATCATCCAAAATCTCTAGTCTTTCAGTACTTGTCGAAGCTGGAAGACCCGAGACGACAGTGACTTCTCTAATGCTTCCAACGTTGCCATCACCGCTCATGTTACAACTCTTGATGAAGTGTTTGTATTTTTGGGGGTTTTCGAAGCTTCGAACGAAAGGCCATACGGCTTGAGCTGGGGCGTCGATACGCTGCGTTATTAGCGATGTGCATGTGTTCGGTGTTGGCTCAAATTTATGGTATATGTCAATGAGAGGCTTCAGCTCCGCATATTCTTCTTGGGTTAGGCCCTGAGGAGGCGTTTGGCTTGAATCCATTGCTAGCTAGCTCTCCTTAGTCCCCAAGCTCTGTACCAGTTCACGGTTGCACGGCTTGCTGGTGTGGTTTTGGGTTGCAGGGCTTACAGCCAGACGAGCATGCAAGGCAGGAGAAGGGATGAAGCCAATGAAGAAAAGTTGAGGCTTTTGAGTTCATGAAAGAAAGACCAAACGAGAGGCTTGCGGATGGGTTAAATGGGGTTATAGAGCGAGTATTTTTCGTGTGTGTGTGTGTTGTTCTTGTTAGACAGATATGCCCTTTGGGATTGCACTTTTTGACCAACTTGTCAGTGGTTTGTGTTTGTCCTTTCCTTAAAACTGTGTTTACTTCTAAATGAAGAGATTTCGTGGTTGGACCGTAAAATGGCTACATCAGGAAAAGATTTTGTCTTTAGCTTAAATCGATTGTGTTTGGGATTCTCTTCGTGGCGAAGATGACAAATAGATTATTGAGCACTAGATAAACTCAACAATATTATACCTATAATGTGCTCACGAAATGCTATTAACGCATTCTCAATCCTTAGCCTAATTTGCCTAAACAAAATACTTAGCCTAGAATGTTGCCAATATCAACTATCATCCTTTCAATATGAATCACCATTCATAAATTCTCTTCATTATAATTAACAGAACATTACATGTTTTTCTTAAGAAGATTTTTTTTTAATTTAATGATAAAGGATTCCTGGATTTTAAGTGATGACTTGTATTTTTAAAGTATTATTTCTTGTTTGTTTGTTTCTGTAGATATATAATTATCAAATTTGAATCGGTTTAAATTGATTGATAATTCATACATAAAACCAGACATGTGCATGAAATTGCTTCATTTAATGAACTAGATTTGGACAAACAAGCACATATAATTATTTTGCTACTCATACCGTGCGTGTTTAGATTTAATTTGACAATGATATCGAGCATTAAAATTTTTTGCTTTGACGTAAAGTCTAAACTCATAAACAAAGATATGTTAAAAGTTGAAACACACACACATATAAATATATATATATATATATAAGATGTTTACATTCAAATCCAATTCCTGCGTTAATAATAACAGATATATAAAGTATTTGTATAAATAATCAGTACGTTATTATGTAAATACTCATTAATATTTCCTTTGTATGGAATAAAAAATTATAAGGTAGAAAATGACAAGCAAAGAAGAAGACAAACATGTTGAAAAACCGAAGACAAAGTTGGGAAGAACAAAGCAAAGCTCATTGCCCTAAAAAAAAAAAAAACAAAAGGTGAGATTGTTCTTCAAACATCTTTAGTGATCTGTCAAATAATGTTAATGATAAAAGTTTGATACTACTTATTAAGTAGTATAATTAATTACTAGTTAATGATAAAATGTAGGGGAAGGGAGAGGGGCATTGTACGTGAATACTGAATAAAAATAGTAGGTATAAAATAAACAAACAAGATAAAAAAGGAAAGAAATTAATAATAAAAGAGAATAAAGACAAGTAGACTAAATGAAGGGTTGAAAAGGCAAGCTGGAGATTCATGGATCATGTGACAACTCTAACAAACCCTTGCGTGATCATCTATAACTCCACTTTGCAGTTTGCAGGATTCACCAGCTGGCCCCATCCCCTATTCTTCACTTTTCCCTTTTATTTTTTTTAAGCTGTGTTTTCGTTTGTTACTCACTTTCAGAGATGTAATATAACGAAGTTATCCAGTGAAATAAGAAAGGGTCGTCATGTATGTGAGTACCGTATAGTTTCAGTTTCAGTTTCAACTTCCAAACACAAGCAAAGTTGAGAAAAGGAGAGAAAAACAGATATGGGACAGCTTTTGGATGCATGGCTGTATCTGGAAATGTGGAATGTATATGACTTTTAAATTAATACTATTATTATTATATATGGTATTTGCTTCTCAATATATCAAACAAAACAGATTCATTGCTTTGGGACTAGTCTCATCTCATTCTGATAAAATTGTAGGGGCCATTCAGCTGCGTTTCAGCATGAAGCAACAAGGAAACATAAACTTCGAATGACGTTAGCAAGGAGGTAACAAATTAAATGAAGAGGGAAAAGGCCAAAAAGAAGCTGGTCAAAAAAATAAACAAAGGACACCTAGAGCCTAGAGGGGAGGTCTAGCAAAGGGTACAGGGTAGTAGTAAAGCACAGGACAGTTCATTTCTTAGGATAAAAGCCTTACCAAATGCCTTGTACTAAATATCACCATGTTAAAAAAACCTTAGCTTATGTTTCGGTTAAAGTTTGTAAAAAGAAAAAGAACAGGTTAAAAAAACCCTATCAATAAACCACTCAATTGATTAACTAATGGTCAAAATTTTTGGTTTTAATCCTAGGGAGGCTAGTTGTTAATAAACATTTAAGCATGCGACTTTTGTTTTCCTTCCTACCGGGTAATTCAATTCTGGGAAAAGAATACTCTAGTAGTGGTATATAAGAAATGTCATGCTATACTTTTTTTTTTTTTTTGTGGACAGCAAAATGAAGCAAAAATATCTTGAATGGGAATTCAAGACAAAATATTGTAGATTTGAAAGAAGTATTTATTAACACAAAAAGAGGAATGCAAATTATGCAGTGGTCGTTTCAGTCTGACAAAAGTCCAAACAGAGAGAAAAAAAGGGCTTCTTGGACTTTACTTCATTTGTCCTCTACCATGTCTCCAACCTTTTGTGATAACCATTGGGCATCGGCATTGGAGGAAGACTACCATGATTTCATTGGCACATGACACAATAGTGTCCGTGGACTGCCTTTACTCCTTCCTCCAATCAGAGTTTGGGCAGCTTTTGTCACCATTCTCTAATATCTGTAATCCTGCTAACAAAACAATGACGAAAGATATTCCACCACTTTTTTTTTTTTTAAATTGATTCTTTTAAATTATTGTAAAGATGGGATTCAAAATTCTATCTTAAATCTTTCATATTTGGTAAATATTATGCTTTAAAGCGTCAAGTGTTCGAATTATTATTTGGCAGGCACAATCACTCATTATTAGACTAGCTAGGTCGTGAATGAGCGTAAATGCAACCTTGGCTAAACAATTAACCAACACATTCATGCAAAAAAATATGGCTAGTCCAAAACTATATCCATGTGGGTAAATTGGGCCATTCTTTTGAGAGACAACCTAACTCTAGACTATGAGAAAAATGCCGTAAAAAGAAAGTCAGCAGAAAATGACCCACTTCTAACTTATGAAAAGATGGACCCAATGACCCGATTATTGATAATTGAGGATTAATAGTTGGTCAAGTATAAATTCATTTAAAAATATTCTAATTCTAGTTATCCTTCTTCGAAAGCTCCAAAATTTTTTTTCTTACTACAAATTATTGGGTGAGTTCGATTCGATCCGTGAGTTCTTGTATGTTCTAGTTTGCTCCTAGAATTGCACTGCTAATTAGTTATCCACTTGAAATATTCTTTTTTCATACTAGAATTGCACCAAAGAAAAAAAATTGCAAGAGTGATAAAATTACAACAATAAAAATATAAAGCGGTAAATAATAAGTTGATACTGAGCTAAACTCGTAGATGATGATGTTCTCTATGTGAGAATCTTACATTCAACTACATCTAATACATTTAAAATTTCTAAATGTCTCTTTACCAAAAAAAAAAAAAAGTATGAGAAATATCAATAAACAAATATCATTCCTAATTCCACGCCCAATACTATGATAAACTGAATACAAACAAGTCGAATGGCTCCGAAGAATGATTAGAAGGCTTTTTTTTTTCTTTAAACCAGGAATTGCGTCAGCCATTGGTTCTTTTAAGTAGGTAGGTTTCCTCATTTCCACTGCTGTTTGAAGAGGCTGAATCCAATTTGCAAAAAAATCGAGTAGGGTTAGTAAACCAAATTAAAGAAACAATTCAACTCTGGACAAACTCTGTTTCAAAGAGACCATTCAGTAAATTTCATCAGCACTGCAGAAATAGCTGACAAAGGTGAATAATGCTCTGTCAGTAATGGAGAATTTTCTTCTCAATTAGTTTACATGATATGATCATCACGAATCATGGGATTCTTGGACCATCGAAGTAATGCGATGCTTTCCACCGTCTGAACGGAGGTTATCCCCTTCAATTCCAACCTGGAAAAGAATTTTATTTTGAGTTACTTCGGGAATTAGACATGATCCTTCCAACACATGAAATTGGTAATTACCTCAATGGAACCTTCTCTCTCAGGGGAGAACCAGCGCAAGAGCACCCCAAGATGTAAAATGGCAGGAATTAGCTTGAACAGCAAAGGAGTCGTCACCTGCAGATACCAATTACACTCATAAAGCTAAATTACTATTTACTACAAAAATAACCGTCACTGCAGTTGTATACATTTTTCTTTTTTCCCTTTCACACCATCTTTCCCTTTTTTTCGTAAGTTTAAATTTCTCATCCTCTCGCTTGACACTATTGATAGAGTACCATATAATCAAGCCAAGAAACAATCATACCAGGCTAAGCGCAGTTGTCCCAAGAAGTAGCAGGTACACTTTCCCCTGAAATGCTCAAGGTTTCAGTTATGGAGTACATTATAATGCCCAGAAACTGTTCTTAGCAAGAGATGTATTATATCACCCATCTTGCCAAAGTAACAGTAAGAACTTCGATGGTAGCACTGACCTCAACGAGCTGGAGATTAGAAGCAAGGCTGAGCAGAACAAAAGCAAATTCCCCTATCGCCAGAGACATTCCAACCTGTGCATGTAAACTCAAGTTACTTTAATATTCAAATACTATATAATCAAGTATAGATTAAATAAAACTTACAAGCAGTGAAGTCTTGCTGTTGTAGCCAAAACCCTTGACAACCAAGGCAATTATTATTGTTTTTATGGTGATAACCAATATAACAGATGCAAGTAAGATATCAACATGGTTCCAAAGAAAATGAACGTGGATCAGCATCCCTATGCTGGCAAGGAAGAGAACAGTGAAAAAATTGCAAATGGGTTCAATCTGCACAGAGAGACTAACTTTAATTGTGGGGATGCTAGAAGGATAGACTGATAATACCACTGAATCTAAATGATAGAAGCCGCAAAATAATTGAAGGCGAAAAAGTTGTGTTGCACACTGTAGGTTAGTTTCTTGTCCTGCTATTTATAAGTTGATGTCATAGAAATTTTAAGATTTCCTGATGAAAACTAAGTCTGTTGTTTTGGTATCGAGAAATTGCAGAGCAGGTGACAATATGTTTGAGCACAAATCTCTCTTTCCCCTTCACACCACAAATGAAAATGTTTTTTGAGTGATTGGGA